AGAGTTATGGGTTGGTCCAGCAAAGTCACACCACACCACGGCCACAGTCGTCAGCGTACTCTGCACCGAAAGGCAGGTTGTACAGGCAAGGCAAGGCAGAGCAAACCTGATTCGCGATGGTGGTAATTGTGGTCGCTACTCTGCTCATGGGCTACATCCGGAGTCAGACCGATGCTGTTTTCGATACCCTAGAAGGACTTTGGCTGTAATCCTAAAAGATTATGCGCATGAGTCTATGATTACCACATTTATGACACCTTGGCTTTGGGGTTTTACATGTCTGCTGTGAAGAGCTGCAGTGAAACAAAGCTCGCGGGAGCAACACGACTCCAACCATGCCTGCGATGGCTGTCGTTGAGATTGACAACCGTGATGCTTCTACCTAATGCAATGATAACCGTGATGATCAAGATCACTGTCATTCTGGCAGCGTGGCAGTTCTGATGATGGATTGCCGTGGTGATCACAGCGTTGCAGCGCTGATAGCTAATCTGGCGGTTCCGATGCTTGCTCTGACTATAACATTACAACATCTCTGGTAAAAGCTAGAACTCCTACGACGGTCAACCATGGCTCTGGTGTTACTGCACACTAGGCAGAAATCTTGCCACTGTGGCGAGTCTTGCGTGTGGAATCGCTACATACGGCATACGGATATGATAGTCATTCGTCTGGTTGACATAACTCACATGCTTTACTGTACTCGCATGCTTCGCGCGACTGGTGCGACTGTCTTCGTCTGAGCCCTAAATCCTTAGCGGAATCCGATGTATCTATTTGCGTGTGCAGAGAGACAAAGACAGAGACAGAGAGACACAGAGAGAGAGAGAGAGAGGGTGAGTCTGCGAGCATGTCAATGAGGTGCAAAGTGAACCTGCTGGAGGGCCTTGAGGGCCATAAGCATTAATTTCAACAGGGTTTCCTTGAGGGCTCCTCAGGCTTTGTAGAGGTCGGGCATTCCGGGGCCTCAGTCCCTCGAATCACCGGGAAAATCCTAGGACGATTGAAGTTTTTTCTGCAATCAGTGACAAGAGGGTAGTGCACCAAACCTCAAGCCTGAAACAACGACAGGGGCCAGGCCAGAACCAGCACAACACTAGATGCGTCGACAGATGTAGACAGGTTGCAGGCACAACGCCACGTAAAGTGTAGCCATCCTCAGCAATATGCGCTGCCAGGATCTGCAAGAAAATGAAAGCCCCCCGAAGCAGCAAACCTTTCATTCAACCTTGCCTGCAAGAGCTTTGCGTCTAACCTCCCTCTTTGCAAAAAGACGAAAAGCGCGGTACCTCAACAGCCAAGGCACCACCATCGAATCATCGCTGACCGCAGGTAGGCCACTCGACTCATCTGCGCAGGTCCACTGCGGAACCTGCATCCGCATGGTTCTCTGAATCAGATTCCGAGCACTTTCGTAAATTATGCAACCTGGAAGGGAGCCAACAGTAATTGCAAGTTCCAGAGGATTCTTGTTCCCTCCTCTGCCCCTGTAGCAAGCAAGCTGCTGGAAAGAGGGGAAAGGGGAACGAGGGGCATGGTGAAACCGCCTCACCCATGGGATTACTGGGATTGGGGCCAAGTCGATTCAATTCGGCAACAACGGCTTTCAGGTGCAAATACGGCTAGCATAACAACGCAGAGATTGCGCATTCGAAGAGAACGTACATGGGATTGAAATGCTTCGACGTTCCGGGGCTAAAGAAGTCGGTGAAGTGTTTGCAGCTGCCAGTGCCCGACAGCTAGAGGAACCCGAAACTTGAGATGTTTGCCACTGCGCAACGTGTGGCATGTCTGCAAAAAATCGGACACAAAGGAAGGACCGATCCCTCTGCGTTCCACCTGAGAGCCGGCCATGACGGCCGGGAGTGCTTTCAGAGATTTTGGAGTGTCTAGGCCCTAGGCGGGGAGCCTCAGGCAGGCTGAGCTGGAAGCCATCCCGGCAGTAGGCAAAGCAGGTCCAATTCACGAAGACCTGAGCACAGTTGGGTTGAATCTTCAAGACCCGGTTGGGGTCATAGGACTCTTCTGGACCGCGGATGCTTCGAGCTATCAACGCTTGAGCTTCGCACCGAGACAGTGCCACGTTGGAGTGACGGATGTTAGCAATGCCAAACGTGAACAAACCCACTGCGACAATGCTCCCCATCCACTTTACAATTTTACGACTTATTCGTGGGGGCATTGTCCACGAAATAGGGTGCATTCGGTCCATGCAGGCTCCGAGCGGCATCGCTGCAAGTGTGCACCACGTTGGGAATCGAGATGCTGCTGTTGCACTGAACGGGCTCGCCTGCGGCGGTCTTCAAATCTCTCGGACCACTGTGAGCTGAAGTCTTGAGAGCTTGTGCCTGGGTCTGGGTCCCCAAGCTCTAACCCAAGTTTGGTGCTTCTTCAGGAAGAAAGATTTCCCTTGTGGGAACTTCGTAAAGGCTAACTATAGCCTGCATCATTCCCCATCCCTTCAGCCTTCGCGCTGGGAGGCCTCAGAGCATTACCATAAGGATCCTAGACTAAAGACCCCTAGGGAAAACCCGCAGGATCAAACTAATCTTCTCTCTAATCCTGCAATGAAACATCCTCGCTTCTGGTGTTCTAGGACGTAGTGGCTGGGGTTGGGACCTGCGTGCCGGGGTTTAGTATTCGAAATTAGGAGTTTGGTCCTGCAACTACATGCATCAACTGCAGCCCGAATCACAGGAGACCGTGGCCCCATCACTGCTGACTTGACCTTCGCAGGAGAGGAGCGAGGATCTCGTCAAACATCAAAACCGAAAACCTGCAATTCCCTACGTTTTTGAGGCTTCAAGAGCTCTTCCTTGCGGAGACTGTCAGCGGAAATTTTCCCGCAATAAATGATTAGCCGATGTATCGTAGTTCATAAGCGTATGGACTATAGTGGAAATATTTTGTAATACAAATTCGTCGATGTCACTGATCGGGGTCTCGCTTGACGTGCCTCTGGTTTTGAGCTTTGGGAGGTAGAGATGGTCCTTTTTGCACCGGAGTGGCGAGCCAGTCTACTTCTGTAGCCGGGTTGGAGATGCATGCTGCCATGAACATCTTCGGGAAGCCTGTGCTCGAGGACTCTAGGAGTGATATTGCTAAGGATTCGGGCCTTGTGTCCTGTTGCGGCTTCTGGCTTCCAGGAATCCCTGGCCAGCGCGTCTGTAAATGTCTTGCTGAGGTCAGAAACCCGGTGAAGCAGCGAGGTAAAGAATCGAGCAACGGAGCTGGTAGAAAGCAACCCGGGGTGTGAAGGACCCATAAACCCTGAACCACAACAAGCCTTAAACCCCCCTGATGCCCTCGGCCCCTGCAGAAAGTACCGGAGGCCTGAAAGGTCACAGTTGAAGCTCGTGCTCGTGGCATTGGCCTTGGAGAGGCTTCGAGGTTCGGCGGGACCATTAGACTGGAAAGTCAATGCAAAATTTTAGTCTTGAGTAGGTGTCGTCTGAGGGTTTGGGACTTAGGATGTTGCCTGTTTGGTGCTGAAAGTTTCGGATCTTGGCAGGAACGTCAAATGCCCTCAGGCACCGACTGAAGCTTCGCAGCACCGGACCCGCGATCCATAATCTCGTGGTAGCTCAGGGAAGGAATCACTTCTTGCCGCGAAGTAACCGGCACGAAGCCAGAGCGGCAGCGGCGCTCGCAGGACCTTACAACATACAGGGCTAGAGGGAGGGGGCTTCAACTGTTGAACACGAATGTCTTGCAGCTGCACAGCTGCAAACAAACGGCAGGCAACAACCCCCTTCGCAGGCCGAGAAGCAGCAGAAAGGCAAAAGCACCCCACAGTCCGACACTTGACTCTAAACCCCAAACCTTAACACTAAAATTTCCATTTCCAGCGGCAAATCCAGTGAAACCGTATCGGTGGTCAAAGCTTTCTGCCAGTGCTTTCTGTCGAATCGTTTCAGTCAAACCTCAAGAGAGGGCCCCACACCCAAGGCACTCTCCATCTCAAAATCAGCAGCCAAACATCCGAAACACGAAACCGACATGTCTGATCCGGTCCCAGGAGCTGTCCTGCGAGGAGGCCGGTGCAGTTGTCCTCGAGGACGTCGCTCGGGTTCAGGCTCGGACAAACAATCGGCTGGCCTGAGCGGACACCCGGAACCATGTAAAGCAAGCACCTCGTTGGAATCCTTGTAACACCTATAAGAGCCCTGTAGAACCCTCCTGAGCACCAGGCCTACACGCAGCCCTGAGCCCTCGAAGACTTTGGAAGGTTCAAGATTTGCCTGGCGCTGTTCGAGGCCTGTAACACCCTACATGTAGCGGGGTTAAGTCGCATCAGGGCGCGTTTAGTCGCAACATCCCCAAGGTGACGCCCGATCCGCGTTTAGTCGCATCACCCGCGTTTAGTCACATCAGAAAAATCGAAACCCCATGGGCAGCCATGGGCACGTGGTCCAGAAGTGGGTTTCAACACATGTAGCGAAATGAGTACAAAGGCCGCGTGCCGCAGGTATCCGTGCCTATTTTGCACTCACATCACCTCGTTTAGTCACATCAGGAACGTCGAAACCCCATGTGGACGCCGCCCGGAGGCGGGTTTCAACACATGTAACGAAACGAATGAGCTGTCCGCGTGCCGCAGGTATTCGTGCCTATTTTGCTTTCACATCACCTCGTACGTATGTGTGCGTGCATGTGTGTTTGTGTGGGTTTGCGTGGGTCCAGGAGGGTGTTGGTCTATCCAACGCCAAACAGGGTGACCGAGACTGGTTTGGATGAGCTGGACATATTATCAAGAAGGCCACGCTCCATTTTACATATATTCAGTCAGCTTAGAGAAACCCTAAACGACAAGCTCAGACAAGCCCGCAGCCTCTTCTGCGGAACATGGAAAGTGAAGCGGGATTTCCAGGGCCCCGGCAGCTTGGCAAGGCTCCGACGAGCCCAAGTGTGCCAGATTCGAGGTCGCAGGACCAAACCTGGAGATGGCCAAGTTGGAGAAGAAAAAAGCAGCGCTTCCTCCCCTGAGTTTATGGATCTGGCTACCAAAGCCGGCGTGCCACAGCTTCAAGTCTGTTAACTTAGGTTGTAAAGCTTACAAGGCCGCGTTGAACTCACCAACGCTCGAAAGGCCCAGGGTAGAGCGAAGACGAGGCCTCTCCCGCTTCTCCACTGGTCAACTCGTACCTCAGCTCTTGCGAAACGCCCGCCTCACGGAAAAGCGTCCGGCGTGAGGAGCCTTCGAAGATCCCCGCCTGTCCTTGTGATACACCGTCTTCAAAACCCTAGAGCCCTAAACAAGATTCCTTTGCCACGAGCCGAGTTGCCCCGGTGCGCAGTAGACACTGCAGCTGCGGCCGAAGGCAACGTCGTCGCAATCGTGGGCGACGGAAGGCTCCTGACCGTCTTCCCCGAGTCTTTCTGCAATTCAACAGTCCCTGTCTCGCAGTCCTTCGATTAGGGATCCTACTACGAGAAAGGTTTGGCAAGGTGTGCAACTCTCCGAAACTCCACATGTTTTTTCTGCGTCTGTGATGTAGGAAGCTGATTCAGAAACTCCTGTCGTTCCGCATTTGGACACGGGAGGATCCACAGAACACACCCCTACCAGTAAGTGCCAGGAACTTCAGCACAACTCTATGAGCCAAAAACTCTGAACCCGAGTCCCTAAACCTGACCTCCCAAGACCCCAACAATACCAAAAAGTCAAGACCCCGAAAACTCCTAGCCCAAAAACCTCGACCGTAGCAAAGACCCCCTACGCAGAAACTTTGTGAAGGGAAAGGGGCTCATTGCTCATGGGTATACATTCCGACGTACCAACTCCTCAACGGTATCCTGAAAAGTCTTACAGAACACGGAAACCGCTCTGGGATCCTAAAGCCCTCATAGAACCCTAAAGCCCTGATGGAGCCCTAACATCGTTGCAGAACCGTGAAACCCTACCGAATCGTTGTGAAAGAAACCCAAGCACGGAAAGAAAAAAAAAATGCCCGTGTAGGAAGCCCTGATCCCCAAACCCTAAACTGCAAAAAAAACACGGAAGGGAGATGAGCTCTCGGCCTGCAGTTGGCTGCTCACCGGGCACTTCGCCGGCTTGCAGAGCCTCTTCGGACCGGCGGTGAGCATAGGGCTTAGGAGTTCGGGGGCAGGCACTGGCACGTTTTGGCAACGAAGAAAACGTACTACTCTCTGCATTGAATCCACTGAGGCCACGTATTGTGCATGACACCTGGCTGCGGACTCTTTTGGGCTGTGCGTTGAGGCTTTGGGCGTTTGGGCTCGTTGATGAGGCTGAGCGCGGGGACAAAAGCATCATCTCAACCTGAGCCGTGAAATAACCTGAACATGCAGGGACAAGATGTTCGAAGTATTGCGCCATGTTGCGGCAGCGTTCCAACTAGTTGGCCGCTTTCGTCACCTGCAACAGCACAAAGTCTGTGTCAGCTTCCACATCACCCAGAACCCACACCCTAAACCTCAGTTCCTACACCCTAAGCTCTTGAAAGCTGAACCCGAAAACCTCAAATCCTAAAGCCCTTCTGCAATCAAACCTGTACACGACATTTCGTAGACCTGAACTCCAAAACTCTTCCAGTGTGGTGCAAGGCCGACCTGTGATCATGACAAACTCTGAACCCATGTTAGGGTTGTCTGAAATGCATCTGAAAAATACACCTTAGGGGCTCTATTTTGGGTGTGGCGTTGCAGGATTTAGGGCCGTAGGCTCAAGAGAACATAGGGTTTGGGATCTGGGAACCTGAGTTTTGAACAACAATGAGCCCAGCTGCAAGTCATGATTGCAAAGTTCGGCACGCTGCCAGGCTTGCAGGTAACGTTGCCTGATCTGTCAAGTCTTGAAGATCGAGTTTACTTGGGTTTGAGATTTAGGGTACTTCGGTCCTGCTGCGATACCAAAATAGCTTCTTGTGCCATGGACTCAACTTCACGCTTGAATTGACAGTAGCATAGTGGCATTTGTTTGGGGATGCTTATGGATAGTCTTTCGAGTTATTCCGGCCCCTATATTACATGAAAGTTCAGGGTACCTGGTCGCTCCAAGATTCCTTGCGGTAGGTTTTGCGAGGGCTTTAGGGTGACTCTGCCCCCGCTGCGGACCTTTCACTGAAAAGAAGGACTCCCATTTCAACCCTCAACGCCTAAACCCCTAAACCTCGACAGTCTAAACCAGAAACCATCGCAGATAATGAATTTCACCCGTGTGTCTCTCAGGCCTGCTTGCAGTGAGGGGACCCGCCAATTGATAGCCCCAAAGCTAAGGAGGGACCACTCGATATGGCGGAAGGTACAGGATACTGCCGAAGTTTGGCTACCTTCGTATGGCCACCGCAAGATCCTACATAAAACCTATAACCTGTCAAAGCCCTCCCATACCTACAAGCCTCGGCGAAACCTCTGCTAGTAAAGCCCCCATGACCCCGAAGCCAACTTCGGCGGGTTTGCACGCCAGGCCGGTCGTCATCCCATCGCACTCCTTTCGAATCGCTTCGACGGTTTGCTTTGCTGCATCCGGGAGTTTCAAAGAGAATATTAAGGGACCCTAGGATGGAAGAAGGAGCATCCGTAGACTAGCAAAGGACGCTTGAAGCCCTCTGTTTGAACATACAGCACTGAGGGTCCTCATCGTGAGGCCCTCGAACCTCGAAATTGGGGAGCCCAACTTTTCACTGCGGATTGGAGAACCTTACAGGCCTCCTGGGCACTTTGACCGTGCGCAACAGTATACCAGAAGAGCGCCCAAAACCCTTGCTGGTGGCCCTTCTTTTCTGCACCAGGGGATTTAGCACCGCTTGCCTCAAACCCTAGTCCTCAACTAGGGCTGCTTCCTTTATGGCATGCTGGTGTCCACCACAAGTCCCACATCATGAGCAAGCTCGGCTTCCCTCGGCACCTCGCCCGAGAATGCCTGGTCTGCAGGGATGCTATTCTCACCTTCGCTGCCGACACGCAAAAAAAAGTCGAGGGTCGGTTGGAGGAGAGGTTGGAGGGCATGCACTTAAAGGGCCTGGAGACTTCGTAACCCTAGGCAATGTACCCCTAATCTCAAGAAACCCTCAGCTCGACCCGTGCAGTCAAGGAATGGAGAAAATCGGGCGACAGGCTGCACCCGCCAGATTTCGGCCGCGGTGTCTGCATTGTACCAGTAACAGCATGTCCTTCTAAGCCAGCATTGAAACTCTGTCCACGGCCAAGGGACAGGGATTCCCAACGCAATCGGGGAGGACGCCGGTAATGTTTCCATCCGACTGGCACTCATACCTCAGCGCTCAGCTGTGATGACTTCACACTGTGCCAAACGAAACTTCAGCCACATGAGCACTGCAATCAGAGTCAAATCTGAAAGGCCACCCCTGCCTGAACCCTAAAGACCAGCAAAGTCCGGAAATCCCTGAACCCCAAGCTACCAGGATGCTGTGATCCCCATCCCACCAAAGTCCATCCCTTCGCGCAGCTCACTCCACAGGTGTCCTGGTGGGCTTGGGTGATTTGGGTGTAGGACTTGCCAGGAGGATCCGTGAGCAACAGCCCTTAAGTAAGGAATATTCTCTGACTGCGGTATCAGCTATATTTCTGGATCAAACGAGGATCCGCTGAATTGAGGCGCACTGTGCGTGTTGGGAAGCAGATCACTAGCGAAAGCTGCACACGCCCTTTGGACGGCTTCGGGTGCTTTGGGAAGCATTCATATTGAGAGTTTCGGGTTTAGGGTATAAGGGTTAGTAAGGGTTAGGGCTCCGGGCGAGGCTCCCAGCACTCTCTGAGATCCGAAATCCAGCGTGTTGGGAGTAGGACTTGCAAGAGGGCACCTCTCGCAGCATGCGATGCAGAGCTGATAGAAGCTTAATCCTGGGGAGGATTGGATCACCTTATACTACGACGACGATGACGACGACTACTACTACTACTACGACCACAAAGTAAGAAATTAACATCCTGGAAGTGCAGGCCGTCCTGAAAGACCATGCCCTCGCAGTTGTGCGCGAATTTGGGGCCCTTAGCTGCGACTTCTCCAGGAGTGGAACGGGCGGGAGGTGAAGTACGAGAGCCAAGCAGCTCGTACTGTATGGATATACGGTGTCTTTTTCTGATATATTGGAAGCTATCACCATATATTGCGCTGCGGCATCTGAAAGTACACAGTATCATGTCTTATGAGCCCGACCCAAGACTGCCCGGACATGCGAAGCCGTACCCAAAAGCCTTGGAACCCTGGAGCCCTCAAGACTGCCAGACCCCGAACCACTAGACTCCGGACGCTAAACCCTAAACCCCTGAACCCTGAACTCCAAGAACGGGGAGGATCCAGGATCAGGTCAGTGCAGGAGATACGCTGGCAGGACGGCAGCGTTCCTGGCAGAACCATTGCCGTGAAGGTACTAGATAACGCGAAACACGGTTTGGTCCGTGGAACCCTCAAGCGTACACTTACGGCGTATACACCAAGGGCTGTCGGGCTTGGGGTTTGGAGTTGTTGTGGTATGGCGGTTTAGGGGTTTACGGCTCGGAGCCTGAGAGCGCTAGAACCCTTTCAGCAGCCGACAGCCGTGCAGAACCGTCGTAGAACCTCCAAGATTTCAGGCCTTGAAACTCTCCAGTGCTTGCGCATAGATACTGCTCGGCGCCGCCAGAAGCATACATGAAGCCCTGAGAACGGGAAGAAGGATATGGATGGGGTTTGCGTAGGGAGTTTTCTGGAATTTTGTACGGGGCTTGACAAGGGTTTTAAAGAAGCCCGGTGTTATGGCAAGCATTTAGACCCGCGATTGATAAACACTCTCGTTCAGGGGCCTCACATCAGCGTCCCCATCATCATCCTTACCACGGGAGAGTTGTGTGAATCAGGGGTCGGTGTGTGAATCAGGGGTCGCCATGAGAGTCAGAGATCTCTCCGAAGGTTTGAAGCGCTCGGTTACAGGCTTGTGGCGTTTCTGTGGGAAGCCGCCATTGAAAGTGCACTGGCCTCCACCACCCTCGCCGAGTCGTGACGGAATGCATAGCACCAACAGTAGGAGAGCCTCATGATAGAAAGCCGTTATAGACCCCTACAAGCCCTGCAAAGCCCCGCACCCCCGATAAACGGAACAACCTCCTCTTACTACTGTTGCTGTTTCCTGCTGATTCTTTCAGACATCTATACTTACAAGCCCTAATTTGTGTAGCCGCCTCTTGGGTACACCCGGCACTGCAGGAACTTCCAGTCCTCAGAAGCTGCGGAGGCTCTGCATGATGAAATCCGGGTGAACAAACACAGCCTTCTGTGTTCCCAAAGCTCGAACCTACAAATGAGACGTGGCCCTTCAAGCTGAAAACAAGCCTCTGACCCCCAATGAGCTAAACACCGCCACAATGAGAGAAGCAAGTTTGCAGATGTACTGCATCTGTAAGACAACAAGCAACCCGCGCGTGCAAAGGAACTTATCATAAGTGCCCTCCAGCGACGTGATATTGCTGCAGTTGTGCTCCAGCCCCACGGCATCAGGCAAGTTGTACGTGCAGGGAAGCGGACTGCACACAGGCAACGCGCCTGGGGTCGCCCAAGGCATCTGAGTCGGGTTAGTCGGTTACACTTAGGCCTTAGGCTGTTAGGCTTCAGATCTGAATGGTGAACCCCACACTAGACCGAAGAGGGTCTGGCCTGTCCACTTTCGAAACTGCCATTGCGAACATCAGGCAATGTGGCTGAGATTGCCGTCCAAGTTGCCAGACAAGCTTCCCGAGTTGCAGGTCAGGACAGAGGCAACGCCGACCAGTCCATAGCCTGACATTGAAAATCTCTTTGGCTCAAGGGTTGGGATCCAACGTGCCCTAAGCCCGCAAGCCCGACTCTCACGAGACAAAGAACACAGCACCCGGCCGTAGACCATAACCCCTACAAACACAAAGGCCAAATTCCCTGACCCTTGCACAACCCGATAAACCCGTCCCGTTTTGACCCTACAGGCACAGAATGCTTTTGAGATCAACTCTCCGTGGATTTCAACGAAGCCTCGGCTGCAGTGAGCAATGCAGATGCCGCCATCAGCCACCCCGGAGCCGCTCGTGCCTTCGCTGAAGAGTTTGGGATTTCAGCTTCAGAACGTAGGGCTTTCGGGGTGGTTAGTTTTTTGGGAATCCGTTTTCCGTTTGCTAACATCCCGGCTGCAGAAAGACCTCCGAGGTCATGCTTGCTTCCCTGCGAACTGTCGCCAAACGGCCAATCTGGCCCGACTCAAAGCAGAGCCCGCTTCTGTCAAGGGCTTAAGAATTGGCCCAAACTGGCCTTTGCCGTATAGTCTTTGCATGGTGAGCCCTGGCCAGTGGAGTGGGTAAGCCCTCGACTGTAATGCGGGGTCTGTGGTAGTGCCACGGCGAATCCTCTGTCTGAAACTCCCCTCCAAATGCCCGACAATCCCAGACTTTCTTAGAAGCCCAGCTGCAGTCGTGAGCAAACTGGGGATCCGCCAGGCCAAAGGCGGCTGTTGCAGCTTCCTGGCAGCCTGAAAAATCCACACACAAGCGGTTGGGGGGGGGGGGGGGGGGTGGAGCCAGCCGAGTTGAGCTGAATTTTTGCTGAAACTTCGCGGTCCCCCTTTCCTGAAATGGACGATCCGAAGGGGGCTTTTATGCGTTCATAAGGGCATCATTGCATGTTGTAGTTTCGAATTATCGGGACTGTTAGAAAGGTACGAACTCCATTCTTGATGCCCAGGGGCCTCCCACGCCAAACAGACGCCGAACAGAAGAGGCAGTGCAGGTGACAACGCTGTCCTGTTCGAAAGGTGGTGCCAGCAATCGTCCCTTTCTAAAGCTGAGAGATCTAACCTGGCCCACTTTGGATGTTACTGTGGCCTATTCTCAAAAAGCCCAAGCTTGAAGAGACTGCCGGGAGCACGGCTCCTGGCGCACGAAAGTGAGTGTATTGGCATCGCAGATATAAGGAGCTGGGGTGCCCGTGTAGCCAGGCTCGCAGTAGACCCAGCCTCAGGACAAAGGGTCCACATCTCTCTTGACATGACGGCTCACTATGCCTGCTATTTGGGGCTCTGCACGTTGCACCCTTGCAGCAAATATCTGTGTTGTTCAAGAAGGACCTGACCAAGGTCCCGAAATCATCAAGCTGTGGGGCTCGCAATGGTCACGGCCAAGGAGCACTCGTCTCCCAATTTCCTGTCCTGCACATTGAGGGTTTAAGGGCTCTAGGTGAAAAACTTGGGCATTAATGTGTAGGCTTTGTTTGGGTTTCGAGCTCCGGGTAAGCTTCGAGTTTCGGGTTCAAGGTGCTCGCATGCAACACCACGGGCGCATGAAGCCCTGCTACCTTTTTCGAGGCTGCTGCTGGAACCCATACGCCAGCCTGCCCTGGCCCGAAATCCCCTCCTGGGCTCTCAAAGAGGTGTTGCTTGTAAACGGAAAACGGAGGAAAAACTACTGTTCAGGGTCTGTGCCGGGACCCCCTACTCCCACAAGCCCGTCCTGACAGCTGCTCGCATATCCGGTGGTTGGAGAAAGGTCCGGGCAGGAAGCCTCCACGACTTCGGAGATAGTGCCGTTGAAGCTGTGATCTGTCAAGCAGATTAGCCTCAGAGTCGTGTGGTTGTATGAATCTTCTATCTTGGAGGGCTGAGGGTTGGAGTCTTGGGGCTTGAGGTTTCCTCGTCTTGGTTGAAGCTCATTGGAGGTAAAGTGGGCTCTGGGTGGCTAGGCCTGGCTAGGTGGTTTTTTGCGAGCAATAGCTTTCGAGCACCTCCGAAAGCTCGACTGTTATTTTCGCGCTGAGCCTGGAATCTTTTGTAAGTCAGGTTCAGGCGCCCGGTGTCTTCATGGGACTCCACGCCGTCTGTCAGTAATGGCGCTAGACGCGACAAACCCTTTGTCTCTGCAAGCCCCCTATACAGTCCATACACCCAGTGACCCTCTGCTTGACCCTCAGACCCTCCGGACAGGGAGCACGCTGTCAGTCATGGAGAATCCCGGGAGTGCCGTAACTGTGCAGTTCTCCAGTGTGGCCTTGCCACTGCAGTCCTGGACGGGAGGCATTGAGCGAAGCATGTCACCCAAAAACGAATCGCCATGCAAAAACACATCTTGTGTGATACATGTACATGCATACATGCATAATTACATACATACACACAGAACCCATACAGCATGCCGTGTTCAATTTGTGCTGTATAAATATGCACCCAAGACAATACTGTACACTACAGTATAACACATTCTTCTCCGATACAATACAGCACAAAATTCCAATAGAAGTACAAATGCAAAGAGAAGTACCAATATCAATACCAACACCAATACGATACGATACGATACTAGTAGAGTACAGTGCAGCACAGTATTTCGCAACAGGTTTTTACAATACAGTGCAAGACAATCCAATTCGATATGTTATACAATCCTGTATACATACTTCAATTCAGTATCATCCCATGCTTACACTGCTGCATACTGAGTATACTGTGTCGCTGTTTTCTTTGACTTCATGTCTGTTCCCGCGCACGTGAATTCCTAGGTCTGGTACTGTGTCGCACTATGCTGCAGACCCTTAAACCCTAAACCCCTAAACCCAAAACCCCTAAACCCTTAAACCCTTAAACCCTAAACCCTAAAGCCTAAACCGCCTTCAACCTGGAGCCTTGAGCCGATCACCGCGAATCCGGAAAGTGCTCTTTACAGCCGAGAGTCGTTAGAGGTGCCACGGACGCTGGGCAGTCCGATGGTGCATGGTTTTGCGGTGCAGACCTGCATCAAAATGGATAGACAGGGGTTTCGCTTTGAAACTACAAAGACTCGACACCCTCACCAGGTCAGCCGGGGATCTGGTCCGCTGGAGTTTTCCGCAGGGGCTCTCCCCAGGTACTCTGCGAATCCGGCGCTGCTGAGCGGGGTGTCGTCGCAAAGCATCACGGTTGCATTGCCTTCGATCTCCCAGCCTTGCTGAAGCGTGAGCTGAGCTTGCTTTGCTTCAGGGCGGAACGGGGCTTCTTTCAGTTTGGGGCGCACTACCCAAGCCATCGTCCCAGCCTGGCTCGCAGAACGCCGTGCAGATGTCTCCGAACTCCTGGGAACTCTAAGGGCAAACTGCAAAGGTGCCAAAGGTCAACGTCACCCCTCGGCCAAATGAACCGCCTACCAACCCCAAACCCTAATCCGAAACCCTGAACCTGAACCCCAAACTTCAAATTAGTGCTCTCCTTGTTGCCGCAGGAGTCAGCAAAGTGGGGCTCCGAGAAAGGAGAGATCGAGGAGAGTGGGAAGCCTCCGGAAGAAGGCGCAAGGGCTGCACAGGATTTATACAAGGCGTTGGATTTAGCATTTGCTTTTGCTGTTTATGCTCTTGGGGAAATTAATGGGGCTGAGGGCTTAGGATTCAAGAAGCAGGGGAGACTTCGCAATGTGATGCGTTCGTGAGAAGTTGGGAGCAAGCCATCCTGCGATAGTCTAGTAGGGCCCAAGTTGGTCGCAATCAGAGCCCCCTGCGACCAGTACAAGATCCACCTGTCACAAGGCCAAACTCCTGAAGTTGTGCTCTTCTCAAACTTGCTTCATCGAGCTGGGGACACGGCATTGCTTTGGCCGGCACTCAAAGGCCCCGGTGGCGCTGAAGCTGCCATCGATTTGGCAATTCAGCGTCCTTTGGCTCCAGGCTTCGGATTTCGGGGCTTGCGCTTAGTTCTCCGATTCTCGGTGAGAATGACGGCAACAAACAGACCTGAAAGGCCCCACAGCCGGGAACTAGTAAGCAGTATACAGTTACATTATAAATCTGTTTCTGGACATTAACTACTCTGCCCCGCTGCCCTCGTAAACTGGACCTCAGCCCTCTCCTATGTCTTCGTCGGGGCATATGCGAATGCTCTGAGAAGATCCTCCATATTGAAACTCTCGTCCCAAGACACACAGAGAGAGGCAGGGAGAGAGAGAAAGGAAGAAAGAAAGGCAGAAAGGCAGAAACAGAGAGAGATGTGTATATATATATATATATATATACATACCCATATGCTTTTGCATCCAGATATGGGTTGTATGTATAGATGTTATAATTCTATACGTATGTATGCATATCCCATACAAAAAAAAGCATGCTCCGAGCCGAAGGATCCCGTTGCCGCTGCCCTCGAAGCCCCGAGTGCAGCCCAACTCGCAGCTGCTGGAGGTGGTGATGCCCACACAGGCCTGTAAAGGAAGCCTACTCTAGTACCCATATAGTACCCTTAAAGGGAAGGGACTCTATTGTAGAAATCATAGTGGTTTAAGGATATTTAGGGGTGATGCGGTGATAACCTCCCAACTGTTTTCACAACATCCGGACCAGACGGCCTTAAGGTGTCTGAGGCTTGGGTCTGTGGGTCTGTTGATGGTGATGCTCGCAACAAGGACAAGCGGGGGATTCAGGGAGAGGGATTTCAAACCCCAAAGTGTTTGCATGGCTTATGAGGTTCGGGATTTTGGCACGTTCCATTGCAGTAGACCAAGACAAACGGCCAAGGGATTGAGGATGTTTTGAGCGTCTTTGCCCAGAACCTTAGCTTAAGATTTTCGGTGGTGTCTTCTTGGTGCTGTTGTTTGGGGCTTAGGCTTGTGCTTCATCGGTTGCAAGAAGGGGGAACGAACATGAGCCTTTTGATTTGGTCCGGTTGCCTGAGAGCCCCTGTTGCAGCTGCCTTGGGGCAACTACGTTCTGCTCTTCTGGGCAAGATCGACTGCACCAGCGAGGACTGGCAAGGTTAAGCAACGGGTCAAGTCAAGCTCTTCCACAGTCTTTCTTCCGGAGAGGGTCGCCCTCCCTCCAGTCGTTAAGAGCCTTTAGGCACTATGCCACTAGCCGCGAGACTACGGACTGTCACAACAGCCTGCCCAAGAAGACACTGGGAAGCCTCTGCAGTGACGCCCACCCCGATGACGATGCCTTCTAAGGAGCCTTGGCTGCCAGAATCTTTGTGGCGGCAAAAGCAGAATGCAAAACACAGCCCGGACTTCGACGATTGGAACCAGACCTCTGGCCAGGAAGTGCTTTCTCTTGTGTCTTCCGCAAAGACGCCCTGGATTAAAAACCGACCTGGAGCCTTTCAACATCCAGTTTCAGTCCTGGCACAGATCCGGGCGCTGCAGTTAGGGAGATCGCCTAAGAGCACGCCGTCTTCGCACGCCAGTTGCTTTGGGAACCCCGTGTATCCCGGGGAGCATCTGCCAAAGCCTCGGCAAAAGGGGCCGATTCGAGCAAGGAAAGTACGTGTTTTCACTGCAGGAGCGATAGCACGAGCTTCCAACTGCGGTAAGAAGAGAATTTCAGAACACCGCGTTTACAGCAACTTCTTTGGGATGTCTACCTTGCTGATAGTCAAATGCAATGCTCCGTGCAATCCGGTCATGCATCGGGCAAAGTGAAGCATCCAAGCGTGGACCCTAATTCGAGAACCCTAATTTGGAGAACCCGCATGGAGATGCGAAAGCTACATGCGAGGAAGGAGATCGTCAAGAAACTCCGAGAACTTCGCTGAGCTTGGCTAGACACCTGTACACGTGCACCGCACATAGCATTCCCACACCCTAAACCCTAAGCCCGCGGATACCAGCACCTCAAGCCTCGATCTTCCCTTCTTCATCACCTCATCCCACAGCCGCGACCAATCGAGCATCAGTGAAGCCCTAATTACAAACCTTGCACATCCTCGTGTTTCGGAACATACGCAACCTAAACCCTGAAGCGTAACCAAGCCTGACAGATCCTGCGAGTCTTTTGGACTTCGACAAGCGACAGAGATCTCCATGGCGTGCACCCGCACAGTCAGTCTGGAAGGAAGGACTCGATGCAGGCAGCGGGCAGGCCTTCCGCACACCTTCGGCTGTGGATTTCGGGCTGCTTTGGGCGGACAGTGGGCTGGTTTGGGATTTAGCGTTTAGTGCTTAGTCTGAAACTGAAACAACCCTGAATCCCAAACCCAAAAGATGATACGAAGGGCAGCTTGGACACAGCTTCCGGCTGTGCCCTGGAAGACGCCATCGACACCGCACTGAAAGGTGGAGCCTGAGTTTCGGTTTACAGTTTGAGTTCAGGGTTTACTTGGGTTTGGTGCCTAGGCTGTTGGGAGTGGACGCCTCTTGGAGCCCGTGCAAAAACTGGAGGTCACCTTGGAGGCCAAGCCCTGCGAATCTTTCTGAGATCCGGTTTCTGGAGGGTTCAGTCTTTCTGGAGAGTTGAGCCAAGAAACTGCTCCCTTCGTAGCCGCGCTTGCACGCGACCTGGCCGCCAGGCTTCCTACCTTCTTCCTACGTTCTGCAATCGGGGGCCCGACTTCCGCCCTCAACTCATGTTCCGCGTCCCCTTGCGAGACAACCACCTCGAACTAACTCCGAACTCCCACGCTCAAACCCTCGAGCCTCACAGGACTCACCCGACAGAGTGCCGATGCAACTGCTAACGTTGAAGCTCACATCCTGCACTCGCATTGACTGAAGGCGTGAAGTCCGGGATTCATGGGAGCTTGGTGCTGAGGGCGCAAGACTGCATAGACCCACCAAGTGCGCGGCTTGCCCTGAGCATTAGGTACTGAAACTCTTTCAAGTGCGGGCTGCGGGCAGTGCGCTGGGTACTGTGTCACTCCACGCCACCCTGATATGACCCCAACATTGAATTCCGTACATGAAAGTCATGATAGACCCATGGAAGACGACACGTGCAGTGCCACACAACGGCAACGTCCAGGTTATTCGATATTAGGCAGTGAATCCGAACACTGCTAGCAGAGTGCGCCCTCCAGCTACAAGGGTGTCCTCCGGAAGACCGGACGTGCCGCAAGCTAACCGTTCGCAGGTTGGCGGCGTTCCGGAGAACGAAAGATCCTCCTGGCCACAGCGATGTGAAATCAGGGCGTGTGGGGTTAGAAATAGGACGTTGCGGGACCGCCGGAGAGTCTTGTGCGATCGGAGTCTTTCAGGAACTGCTGACCCCTTCAGTGTTGAGGAGGAATGGGATGTGAAGCCGACGCTGACCTGCCTGAATTTTGCCCATGCGCACCTGGCAGGTGAGCACAGACTCCGCGAAGACGAATCCCACACGGCATCGCATGAAGCAGAGGCTGCCGACTTCCGCGTTCTCGCCTTGGCCAAAACGGCCCTCCGCAAGAGCTGACATGTCTTCTGGCTGACAGCTTCTCTCGTGGAACCGCCATTGACAAGCATGAAGCGAAAGGCCAGTCAAGTGTACCGACAATCGGATAACCTGACTCCACAACGTCATGTGCCTGCACACTTACAGCTGGATCCTATGGACGTCACCAGACTTCGGAGCTGAGCGCTTCTGCATCCTCACCCAGTCGTTTAAGGCGGTCAAAGGCTCAACTGCTGGCGTCTACATCCGTAGAGGCCATCGGCAGAGCGCTCAACGGGCCTCAGTGTGCCAGTTTTTTCGACGATGTGCTATTTGGAGCTTAGGTACGAACCTGCGACCTTGCGAACAGTTGCGACGAAGTTTCCCTGCAGTTTACTGACTCGGCGTTTGCTGGAGCTTCGCAGGCCCTAGGAGTGGGCTCTGACGCTGCATTTAGAGTTTGGGACATAGTGTTTAGGCTTTTTCTTTGAAGTGTAGTGGCCCTTTCTCTGCACGAGTTGCACAGGTCTGTTGCTCACCTCTAATAAGTCATACACGGAGATGGCATGAGCATTTTACACTATCCTTCCTCAAGAAAAATTGCATACGAACTCGCTGGAACACAGATCTGCACACCCTCTTTCTTGGTTTAGAGACTAGGGTCTCAGGCTGAAGCTCAGTTTTTGACTTACACGGTCGTGGGCTCGAGGGTTAAGCCTTGCGCGAGCAAGAGATTGCTTGGAACTTTGATTGTTGGCTTATGACTTGGGAATCCCCGGCTCTGCTTTTCAAAACGGCTCCCAAGACAATGTGGCACTTAGGTTCTTTGGACATGAGGAAGGAAACATGACAACACATTGCGACTGCATGAAGTCTCGGTAGATATACAATCATGTCACTGATGCTTGAAGGCTTTGAAAAGAGTTCGGCCCGTGCGTGGCGGTGTTTATGGCTTGTGGGCTTCGCACAGAGGCATGTTCCGGATGGTGCATGAGCCTCTCAGATCCCGCTTCTCTGATGCTGGCAACCCACAAAAACCCTCGAAGCCCTGATGTCAAACAACAGATGTGCGGACTCCTGTGAATACGAGCCCTTTCACTGGCTGCATGTGAAGGGCAGGTGGGCAGCAGGCACGACAGCCCTGGCCCTTCGAAGAGTCCGGTCATGGGGTTGCCTTCGAAGCGAGCTTGACTGGAAGGCCCGAATGCCCCACTGCAGCACCAAAAGCGATGCCCTCAGATCGGCTCTAAATCACCCTCAACCCCACACGCCCGGAACCCCGCATCCTGCTGAACCCTACATGAAACCCCAAGATCTCGCACTGTGCACGGCTTCGTCTCTCTCTTCCTTGCGAAGGGCACAGATAACCACGAGCGCCTTTTGGCCCAGAGAAACCGAGACTCCGGAACCTTCTTCCCATCTCGGGATAGGATTTCGGGCTTCGGCCCTGAGGGTTTAGGGCCTAGGGCTTTCATGCTTTACGATTTGGCTCTGAATCATGAAGTTTCAAATCACTGGCACCCCGACTGACTCTATTGCAGGCCATACACAAAGTTGATGTGCACCTTTAGGGAGGTTCGACTAGGGCTAGGGATCGTGGTTTCGGGTGCCGGCGGGAGCAAAAGTGAAAAGAAGCCTCGCCTTCCTTGGGGCGCCCGCACAAACCTTACCTTTGGGTAGTAGGGAATGGACGAATGGGGTACAATTATAACTACCATTACTACCATTCTTCCATTCCCTACCAACCAAAGGTAAGAAACTCTAAGATCCGAAACCCTGAATTGCCTTTACTCTGAAGCTTCAGACCTTCCCTAACCCGAAAGCTTTAACCGAGAAGCCCTAAACCTCAACCAGAACAACTTGACGCTCAAGGCCAGCGGCACGTGTACTCGACAGGAACTCCTTGGAATCGTGCGTCGCAGGTGACGTTGCCTTTGAAACAGGGAGCACCGCTACGCTAGACTGCTACGAGGAATGCAAAGACGTCTTCCTCGAGAGCCTTCCCAGAGACTCCAAAACCCCTAAACTAAGCACTACACCTTACATGAAATTCGGAGCTAACACTCAGGTATGTTGCTGACGCAGCTTCTCTCCAGAACCCTACAAGACTGCCAAGGATCTGTTCCAGACTGAATGTAAGGCAATGAGAGTACCGCAACTCGCATGCCTGGAGCCCGAGCCTTAAACCCCAAACCCCAAAACCTAAACCTGCAACCGTAACACCCTAATATCCCAAACCCTAAACCCCCGAACTCCAAACCCAGAACAGGCACAAGTCTGTCCGCTCGCCAGACCGGAACAACCGGACACCACGATGCCACGGCCAGAAGGCAAGCCACCTTTTTCTTCGGGCTTGGGGTTGTTGCTCTTGGGCATGGGGCTCTTGGGGCTGTTACAGTCCTGTTGGTGGCAGTTAGGCTGCTAGCTTGTCATGGATCCTGACATAAAACATGAGTTTGTTCAGGATTCAGATTCAATGCTCCTTGCTTTGGAACCTTCTGCCACAAGCTCTTCTGGCTGTGGACCGAGACTGACTCCTGAACGGCACTACCTACAAGGCGCGCTGACAGCCTTCTCGAGCTGTTGCACCTGATCCTTTCAAGTATCTCGTCCAAACATGCCACGGGTAGTCCCACATAGGTCAAGCTGCCGGGCACCGCGAAGGCTTGGCCGAGCAAGAACTCGCAATAGGAGTCTTCACTTTACGTACACTTGGACTTGGTTGGAACCAAAGTTGCGTGGTAACCGGAGTCCGAGTCACGTTTACTCTGACTTGTAGACTCCTTTTAAACAGCGTTGGCATGGCCTTTCATGCGATGACCGGGGGAGGCCATGCTCCTCTACTTCCTGGCCTGAAGCCGAAGAGCCCCAAGCCCTAGAACCCTAAACCCTGACAATCTTACAGAAGGGTCGATCCCCCTGGGAAATCTTAACACTATCGGGGGCTTGATAAACAGTTGGAAGAAGGCTTTCGGGGAGGTATATTGCAGTATGATTATGTGCGGTTGTGGACGGGAAGGTATTACAAACAATTCCGGCCTCTATCCTAATCCCGAAAAACCCTTAACCAAAGGCACCTGAACAGTACACCAGTTCGGTGATAGTGGAAGTGGCAGTGCTCGTCATGGTCGTCGTACCTGGGTCTGGTCTCGCAGCTCAAGGGATCGCGTTCCTGTTCATGGTGGTTTAAACCAAACCCGCGACACATTTTCATTTGAACAACCCGACAAAAAAAAAAAACATAATTAGCGAAAGCCATAGAACCGTGCAAAGATACGAAAGGGTGCTAACTTTAAGTTTAGGGTTCAGGGGCCGGGGCTCTCCGACTATCCAGGCCCTTCCCTTTCACGGAAAAACCTGAATCTTAGAGATGCATCTGCTCATGCCAACCCTTGTTGCAATCCGTTTCCATTTCCGTCTAGGAACGTTCAGTGCAACCCTTAAGGGTTCCTTTAAGGGCTCCTTCAAGGCTTCCTGTAAGGGTCCCTTGAAAGGGTTCCTTCAAGGGCTCCTTCAAACGGTTCCTGTAAAGGGTTCCTTTAAAGGGTTCCTTTATCGGAATCCGCGTAGGAATCCTTTTGCAGTACTGCAGGTGAGGCGCTGCAGGACGGCAAGTCTCCTGTGAAGGATTCGTCCTCTCCACCTCTGCATAGCTGAGGATTTGGGGTATTCAGGTTTGAGCTTTAGGGCTGAGGGTTCAGGGCTTGCGAGTTTGCGTGCTTTAAGGGTTTACGGTTCACGTCTCAAGCCAAGTTAGTGCTCGTGTCTCGACTCGGTCAAGCTGGAAGACCGCAACACTGAGCTTGAGTGTTTTGATCATCGGGGCCCTTTGCCCAAATCTCGAAGCCCAAAATCCCGAAACCCAAACCCAAAACAGTAAGCACCCTCAAAACTAGGACCCTAAACGCTGAACCCCCCCTACAATGCCTAGCTGGGCCGAGCTTGGCTCCAGAACCAATCAGAAGCCACGGGACAGGTGAACGTCGCCACCGGACCCTCGAAGTCCTCCGAGCACATCACCTGACACCTGACGTGCTCTAGAACTTTAGGAACCTCAGAGGTAAAGGTTTGGGGCTGAATTTTGGGCTTCAGGCTTTGAGGTTTGACTGTTCAGGGTTTCGTATGAAGGCTTTACATAAGCTTTATATGGAGTTGAGGCTTTTGGGTTCGGGGCGCTGGTGCTTTGTTCCCGCAACTGTGGCGAAGGGCTTTCCACGCAGGTGGTTGAAGGTTCGGATGGGATTTTGGCGAGGTTGTCTGCTGGGTTGCCGTCATGATGTGGTCGCAAGGTCACATGTGGGATCGTCGAGGGGTTCTGTGAAGTTCTTGTTGCAGGGGTAGGGCCAGTGGGAGTGGCAACGCATGATAAACTGGCGCTGCCTGTGTGGTGCCGCGATAATTCGTGTTCGGAATTGACATACATGGCGGGAAGCAGATTCGCACTGCTCCTCAATCCCGCGAGAACATGCGGGGAGTGCACTGCGCTCATGTCTCTGAATCTGCCGAATATGGCGGCCGTGTTCTGAAACCTACCAGTACATACGGGGAAGCTTTGTGGCCACGCCTCTGAATCAGGCCAGTACATGCAAAGGATGGATGCATGGAGGAATGGATGTACGAACGGATGAATGCATGAAGGAGATGAACTTAGGTCTTAAACCCCTCTGCTCCAAAAGTTAAAAGCTCTCGGGACACACGTTCTCTAGCCGGTTTCGAGTTCAAGGTGTTTGAGGTTTCCGGCTTTCGGCTTAAATTTCCACGGATACTCTTCGCTGAGTCCCAGCAGACCAAACAGCTTAAATCAGTCGCTGAGGCACGTCTCGCCAACAGTCTTTCCTTGGCTTTACGGAACTTCTGGAACACACAGAGCCAGGCACTGTTTGCAGACCACCCAACACAAGAACCGAGGCTGGAAACGCTTACAACGGGCGAAGGGGGGCTGTGCTGTCCTTCTATGAACCTAGCTCTTTCTTATGAGGTTGGGGGAGGGAGGCAGGCAAGGAACTGCTTGTCATGTTGGTCGAGTAGAGGCAGTGGCAGCAGTAGTCGTCGTCGCCCTCGTCGTAGTAGTCCAGCATACAGGGAGAAACACGAACACTGAGGCGACGTAATGGAGACTTGGATGTGGATGGAGAAGCAGAGGTGGAGAGCGTCATTTAAGCAGAAAAACTGAACATAAAAACTAACACCCCGATACCAAAGTGCCCCTTTCCACAACCACGGCTCCCAGGCAGTCCATCACATCCACCGATGGCTCTGCAATGGGAAGCCTGGGACGACATCTCGGCAGGCAGGAAACTGACCATGGTGGCTTTTACGTGCAGCACGTCTTCTCAGGGTCCTTCTCCTCTCGCAGATCAGAGGTCAGGGTGTGGCACTTGTGGGGTTCATGATTGTCGGTCCTCCATGGGTAGCGCTGGGTTCGATAGCTTCACTTATCTTAATCCGGTGCGGCTTTCTGGCATCGAACCGCTCTTGTTCTGCATCCAGGCGACGGACACTGACCAGGGAGAATCGTGAAAGTCTGCGTCGTCGTGGTCCCTGTCGTGGTGACCTAAGTGCGGGAGCTATTGCCGTGGTCCATACATGTGAATCTGCACCGAAACACACAGCTAAAGCTTCCGGAGCAATCCAACGACCTTAGCCGACATTGGTTTGTCCGAAATCGAAAATTTAGGCAGTCTTTTCTACCATAAACATGGATCAGCTCTGAGCTCTGGAACTCCAGGGCGGGGAAGGCTGAGAGACGTGAAAAAGGCTCTGGCCGTCGTGGTTGTGGCCGTTGTTGTTGTGGACGTAGTGGTTGTGGAGGAGACAAACTGCGGAAGGACGAACATCTGCGTCACCTTGATCTCAGGGGCTGAGCAGGGGCTGAGCATCGCAACGCGTTTTGCAACCTCCGGTTGTCCTCACCTCCTCTCACAACATTGGAAATCTGGCCGCCAGCTTCAAGGAAATGTTGCACGGCAAGAAAAGCAAAACGCAGAGGGAGGTCGATAGGGAACGTGACTGAGTCGAAGCATGCATCAGTTCCACAGCGTGCCTCGGGGTTCGCAGGCGTGTCGATGCATTTGCCGCTGCCGAAGACCGGTCGCCACGTGCCTCGGCTTTCTCGCAGAGCTTTAGTAGGTGTAGGGCTTTGGGCTTTGGGAGTGTTCGGGATTTACAGTCTTGGGTTTCAGTGTGCATGTCCGGCACGATGCCCTTCTGGCAGCCACAGCATTCTAGACGCGTCAGATGCAGACTAAGATATGATGTAAGAAGAACCTTGCGGGAAAAGAAATCAAGAGTTGGGCTTCCTGGCCCACGTCTCGCAATAAGCTGGCGGATAAAACATCTCAACTAGCTGAACGTGCAATTGCCAAGAGGAAGTCACGATGATGCACGCTAAGTCGCCCCAACTGCACAGCGTCCTATGAACTTGACCCATGGACAACCATGGAGGATGGATCACCTCTAAATCCTACACCCAGAAACCCTAAACCTCTAACCCTAAGATGCCATCGTCGTTCGACCCGCAAGCTGGCTTGAAACAGATCCGGCATGACCTTACGAAGACCTAAACCCCAAACATCCTATCCCCTACACTCAAGCACCGTAAGCTGCAACATGCACAGCCCATGTCAGCCCCAAACAACCGAGGTCAGGAACTATGCTACACCGGCTCGGAAAAAGAAACCCAACTCGGAAGCGAAACGGCTCGGCTTGTGGTGTACTCAAGACTTGCGACCTTCAGCTGGATTCTCTCTCCCTCTCGCTCTCTGCGTTTCTCTTTTTCAAAGGCCTAGGCTTTTTCAGATGTTACCATCTTTATAGCATTTTGTTCAGGGGTGTGCTTGTCCTAGAGGCACCTGCTTAGAAGCTATCATCATAAGGAAACCTGGGTGGTAACTGTAATCCTTTTTCTAGTATCCTACTGTAGGGTCCTCAGAGAGACACAGAAAGCCGAGCTGCAGTTTGCTGCCGCATCGCAAGCACCGGGATCCTCCTGGGCACGACGCTTTTTCAGGTTTTCCACCCCTGCGGACCTGATCTGTGATTGTTTGGTTTCGGGGTTAGGGTGGGCAAAAGGTTTTGCGTGTTGGGGCTGATAGAAGTGGGCAGGGGGCTGTTGGGCGCTTTGTGCTCTTGGTGGGGCAGCTTGTTCTGTTTGGGCCGCGTTGGGCCCCAGGAAAACTCCTTCATGAAGCTATGACACTTAGTTGGGAGGGGGATTGCAACGACAAAGCTGCCTTGCTTAGGGGTCTAGAAACCCTATAAAACATGTCAAAAAAGAGACAGTCAAGCTGCCAGGATCTGGGCGCAGCTGGAGATGTTGCCTCGGAGTTTTGGTTAAGAAGATCGGGCATGCGCCAGCTATGGCACTGGAGGGTTCGGCGTTGCCTCTCCGTTTTATTTTGGGAACGGTGCGAAACTTGAACCATGCAGGGACTACATGGGGTAAAATTTTAGCATCGTTTACAAGACTGGGATATTGTTGAGTGAATATTCGTATCCGTTGATTACGCCAAAATTACACTATACACAGCTCCACGAACCAAACTGCCAAAAGCCTCCTGGTGAGTATTGTGCCCTGCACTCTGCAGATTGATGTTCCAACTTGCCCGGTTGAATTTTTGCGATGCAATCACCTAGTTGATATGGACGATAAGGAATCAGAACCACTGGAATGTAGTCGTCCCGTCACAGTGAGAACTCTCTCCTCGAGCAGCCACGAAATGACGATCGACGCCTACCTTGATTGAACTCCTGGCTTCTCCCGTTTGGTAGTTAAGCTCCTGGCCCCCATGTCCATGTGGATTGTTTTTTCTTGCTGCAAGGAGGCCGTCCAAAACAATGTAGTCTTCCGGTGTGTAAACCTCGCTGGCCCAGTCTGCTTTGGGATACCGGCATTAATGAATCGGAGATTCCAGAAACCATCGCCTCAGGAATATTCCTGAAGGAATGTAGGGCTTCTTATTCTGAGTACTATGACTCAAAGAGTACGCCCAGATCGAGGGTCTGGGTCTTGGCTTTCCGCGCCTTTGCGATGAAGGCGGTACTGTATACTGGTCTTGCCTACATGCGATCCCTCAGAATGAGAATGATCTGATGTCTAGGTTCTTGAGAACTAAGAGTGTCATGTCGAAGCAGACGGGTCTTCGACTTCACTTCAAGGAATGTGTGACGAAAGCGTCGGCAAGCACCATCCTGCTCCTACGAACTTGTGTCCTTCCGTATTTAGGCTGGTTGGGACTCGTTGGGACCATCATTTAGGGCTTTGTAGTTTTACACGAAACTGAATATCCCTTCTCGCGTCCAGGCTGCATGGGCCCACCAGACCCCGAAGATCCCAAAGACCAATGACCAAGGCCACGCAACCGAGCATTCGCGGAGGTCGACTGGATGCGCTTTGGAGAGTACCCCCCAACTTCGCGAGCCAACTCTCGTCTTGCTCTTGGGGACCTGTGGCCAGGGTAGAATCCCAAAGTGACTCACAAGGCGACCAAAGCTTCCTGTGGAGTTCAGGGGTTTCTTAAAGTGTGGGGTTTTGCATATTGATCCAAGAGTTTAAGCTCTCGGGCTTAGGTTCCGCGAGCTTAAGCTGCTTACACATGCGCCCTATGCTGAAGAGCACTATCGGGAACCGAACTCCGTCTCTGGCGGTCCAAGAGAAAATCGGAACAAGGGGCATAGTCGAAGCTCAGATCGCCATTCTGCGACAACAGCCAGGCCTCCACAAGATTTCAGTGGAGAGTTGACGGCTTATGGCTTTCATCTTTCGTGCTTAGTCTTTAAGACCCTTTGCTACTAGGGCCTTGGGGTGCAGACAAAAAGCTCAGGGGAGTTTGCAAGTTTTGGAGTCGGCTCTTGCTCCGGTTCTCCCACGGCCCTGAGAACTCGAGCCAGTCCATCCCCTAAGAGCTTTTCTTCCTCAACTGTAGGGGTTCTATATTAGGGATCTCAGCGGATTCTACAAGGGTTCCGTGTATAAGGGGGTTTAGGCTTTGGGGTTGTAGGTCTTGGACCCTGAGTCTAGCAGCTCAACTGGGGCACTCTACATGGCTTCATGGCTCGAGTGTTTGACATGCACTGGATTCTCGCCAAACCCTTAAATCCAGCAAGTGACCATGCAAACGAAAACGTCACATGAGGCAGTGCTGTCCTTACTTGTGACCCTGGGGATATACACTCACCCACAGCCGAAGATAAACCTAAAGCGTTGAGGCTCCCCTTCGCTTTCCCGGTGGCCCGGCCATGTACCCATCAGCAGTTGGGCCATGCACGAAATCACAATTCTCGTAGCTGCCCAGCTGGCCTTGTTGCGGCGTACGATACTCGGGTACCAAGGGGTACTATGATAGGGCCTGAATAACTCGACCATTACCTTGGGGTACAGTAATGATTAGGAACTGGTACTCAACTGAACAAACACCTTAGGGTCTCGAGAGGGATCCGGATCGTCACGTGAGGCTGTAGTTGCTCAGGTGTCGTCTCTCCGCGTCCTCGTAATCTTCTTAGCTTCCTGTCTGGGCCGAGCCGGGGAGCTTAGCACGGTTTCTCGTGCTGCGCAGTGTTGCTGAAAGAGGCTCGTGTAGTACACGGTCTCCTTGGCAGCTGGGGGAGTTCCAGCGAGTTCTGATGAAATACATTCATTGTAGGTCTTTTCGAGGCTTGGAAAGAGCAAGTTTGTAGAGATCGTGGGTAGGCAGATGACCGGTTCTGTATTCAAGCTAGAAGCATCGCAAAAAAAATCCATGCCTTTCTCACGTCCAACAGACACCGGGTCATGTGTTCATGTGAGGCCTAGCTTTGGTGTCACGGCCCCAGCTCAAGGAGTCCAAGTTCAAGGCCAAACAAAATGGCTTCCTCAGTACTCCCTGATTAAGAAGGGTACCCAGGTCCCTACCTTCAATCTTCCACCCCATGAACTTCAACCAAAGTTAGGTCCGAGGTCGAAGGTGTCGTGGTGATGCAACAGCTGGATGCCATAGAAGGCTTCTGCCTCTGAAAGCTCCTTCGATGAGGTTTACACACTTTCCATACTCCAGGGAGTTGGAGGTACATGGTTGACGGCTCTAGGGTTTCGGACTTCCGAGGTGGAGTTAGGCTCTGACCAGGGCGGAGGTTAATGGTGCACCCACCGGCTGATACCTACGGCTAGAAGCGGGCTAAGGGTTGAATGAGCCCAATCGTCCGAATCATCAACCCAATCTGGGTTTTCGCCGGCACGTACTAGTTCTAGGTACATTCACTCTCTCACTATGACGCTGTTTCGCACGGGCCCGAATCCCGTCAACGTTGTTGGATGCGGCAGCCTACTTATGTGTCGCGACTTGCTGTAGCTTCTTGTGCTTGCGTGACAAGTCGATCAAACCTGTTCAGCCGTGAGCACTAAACATTCAAGTGCAGGTAGGTGGGTAGGTGGGTGGGTGGATGGGGGTGGGTGGGTTGGGGTGGGCGGGTGGGCGGGTGGGCGGGGATGTGCTTACTGCGCATTGCACATACTATGCGTATTACATATATGATGTCTACTATGCGTGTTTATTGCTTTCTGTCTATTTAAGTTGAAACTGATTATGTTTATTGCGTCAATTATGTATGCATGTATGTACACATGTATGCATATGTGTATGCACGTATGCATGTATGCATGCATGCATGGATGGATGGATGGACGGAAGGATGGGCGGACGACGGACGGACGGACAGACGGACGGACAGACGGACGGACAAATGTTTGCGTGTATGCGTGTGTGCCTGTATGCGTGTGTGCGTGTAAGCGTGTACGTATGTATGTATGTATGTATGTATGCAGTATTCTGTTCTTAGCATGCCCATCTACACCTTTCTCTTTGTAACTCCCATACGAGGGTACGGTTGCACAGAAAAGACACGACTCAAACCAGCCGTGCTAAGCACAGTGCTCGTGGACAAATACACAGTCAGACAGCAATGCCCAGAACCAGCCAAACTAAATCCGGCATTGTCCTGGAAGAGAAACTCTGGGTGCGTACTATGTTTGGATCTTCATGATGTGCCCAAAGTCCCCTTTACGGGTTCAGGGTTTAGGGTTCCTTTGCGGGTTCTTGTTACAGCTAAGACACGGAGAGGCAGCTAGGGAATTGGCCGCAATACCAGGAGTCTGCGTTGACGTAGGGCAGCACCGGGTGGCCTTCATGTCGGTCAAGCTTTAGGTGCAAACGTATGGCTTACACTCCAGACTCTGGGCATGCTTAAGCCCCCAGCTGCCTGACAGTTCCCTAAACCTCAAACCCCAACAACCTCTTGCAACTTCGACTGAGGTATGCAGATGCAGACCAAGGTTGAATTAAAGGCACCGACAACTGGCTGCTTGACTGCTTCGGCTGTTTGAATCTGGCTCCGACAATGTTGGCCACTGAGGTTGAACAGCCCCGGCACGTTCCAAGACAAGCGAAGATGCGTAAATCCACTCATAGACCTATCAACAACACAAACTAAGGGCTCGTCTTCTTCTTCCCACGGCTTTATCAGGCTCATCCCGTCCTGCCTGCGACATTCACCAGGATGCTGGTTGGACTTGACACGATGTTGTCGGTGTTTGTCAGCACGAGGTACCTGATCACTCTCAACGTTCTCCGCAACGATCGACGTGTGAGATGTAGCCAATACCGTCTCTTGCGTCGTATTTCGCTGTCGCAAACTTACCCCTGTTTGTACACTTGGGACAGCATCGAACAACCGGTCGGAGTTGAGCGTTGAACGAGCTTAAGATGCATAGCTCGCCGAGTATCGAGAAGATTTTGTAGTTTTTGGCCTGAGCCGGATCTCCTCCCTCCCCTGCAGGCTGTGCATTAACTTTAGACCGAACAAAACAAATCGAGGCCTGGTGGTGACCCGCGAAGCCAGTTCGCAGTACAGCTCCACCTCGTGTGGGAGACCCTACACCCAGAGAGCCCAATGCACGTCAACCGCTAAACATACTTGGAGTTGCAATTACAATCTGAATACTCTTGGGGTGTGCTGCTCAGTTAAGGTGTATTGGGATCTCTGAGAACTCCAAATGCTATTCTGGCTTCAAGCTTCGATTGGAGCTTCAGTTCCCGCACTTGGCAACACCAAGGGAGGAATATTATAGGGGCCTTAATCCGTTAGAATAGGGTTTGAATAGCGTTTCGGGGCCCTGTGTACAAAACTCAAATAAGGAAACCCCCAGGATACTATAGCTAACTTAGTTAGGCCCCTATAGTACCTGGCTCTGATTTCGGGGCGGTTTCATCTCCCTTCCAATGCAGTGAGCTAGGCCGATCTCAGGGAGGGCCTCCAGGCTCACGTGGATGGCGCTCACTCACTGCAGTCCCTGAACCCAAAATCCGAAACCTGCCCAAACCGCCTGTGTTACAGCGCTAGGCTTTCGGCGATACGACCTCAACTGCTTCCCCGTATCCAGTCTGAAAGTTGAGGATTCTGCGTTGCCTATACTGCCCACTGGGATGTGGCTTTTCTGGTCTCCAGAAACCAGAAAGGCTGGCTTGTTGCTCAAACGCTTGTGAGAGGAAATACCAAGTCTGCTGTCGGAGACCGCAACGTGCTGATTCTTTTTACGAGCCTTTAGGGTTTCCTGTTGGTAAAGTTTAGGGTTCAGGGCAACAAAAGCTTAAGGCTTAGGGTTCAAGATTTTCGGATTCCTTGTTCTTCGCCTGCACACTCGAAGCAGAATGAACAGGCCAAAAAATCCAAGCTGCCGGATCCCCGGAGATCGTCAGGATCTCGATTTGCGTTGTGCCTTCATGGAGGACACGGCTACAACGCCGCTGTAGAGTCTACGCAGCCCTCACCAGGCGCACCTTGCAGCGTGTTGATGCTGTAGCTCGTCTCATCGAGAATGTCCGCACCCATGATGAGTACTTTCCGGAAGGGATGAGAGTACCTGGCTGGCGTCTCTCCGTGGCTCGTGGGATACAGCCAAGGCTCACTTGCTAAGCTGGGTTCAGGGTGTAGAGGCATGCAGTCGAGTGCTCAGCTCTGGGTTCAAAACATAGCTTTGCCGCTGAAATTGCTACAACGATTCGGAAGCCCAGAGCTGGGTTTCGTTTCGCTCCACCCGTCAGTCAAGGGGTGGAATCATGCGTGGGGGTAGCCATCCAAAGGAAAGACGGCATGCCACCGGCGGATCTTGAAAACTCCGCCCCGCCTGAGCGAGTCGAGGAAAGCACTGAACTCGGGGGCCAAAGCCATGACCTTGGAGCAGAAATGCCGGTTGCAATGGGGTTGACTTAGGGGAGTTCCAGTTCCTTCGGTGCTCAGCGAGTCTATGCTGCTTTGCGAGGCCCATCAACTTCGGTGCAGCGTCTGGTTCATCCGGAGGGAAGGACGTCAGCTTCTGCTGCAAAGCCCAAGCCCTGATTAAGGAACTTAGGTGAAGAGACCACAGTAACTCGGTTCCTGAGTAGCCCCTTTGTAATAGGATACTTTTTTCTTACAATTCGGTTTTAAAGGCGAAGGGGTACTACTCAGGAATCCAGGAAGGCAGGTTTACCCAAGAATCATGACTAGCAACTTCGGCTGCAGGCTTCTTGGAGCTCTGTGTCCCGCTGGAGGTTCAAAGCCCTTTTAAGCACCTCTTCCGACTGTAGAGAGTTTTCGAGGGTTCAAGTTCTTATGGTTTAGATATGCGGCTTTACAATAGGGTTCAAAATTTGAGGCGTGATGGGTGCGATGGTCTCTAGCCGTCTGAACAGGGAGACCAACGGCGAAGTTTTCAGCTCTGGCTGCGACGGTCTGCATTGAAGGTCGATACACAAACCGGGACGGGCAAACGACTGAAAACATTACACGGAATCGTGACCAGGTCACACCAAGAGTGACTTCTGAGTCATTGATGTTGTCGAATATGTTCCCCGTGGAGCCATGGCGAATGTACTCGGCGGATTCGAAACCTCAGCCAAACCATACCGGAAAGCCTAGGACAGGCAAGCCCTAGAGCAAGCCAAATTCGAGTTGGCTGCCATGCTTCTTCGATGTTCAGGGTATTGGATGTTGGTATGCAAGTACCTTTACCGCGGCGTTCGGATGTCCAAATACATCTTCCAAATTACATGATCGGCCCTCGAACCGTTAAAAAACATGCACGTGCCAACCCTCCTATCCTCATTCCCTGCCCGACACCGAGCAGCCCCCTTGACTGGATTCGGAGCCTGTCATGGGCACTCAGTATACGGCAATGCTGTGTAAAGCCCCCCCCCACCCCCCGCACCGCCCCTCCCCGGCGAAACCTGTAAGATCTACATTCCGGTTGGCAGATGAGCTGCGCGCGACTGTCACTCACACATCCCAAGCATTCCGTTCAACACATACACGTAAGGCCTCCTGACACGTTTCAGCCCGAGCCCTGAAACGGAACTGGGAACGCTCAATAAATCACGGCCGTGCAGCTGGAATTCAGCAACCTTCGCTTCGGCAGGCGGCGGGGTCAGCAGAGAAAAAACTCTCTTATTTAGGGAATAGCCAAAACACAAGACCAATGTAATCTCAAAATCGCGTCTTGGGCCTTAGACCTGCAATGCTGCGGCCTGGCAGATAGTGCCGGGTATGTCGCTGCATCTTGCATATGTTTTAGCGGCTTCCAGTGGTCAACAGAAGGCTTGAGGTGATATCTTCTCTCGACTGTAGCTGAGATTGAGCTAGAGTATCTGGCTATTTTAGAATAGTTTCGTTCCGCAATTTAGGGTCAGGTCGGGTCGCGTCAGGTCGCTAGCTTCGCTACATTCCTAGCATACTTAGTATGCTAGCCTCAAGTCCCTGAAACCTCGTCAGGAAACGCTGGATACGATGCAAAAGCCCGAATCACCGAGCGCCGCGGAGTTAAAACAAGGGATCCAAATACAGACCCTGGACCCCTACATGTGGTAATAATGTAAATGGCCCTGACAACTGGAACAGCGTTTGGGGGTTCAAAAACCAAGGTAGGGACGATGAGGCAGCACCACTTCTAGTTGCTCGTACCGGCCCAGTGCCTCTAGGAGTCCCCAGACCTTCCAACGCATCCAGCAGGCATCTGGGCATAATTCCCAATGAGTACGGAATCGGCCTTGTACGGAGAGTCCTGGATCTGCTGAAGTGTCGGCTTCGGGCTTATTGAGGGCTCGGGGTCGGGGCTCAAGGTTCAGCTTGCCATTTACTGGGCAAAGGACTCTGGGGCTCAGGGTATGGCAGCTGGGCTGTTAAACCAGCACTACTGCAAAATTCGGGGCTGGAACAACATTTCTGCACCTCAAGCCAAAGACGAACATGGAGTCTCAACGCACTTACGAGCAATGGTAGGCGACAGAGGATGGAAGCTATAACCCAAGACCCCAAAGGGGAGATCACGATCTTGACCTCTTGTGATCTTTGTTTCAGTGCTTTCGAAAGAAACCTGAACAACAAGCAAGGCTCAGAAGTACAGACCATTAAACGTCCATGTAACCTTGACACAAGAAGACATTTCAAATGAATTGACAGAAAACAGGAATGACCGGAGTGGGTCCAGTGAATTGCCAAACTCTTCAAAGCTGAGGTTGGCCATCTTGATGTCGAAGGCAATGCCTTATGGCGTCAAGGCAAAGGGATATGAGAGCTTACATAAGGTTGAATGATTTGGTCTAGGGCTTAGGCATCATCAGGGAGTTTATGGATCCAGGGCTCCCGCAAGATGGACAACACTCCTTACGCAGCAGTTGCAAAGGATTCTGCGGCACACAAAGCTCAGAGTGCCGAGAATAAAGTCTACGTAAAATTGGCGCAGTGATTTCAACAGCGAATGCCTCTGAACAAACGGCATGCATGTCGAAGCCCTGCGCCGACGGGAAACAACAATCCTGCAAAACATGTAGGGAGCCCATGCTAAACGATCCTGAGCCACGTCACCGAAAGCCCCTTGCATCTGAAAGCCGCTGGTTTTGCCGTTGCAAGGTGCTGTCAATTTCGAAGGACGGGTCCTCCAGGTGGGTCAACAACTGCAAGGTCCAGGGATGCTCCACGTTGTAGATGGCATTGCCATTGATGTGAACTAGCCTCAGCTGGGCAGGCCAGAGGAATCGAAACACGGAAGCAATTCATGTCCGTGAAAGTGGATCAGATGAGAGCTCTCCCAGAAAAACATCTGATGCCCTGGCGAAGTCGCCCAAACCTCGATGTCCCCTGTCAGGCGACAACTCCAGTGGTAAATCCTTGAGAAAGCCGTCCCACGTGTCGCCTCCGGCATGGCGGGTTCGAGGAAGTGAGAAACAGAACAGGGGGACGAATCCGATCCACCAGAGAAGCCGCAAACCCTAAACTTTAAACCCCAACCGGCAAGGCTTGAGCTCAAGAAACACCCAGCTGCTTTCTGCGAGATGTTCGTCTGAATTCGTCGCAACGTGCCTCTGTAGCGGCTGCCTCGTATGGCCGCTGCCGGATAATAGAGGGCCTCCGCACAGCAAAGCTTTGGGATGAAATCCCTAGAAGCCTTTAATCTCTGCTCAAATCCTTATGAAACTCGCAACGGAAGCCGTAGAAACTCTGAAGGTGCTGTTTTGGGCATTTGCGGGCGAATTTTCTGAGCTTTCAACTTAGGTGCACAGCAAGTCAATGGCAATTGGCCGTGGGAGATTTGGGTGTAGGTTTGGGATTAGGGTTTAGGGATCATTTTAAGGCTTACACAATGGCACCTTCCACAAGCTTCTGCAGAGCGTGTTCGAGCTGTCCTGTGGCGGAGCTACAACTTGTTCGCAACTACTCCTCGTCTTGAGAAGCAGCATCTTGTTGCGCTAAGACACCCTAACCCCTGGGCCCCAGCAAACGCTTTCAAAGAGGGCCCCCACCTCAGCCACGTACTGCTGCAGCCAGTCCGCCCGGACCGGCACCTGCAGTAGGGCGGCTAGGGTTAGAGGCTTAGGGTTGATAGAGAGCTTAGGCTTGAGGGCTTTGGGTAGGGTTTCGGGTTTAGGGGTTTCGGGTTTAAGGCTTTCAAGAGGAGGAGGGAGTGCTCTTGAGTACTCGTGCGATCTCGGACCGTGACACAGCGTGGTAGAAAGAGACATCCAAAGAGGGCCAAGGCACCCTCTACTGATGAAGACCTATAGATCCAAACGCCCCTTTTTCCCTATCAAGGAGATCTTAGGTTGCAGGGGGCCACCGCAAAGAATACACTCGAAAGCTGCTCAGCGTTGAAGGATTCTAGGGATTCTAAGGATTCAGGGTTTGGGGTCAGGAGCTTTGGGTTCAGGGTTGCTAAAGGTTCAGGGGAGGCTTTGGGTTTAAGGGCTTAGGGGTTTATTGCTTTCGGAGTGCGTCGGGTTCACAGTTAGGGCATCCTGCAAAAAAAATGTCAAGGTTGAATCCTGGGGACGGAGTCAAGCTCCATGTAGAAGAAGTGGCTGTACTCGCCGACCGTTTTGTCCTGGTGTGATTGAGACGGTGCTTCTTGACATCTCTTCTTGGCCTCTGTAGAGATACCCCCTCTGGTTCCCACGGAGTGTCCACTGTCAAAGCCCAGCCTCAACACCGAGAAGCCCCTCGATGAAAAAGAGGACTTTACGACGGCATCTGCAGATCGCCCATGAGCTTTCGAAGCTCCAAGATCATCTCCCTACTTGTCAAGCTTCCTGCACCGAAAGCGACAGAAATCCCAACTCAGCCCTGTGTTGACCCCAGACTGCCCAGCGCAAAGTCGACCAAACAAGTGCCAGGGGGCAACAGCAGCTCGAAGAACGGATCTGAAAACCTCCGAGCTTGCCGGGGAAAGAACATCTCAGGAGCTCGGGAATCGGGAGTGAAACCAGCATCGGTGTAAACAGAAAGTCGTAGGATCCGTATTCATAAGGACGACCCAATGCAAGCACACCGGTTTCCCACATTCGTGTTGCCCCGTTCTCGCCGTCAAGCACCGTCAACGTTGCACCCGAACAACCTTACTCCCCAACAACACGTAAACAACCCAAAACCGAAACACGACGAATCGAGGCAAACAAAGCCCAAACAAACTAGACAGCTCCAGATCTCGAGCACTTTTCGGCCTTGTTCGGGCCGGTCACCCACGCCTTCCGGATGCTGTAACCACGGGAGTCCTCGGTTTAGGGATGTTTATCGGGTTTGTTATGGGCTTAAGACTATTGGGATACCCTTTAGGATTTTCGGGCTAGGGTTTGGGATTTTTCAGGTTCTCTCGCAGTGCGGGCAAATCTGATGAGCAAGAACCGCCGGTAACTTGATCGGCGCTGACTCTTATCTTTTCAGCTCCGAGCTGAAGGGAACAGGTTATGTGCTGTGCCCACGAGCCCCATGAAAAAGAAGCCCCGTCGATTTGTCCACTCCCAAAGAACCATGAAAGCAAAGCTGCGTAGACATCTTCCATCGCGGTGAGGTTGGCCTCTGACACAGAGCTTAGGGTTTCGGGCAAAGCATGTCGCATCCCGAAAGCCTCCTCGATGGTGAGGCTTCGGAAGCACTGCGCCCAGGTGAAAGTTCCGTTCCTCGCATGGAAATTACTCTGTCGTCAGTCGACTTGCCAGACTTATACTGTGTGTTTGGACCCGAGGCAGACTTGAGGTGCATGTTTGCTTTCTCTTGTCGTGAAAGGCGATGATGTCATGGGAAGGTCTGGACTACAGCTCAAGCCGCAGGCACTGATGGGTCAAGATCAAGACTCTTGACAGAACTCGCCTACTCCTCCCCCTGGCAGCGTCGCATCTGCCAGGGCCTCTCTTCGAAACTTGAGAGGCTCTTCTCTCGAAGTGGGAAGACGGAAGACGCGTCGAAGAATCATGGCTGACCTGCCTGGTACCCCGAAGCTCTAAGACGTGCACGCCAGGTCTCTCAAATTGCGTCTTGATAGCATCAGCTGCAGTCCGGGCGTGTGGGGATGCCTGACTCAGACACCAGCAGGGCACAGTGGTCGGTGGTCTGTGACTAAAAGAAATGCGATGACCCTCTGCCTGCCTCAAAGGTCTTGCTGAAAAGGAGAATCACATCCACCGCGACTTCCGGCGCTTCTGTGCAAGGCGGGACCTCTCTTCAATCGCATCTCTCCGTCTCATCGCAGGGAGGTTTATACAGGATGCCATGCTTCACACTGGGCTCCCAAGCCCTACCGGGTGTTCAGCGTTGACCCAAAGCAGAGCTTCAGACATCTGTCGGAGACTCCATGCCTGGGACCAGAGGTCGAAAACGCTCTGCAAGGACTGCACCTCCGAATGCTAGGGTGCGGGATTTAGGGTTTAGGGGCCTGGGGATGGGGGCTTAGGGCATTAGGTTTAAGGCCGCAGAGAGCCTCCAAGCAAGAAAAACGCTCGCCAAGAATACGAGGTTAGAGCGGTTGGGGAGGCCTGGATGATTAGCTTTTTTGTAGATCAAACTCTCAAAGCTCGCCATCAGGCCGTTAAGGATCAGATAACCTCGCTGGCCGAAACAACCTAGAGCCCTGGGCTCACCTCTAAATTATGACATGCTCATTTTCGGGATCTCTAAATGAAGTATCCCCAACATAACACTGAAAGCCACAGGCCCTGCAAACACGGGCCTCGGCATCTGACGCGTAGGGGCGCACGATGGCAAGATCGGCGACAGCTTGATGGAAAATCGTCCATAAACACCAAGGCCTCCATGAGGTTCTACAGTATGCTGTAGGGCTTTGTGGGATTACATCAGGGTTAAGGGTTTAGGGCTTCCCGAACCACCGAGCCGTGCAGAGCCAACCCGCCAGTCTCAACGATTTCAGCAGTTTCAGCACATCCAGCCTGAGCCACTTTGTGGTCATCCTTGTGCCTCACATCATCAGAAGGATGCTTTGCCTGCGAGTGGCGACTGAGGAAGGAGTGGTGCCCGGGCTTTCCGCATCAGCACCATCCTGGATGTAGTTCGTGCTACCAGTATCAATTTTGCACGACTCCGACGATCTGAGCGCTTTCTCCGGGTCCAGAATTGAACCTTTCTGTCCAGGCCTGCTCGGCTATTCTCAACCTTCCTCAGAACTAGAGCATGCACGCTGCCTCCGTGAAAGCTCTAACTCCCGCCAAAGACCGCAACCGCTGAGGCCTTCTTTCGGCATTAAACCCAGCAGGTTCCAGAGCAGGCGCCTTCAAAAAATGCCGGAGGCGCCGGGAAATACTTGGGCCGCTACACACCCAAAGCTGTGAGCCCGAACGCTGAACATGCCACGAAAGACTGGAGCTCATGCACTTTCTGGCTCACTGCGATTGCGGTATGCTGGGTCCGCAGCTCAAACAACAACCAGCATCTGCAGATCGAATCCACGATTCAGGAACCATAAGGAATGTGTGTGTTGCTCGTTAGAAATTTCATGCGCATCGCAGAGGACCAGGATGTTCGCCAAGGATGGTTTGGGGTTTACCATTTCGAAGTTCAGGTTCAGGGCCTGAGAAATCTAGCGTCTTCTCGCGGTGTCACACTGGAGCTGCGTGAACTTCGCACGCATCCGTCGACAAATAAGGATCCATCTTCTGACAGCCATCGTATGGCTCGAAGAAGGTAATAAGAAGTAAATGTCCTCCGCGCTCGTGGCACGGAAGACTTGGAAGACACGTGCCAAGTCTCGGTCTTGCACCCGGCGAAGGCGACTTTCACACGGCGTTCACTTCCGCAAAATTCACATGGGCCTTTATAATTGGAATAGGGTTCCTTTTGGGGGTCCTTTAAGGGGCCCTTTAAAGGGGTCTAGAGGGGATCTATAGTAGGGTTCTAGATTATCGTACAGACCTGACCCTCGCGCTCTGCTTTCCAGATGTTACGTGGAGACTCCTTGATGCTGCGGGATTGGGGTAACCAAACCCGTAGGACTGTGTTCCACGGTGCAAGGTCGGAGCCCAGGAGCTACATAGTATGAAGCCTCAACCCAAACAACCTGAACGAGCTGCATAGCATCCAGACCTCGTTCTTCAGTATCTGAAACCCCATGTTAGCTTTTGAAGCCCGACCGAGAGCCGAGAGAAATCGGCACGTCCTCTCTTGGCTAACATGAGAACAAGATGGCTCAAGGCCTTGGACGGTCTCAGGACGAACCTCGCTCCGGATTACAACGAGCATTCGGCCGTCCGTGCTTGAAATGGAGCTGTCAAAACAGCTGGAAAAAGACTTCGATAGTCCGCCGGAGGATACCCGGCTCTTCAACGAAAGCGCACTCCACTGCTTGGCAGGGGAGTGCGACAGAATAGCTTTGGTAGACAAGCCTTATGACGGGGACTCTGGCGGATCAGCAAGGAGCTCTGAGTTCCTGAACTTGAGAGACAATGCAACAAGATCAAACCCTAAACCCCTCTAGTCTGGGCAGAGATGCTCCTCGCGCTGGTCGTACTCCTCACGGTGAGAGCCCGGTCCGAGCCAAATTGTTCAGGTCTACCTATGCACATTGCAGGGCATCAGCCACCCAGATGTCCATACGAGGCGTGAAGTGCTGACAAACCTCACCCTGAATAGGATTCCGAGCTGAGTTTTTGGGAATTCGGGCGTCAGGCTAAGAAGAAACATCCAACCTGCGACGACTTTGAGCTCACGGCCTTGGCTCGAGCCTGCATTCCCTCACGCAGACCCTACCCAAAACACCCCAGAAAATCCCAGTCGCCAGAGGCTCGGATGGCCCTTATGTTAAGCAATAGGCCTGAAATTATCGAGGGATCGGTGCATTGCTCCTTGAAGGCATTATTCGGGGAGTCTCTGCATCCTCGGTGCCCCAAAGCCTTCAACCCTGGGGATGCCAAACGCCCCCTTTGTTCCACCATAAGTCCCTCAAAAACCGCCCTACCTTGAAGCCTGAACCTGCAAGGCCCCATCCTACCTTCAACGCATCCGCCGCCCCCAAAACCCTAGATCAAGAGACTTATAAAGAAGAACAACAGCTATGGGGGCTTCATGACTAGACCAAGGCTTTGTAGGGGCTGTTCATGTTCTTGAAAGGTGTTAAGCAGGTTTTTGATAGGGTCCAATACACGTGAAAACTACGTGTGGCTCTGTATCACTCAATCACAAAGGGCAAGAGTCCAGGGCTCAGGGTTTGGGGTCCTCAAACCCTACAACCAATAACCCGAATTTAAACCCTCCGACCTAAACCCTAAACTCAACCCTAAAACCTAAACCCTAAACTCAATATATAATATACCCTAAAGCCTGAACCCAATAAACCCTAAACGAATTAAAAAACGAGGACACCTTACGGCGGCTTGTGTGCCCTGCACTCTAGCAAAGCTCACTGGGCCGAGCTCGCCCGACAATAACGCCTCCAAGAGCCGTGCGCAACCAGGGAAAGCTGTGGGGCTTACCCAAGGGTTTGGGATCTGCACGGTCGAAGGTCTAGGGATTAGGGTTCTAATTGCCTTCTTGCTGCTACCGACGCGACACTGCAAGTTTATGGCTATGCGAAAAAGTTCTCCGACGAGTCGTTGGCTGGGTGCTTCGTCGGCACTTCAGCATACGTGGGGCTGCCGGCAACAGACTCAGATGTCGGCTTCTCCCTTACAAACTCCTTTTCAAGCCCAAGCAAAAGCTTGCAAAGCCCCAACATCCCTCGCTTGCCCACGAAAAGCATGCGTCGCCCTCCCGGCGTGACTGGCCTTCACGGCCAGGCTCTTGGTGCCCTCCGCGAACTAGATTCGGAATTCGTCTTCTGCGGCAGCGACACCGTGAGATAGGACGTCGCAACACCCCTCACACACTTATAGGCCCTGCAGGGCCCTGTATCCTGGAGCGAGACATGAACTATCGACAGCTCACACTTCCGGTCCCTGCTGCAGCGATCATTCTCGTATTCAGTGTATGTATGGGTGGACAAAGTTTGCTCTGAAATAGCTCAGGCCTGCCCTTCCTTTACTGACCTCAGTCTCTTGTTGGGGCGGCGTACGTAATTCACAGCCTCTGTACACGGAACCCTCGGTTATCTGCAGGTCCAAGTTGTGAACCAAGATCCCCCAATCCATCTTTCCCCACACTCTCCCGGCGCTATCTCAATCCAACTCCCTGCACCTCACATTCGATGGTAAAACTTCGACTGTTTTCAATGCCATCATGCCTCCGTCGTCGCCGATAGCCAGGACCTGCAGCCGGACCCCGTGTGCAAGCTCTAGGACTTCATGCTCTTGGGACTCCAGCCAGAAGGTGATGCAGTGGTACTTGCTTCTCACTCAAAATCACAAGGAGGGATGTGAAGAAGTAGATCTGTGGATGGATGATGTAGAGAAGGAGAAAGCGAAGATGGTGAATCTGGTTGAGCAGCCCTTCGAGTCCGGCAAGTATCAGATCCGTTTCAGATCACAACTTCGTAGCACAACTAAATAGCTTTGAAACAGAAAGTGCAGACAACAAAGCCTAGTCCGCCACTCCAAGTATCCGTGCATGAAAGGCAGCTACTACTGAGTACATGCACAACACCAAGGCCATGGAGCCAAGCAGAGATCGTGCCAAGAAGGACTTTAGTTAGTGGGCTGATGCCTTTCTCTCCGCGGGAAGCAACCAAGGCCGAGCAAACGATGTCCGTAGCAGGTGGCACCACCGGTCATCATCATCCAAAATCGCAGGTGCTTGGGTGCTTCTTTTCTCGAGACGTGATACTTCAAGAGAGCGTGGGAGACACAAAGAAGCAGAGAGATTGAGGGAGAGAGAGTTTGAGGGAGAGAGAGAGAGAGAGAGACAGAGACAGAGACAGAGACAGAGACAGAGACAGAGACAGAGACAGACAGAGAGGCAGAGAGAGAGAGAGAGACAGAGAGACAGAGTCAGAGACAGAGAGAGACAGAGAGAGACAGAGAGACACAGACAGAGACAGAGAGAGACAGAGAGAGACAGACAGAGCGAGACAGAGAGAGGCAGAGAGGGGCAGAGAGAGGCAGAGAGAAGCGGAGAGAGAAGCAGAGGGAGAAGCAAGTAGTTAAGCAAAGAGTGAGGAGAGAGAGAGAAGCAGAGGGAGAGCCAGAGAGTGAAGCAGAGAGAGAGAGAGAGAGAGAGACAGAGAGAGAGAGGAGAGAGAGAGAGAGAGAGAGGAGAGAGAGAGAGAGAGGGAGAGAGAGGGAGAGGGAGAGAGAGGGAGAGAGAGGGAGAGTGCGCCAGGACGCAAGGACAACTAGGCTCGCAGCCACGTCTGGCTGTTCTTCAACTTCGCCGTCCTGGAAAAGATTCCCTTGGTGTGGTGGGTTCCCGAAAACCACGTTGATGGAACAAGGCTGCATACGTCTTTGACACGATGCCAGATGTTGGATCGTCCGGAAAGTCTCTGCTACCTGATGCCAAGCAACCGACCATCTGAGGCATGCCAAAACCCCGAATATCTGAACCGAACCTGAACCCTCCGCTTTCTTGAGACGGACCGCAGTAGGATCCTTCTCATAAGGAACCCAATATATCCGTAGCCCTGTGGTTTGAATCCCCTTCTCCTCGAACATAACACCCGCCAGTGCGAGCATGTCTGCCAAGCCTGGACAAAACAAAACAGCGAAGTGCGACTTGGTTTGTTGAATAATTGTGATATCTGACTTGGCTGCTGAGGGCTCACGATAGGGGTGACCCAAGCGTGATGGCTTGAGGGGTGAGGTGAGTTTTGCGTTGTTCGGTGGCTGTGGGCTTTGCTGCAAACGCACCTGCCACAATAAGACCCCAAACCTAAGCAGATCCCGATGACGGTGGCTTAAAACAAGAGGAACCCATTCGCAGGCGGATCAGCAAACACCAAGACCAAGACCTCACGATTCCGCGCCTTCTTCGTTGCTGGGCAGCGCTGCCACCTGAATCAGAAACGGACTTCTCAACCAAGCTTCTGAGCCCTTAACCACTAAACCCCGAAGCCCCAGAAAAACTGGAACCTCAAAAGCCTGAGCTCGACTGTGTAACTGCCCGAAGTCTCAGTGTTTGACTTCGTGTTTAGTAAGGGTCTATGGTTGTTTTTCGGGTTCAGAGTTTAGGGTTTAGGGTCTATTGGTTCAGGCCTGAAGGTTCTCTCCGTCGTTGGAGAGCTCCTTCCAGGCAAAGCTTTCGTGCTCTTCGACATGTGCCGAGCTACACGTCTTTGCGCCTGGGGTTTATGAACTAGGACTTTGGGATGCGAGGTTTACGATTTGAACCTGCTGGAAACCGAGAAGGCAAGCATACAAGACCCTGAAAGGGTGCAGAGACATAAACGGAAACACATCTTCTCCTTCCGGTGAACTCGAAACATAATCCACCCGAGCTCATGGCGCCGCTAGACTGAACACACCATGCGTTCAAACCAACAAATCCGGTTTTCGGGAGTTGGGATCAGCGTGCAAGAGCTATGCAAGGTTCGGATGCTGTCCTCGCCGAAGCTCACGCCAGCTTCCTGCATCATCCTTTCCATCTCATCATCCTCGGCATTTCTGATGCTGGCGGCTGCCGCACCTGGCAGAATCCCCCGGCGAACTTGGTTTCGCGGCAGGTTGCTTTCGGACGTCTGGGTGCAACTTCCGGTCGGGGCGCAAAAGGGATCAGAGGGTACAGTCAGAGAAATTTGCGTAACAACGACAGTTCAGGGTTACCGCCATCAGAGCTACCCATAAGCCCGAGCGAAGTACTTGTAACTAAAGCTCATAACTTCTAAGCTCCTCACAACCCGAGGTCAAGTACTCCTGGCGAGCACATAAGCTACTCATAACCATGATTAAAGCACTTGCAACTAGAAGTTTGTGTTCTGGCTATCCATGAATCTTCAAGCTGGGGCTTTCGGCTGTCCCGTGAGGGTTTAGGCCAGAGGTCCTGCTTTGCATTTATGAGCATGACCTGCTTTTGTGGGTAGAACTACCCCTTTGCTGTGATAAGAGCCGAAGAGTCTTGCTGGCTCAACACGGGTACTGTAAGCAGCAAACACCCTGAGCGGCACAAACTCTGAAGCCGAAGCAAACGAAGACGAAGAGTACCCCGCCGACAACTCACTTCCGGCTGTGATGACTCAAGCGTGATCTAACAATCACCGTACCCACCCGAAGTGCAGAAAGTAAAACGGAGAAGAGACCGGTTCTTCTCGTATCTGCCGAAAGCCAGCATACTGTTTCGGTATGGGCTCCTAAACCTAGACCCGAAAACCTCACACCCGACCCTTTGAAGAGGCGCAAGGGCATCACAATTGCACAGACATCCAATGTACTCGACCACGCTTAACGGAGGATGCAGGAGCGCCGCCGAAAGTCACTGAAACACTGCCATGCCCAAGGATGGAGAAGGATCGGTTTTTAACGTTAGATTTACCAGGTTCCCAAGACCCCGGTATGCCTCCCTCGTCTTCGTCAGAATCCTCAGACTGACAGCACTGCAGCCGCAGACTTCAAAAACAGCTACAGAAATTTGAGAAGACCCGACCCTCAACCCAAAGGGACCCAAAATGCGCTCCAAACCTCCTAAATCTTTCGCAATCGAAAACAGCACCGACCATGCTCTGGTACGAAGGTGAGCGGCGAAGCAGATGCCAACTTCATCCAGGGCCTGTCCAAAAAGCTTAGGGCGGAGATTCACGGATCACAAGAGCACGCTTTGGGTGGTCAGCCTGGCAGTGAAGTTGGAGACGATATGTTGCGTGCGATCTGCTTCTCATAAGTAGGAATACACTGTTCCACAGGGCTGTCCTGCAATGCTGGGCCAGGCGTGCAATGCAGAGTAACAGCAGTTGCACTTAGAACATTAGAACAGACATAACGTAGCACCACCGCGAGTAAGCCCCTATCAAACCGTGAAATCCCCTAATCCAAGGCCTCTTGCAGTGCCGACATCTCTACAAGGACTTCGCCGACAGCTGGCTTCTCCTCCTTCCAGCAGCCGAAAGTCTTAGCGGGGTGTAGTGATTAGGCAAAAGGCGTCGGTATGCTGGCACAAGGACTTGCCGAAGCCGGGTGCTTAACCCGAGGCGCCATTTCAAACCGGGAGGCTTCTCAGTCTTCTGTACGGCACCCGAAACTAATGCAAATGACATCATGACAGAACACCCATGTCGGACTACACGGGGGGCGATGCTAGGAAGCCCGAGTTGAAGCCTGATGATCGGACTTGGGCCCGGAGGACTTACAGCACTACTCGTTACTATTTCTTCCGGCCCTTTGTCTAGACCCTTGCAGAGCGTCAGAAGAAACCCTACAGTCCTTCAACCCTATAACCCGAAACCCTAAACCCAATAGCCCTAAATCTGACCCTAAACCCTAGACCTTGAACTCACTAAACCCTAAACCGACAGTCCCCAAACCCTAAACCCCAACACCCGAAACCCTAAACCCAAAAAGAAATTCTTTAAAGTACCAACTCCGGAGCCTCCCTTGACTGAAGCCCTTAAAGGCCGAGCGAAGGTCCTTCGCGCCGGGTACCAGGCCTCGGATGCGGCGCAGGAACTCCGAAAAGCCAAGCTCTATTGGGTTTAGGGTTTAGGGTCTTGGGGTTTTGGGTTTTAGGGTTTTAGGGTTTTAGGGTTTTAGGGTTCAGGGTTTAGGGTTTACAGGGTTTAGGCGCACAGGGGCTTGAGGGTTTGGGCTTAAGGAGGGACCGCTCAGTGATTAGAGTAAGGTTTTGGGGCTCTTGCTTTCTGGTGTAGCGTAAGATATACGGGCTTTTCACTGCTCGAGGGGCAGGATTACATTGAGAGCTCTTCAACGACAGCTCCTATGCTCAACTTCCAGCATCCAAGAGGCCGGACATGGTACTCACGTCCTGGCCCACATCAGGGCTGGTTTGGGGTTCGGGGCATTTTGGGTGTTGGGCAGTTTAGTGGTCTAGGGTCGACGGGTCTAGGCTCGGAAGTCTGCGGGAATTCAGGATACAGGATTCAATAGTTTGAGCTTATCCTGAATGCCGCAGATACCAGGGTTCTGGTGTACTCAAGGTAATGCAGATTATTGGATGAATACATGCAAGCTCCGTAACCCTGAAGCCCTCGTGACCGTGCAGCAACAAGCCAACCCCACTCCATTTTTGGTAACCCTCACCTTCATGAACACCCTTTCACGAGCGGAACTCGACGAAAACAAGAGGTCTTAGTTCTCACGCGTCAATCTTCCTTCGGCTGCCGAAACCATCTGAAGCCCGGTGAAGGATCTTCAGTCGGCGATCCTTCGGCTGCTCGACCGCGGGCGCCGCGGGCGATGGCTCCGCGTAGCGCTTCTCCGTCTCAGCGCTTCGGTTTTGGGCCCAGGACGAGACTCAAGAAGGCGACCAAACGCTGCTGAGAATTCCAACTCCTTCTTCGAGACACGCAGGGGATTAAGAGGACTAAGAGGGAAAAGAAAGTCGCAGATTCTGATTCTAAGCTGGACAGAGCCACTTGGGCTCGGAGAGGAGCAAATTCGCAGGTGCAGAGAGGAAGCTTCAAGAAGCCCCAAAGCCCACAAGTTCAATGCAACACAGCTCTGAATTAGCCCATCTTCTTTTGCCCTTAAATCCGGACCCTGGCCCCTTTGTTAAGTGCTTCTCGAGGAGCCTCCTCGCCTTGGCTGGGTGCTTGGGCTCTGGGATGAACGTGAGGACTGGGAGACTGCAGTAGCTCTGGAAAGTGTAAGCTCTCATCAGCGCATTCTCACCGATCCAAAATGACAAGGAAGAGGCATCCAGCTCAAGGCCGAAAGCATTCTGACGTCTCCAGCTGTACTGGGTGCCTCCAGTGCCTAGACCTGAACCCCCAAGGGTGCGTTCGCTGCAAATGACATTTCACTCAGAGATGTCTCCTCGAAGATGCACGTCATGCCTACCTTGAAGCCCGAACAGAGAAGCCTGATAGCCAATATGGGAACCCTGACAGGAATCCTTTCAATTTAGCCCTAATGGGAACCCTTAAATAAGAACACTGGCCATAAAGGCGTACTATTACACTCCGAAGCCTCAGACCATTCAGTCGGGGCACGATCCTTGTTCCAGATCCAATACCTGAGCAGCACTGGAGGCCCGGCACGTCATCTCAGGTTTCCCAGCACTGAAGCCAGAGGCTCCAAATCATTTCAGCAATCTGATTCAAGAGTTTTAAGGTTTAGGGGTTTAGGTTTAGAATCTGAATACACTTTAGAAGGGAACTCGTGATATGTTGTCAAGTATATTAGGGGTTCCGCAGAGTCTCTGCAGAACGCTGAATGACAACCCTAGACCCGAAACCCGTACTTATCCCGAAGCCCGCAAACCCTAAAACCTAAACCCTGAAGAATGAACCCCTACACCTCGAAACTCCCAAACCTCTACAACCCGCCCTAAATCCCGAATCCCAATAGCGCCGAAAATCCTTCTGAACCCTTGCAAGACCCTTGTGCACTCATGTGGGTCCGAAGCCTGCAGGAGAGCTGCCGAGGGCCCTCTGAAGTTCCGAAGCCCGGAGCCATGGAATCCTTCAGTGCCGTCCCAGACACAGGAAGCACAGAAGGCAGGCGCACACGACGACAGCGATCAAGGCGCCAATCAACCTGGCAGCTTCGAGGTAGAAAACAGCCTGAAGGGTTTCGTGTTAAGGGAGTTCAAACTTACAGGTGTCTCCGCAAGAAGCTTCGGATTCGCGGCTTGGTCGCTTGGGGTTGAGACTGAGGGCTTTCGGATCCAGAGTTCGGCCTCGAAACATGATTCTGCATGAACCTGACTCCGAAGCTCGGTTTAGGGTTTAGGGTCTCCTATGACCGTGACCAACCGATTCGTCGGAACCCCGTCTCACTTGGGGATGTGAGCAGCTACCTTACCCAAAACCCTGCTTTCCAGATCCCCTTATCCTCCAAGCAGACCCAAACTTTGGTCAAGCCGCCATTGGACGTTGTTGTCCTCCTCCTCTGGCTCCTGGGCCAAGCAGCTCAACTCTCTCAACACCGGGCTCTTTCCGGTAAAGTTGCCGCAGTCTACTTTTTTCAATTTTGAATGTAGAGTTTCATGTCTAGGGTTCAGGGTTTAGGGCTTAGCTGGGCCTATTGGGCCTACCATCTCGAAAAACAAGCGCATCTTCTCCCGCAAGGATTGACACGAGGCACGTGAATCTAGGTCGAGTAAAACCAATGCAGAATTCTTTTGCACTATGTGGTATCTAGCGTATATATTGCTTCATGAAACGGAGGAATGGACCTTGAACTTGCCTAGTGCTCCGCCACGGAAGGCCTTCCGGCTTTGGGGTTGAGGTCCCCAGTGTCAAGAGAAAGCATCCCCTAAAACCTTAAACCCTAAACCCCTCCTTGCTTTCAGGGCCTCAGGTCCCTGGAATTCAAGGGGAGCCACAGTGGGCTGGCTTCTGCAGAAAAGGATTCAAACTGCCAGCAGACCCCATACCGCGCAATGTAATGCGTATAAGATCGGTATTTTGGGGCCTGAATAATCTGTCTGACTAGGGTGCATTCTCAGTGTACATCAGAACTTGCGAAGAATAATACCACCTCCAATCACCCACACCCCAAGATTGAAGAAGCCCTCTCTGCCCAGAGACTTTAAAATCCTTTCATTGAGGCAGATACACTATATGATCAATATGAGGACTCCCTCGATGACCTAAGGATATGCTGCTTAGCCAAGCGGTTTTGGAGTGTCTGCACTCCCAAAGGTAAGAAGGCCCCACCCAGACTACGCTGCATCCAAAGGGCGACCACGGGCTCCGGTGGCACTATCCTGACCTCCACCACGAAGGCCTGGGCTCAAGGTTGGCTGAGGGTCTCTCACGGTGCTATGGTTCTCTCGTTCAGGATGCCACTCCTTTTGGGTTCTTTTATATTAGGCTCTTGCTTTCCGATACTCCCACCTTTCAATGCCTCCTGCATCCGTGCGCAAAACAACACGCAAACAGCGCACCTCTGCGAGCAGTCGCCAGCTTCACTTGACCGAAGCTTGGCGCAGCCGTAATTCAAAGAACAACATTCAAGGAAGAACGAAGATACTCAAGCCAAAAGTGGCAAGTCGAAGGGCTTAGGGACTCCCAGATCCCAAACCCTGAATTTCTCTACATGACAACGATGAGTGTCGATCTGATGCACAGCATGAAGCTTTACGGTATTCCTCAGCAATCCCAAAACGCGTTGGGAAACTGCGGTGTCTCAGCAATCCTGGAAACTACGGTTCCTGTTAGGGGTGTAAGAAGAGGCGGCCCACGCAAACCTCCCAAGAAAACCGAGTGCTATCGAGGTCTGAGTAATTGGTGATTGATCCGCTTCCTTATACCTATACTACAGTCTACCCCGAATCCCTATTCTGGTCATTGAAATCGGCCGAGAAAAGCGACGCGGAAATCATTTGGCACAATGCAGGCCAGGGGGCAACCCTTTAGGGTAGAGTTCCGGCTTCAGGGCTTCGGGCCTAGTCATGTTTAGTCTGCTCATGGTTTAGGTTTAGGATTCAGCACTTCCAGCTTCCGGCGGATTGGGGGGGTTTAAGGTTTCGCTCCTCTGAACTGCAGCTAGTTGCTGAACCTTGGTCGAACGAGACCAACATCCTCAGCTCTTGCTTCACAGCAAGCAGCTTAGCTCGTGTGAGGTGTTCTAGAGATCCATCACGGTTCTATAGCGATTCTGCATGCTGCAAGTGTTCTAGGTTTTCGTGGCTTGAGGGCTTTAGGGTTTTGGGATTTAGGCTTCATGTGCGGTTTGGGATTTCGGGCTTTGGGTTTGAGGCCAAGGAGTACTGCGCGTCTAGCCACGCCTTCGCCCACATCTACACGAAGAGCCTCTGAAGATGTGCGGTATAATACAGGGTCATCAGGTCATCAATGATCAGAACAGGCTTTTGCGCTACATGAAACGATAACAATATCGGCACGATAAGGCAATAACACTACTACTAAGAGCTCAGGCCCACGATAGCTCCGAGTTTCACGAGTCGGAGCTGAAAAAAGAACTGACATGTAGTACTACGTCACTCGTAGGTTGTCCCTTACACCAGTACCGGGCACTAGTTGCTAAGGCATTTACCGAAGGAAGCAAGGCTGCAGGGGACCGTCTGGTACAGCTAAGCTCTTGAAGCTCAGTTCGTCCTACCTCAAGGAATCCAAGCATCACAACTCGCAAGATAGAGAAGAACCGCAATTCGTTTGGGAGTCCGGGTTGAGGGTCCAGGGAGGATCAATACTGCACAGCTACTGCTGCAGCTCGCCAACTCGATAGGCCGCATCGACCTGGGAAAGTTGCGCAATGGGCAAAAAGATTATGGGGCTTTGGAGCTCGACTGTTGCTGGCAGGGCAGAATCAGCCATAGTTTCTGAAACTTTCTCGTCCGGTCCCCTTACTCCAGAGTTCATGTGGAAATTCCTACCAGCTTCGTCTCCTCGGCAAGACACCATACACAGAGGCTTCTACCGATTTCGATCGTTCTGTCTGAAGATGTGCGCTCCCTTGCCGCCGCAGGCCCGAAGTCCCCCAAGCCCAAAGGACCCGCTCTTTGCTGCGCTGGATGCAAGGTCGAGCTTGGAGTTGAACACAGAGACGACCTGTCTTCAAGGGAGGCTCAGAAACTGGGTCAGCGCGGATCTGCGAAAGTCGATCCCCTGCCACGAAGCCTTTCCGTCAAGGCTGCCCTTGCCCCGGCGGAGCCACAGGCAGCTCACCGAAAGGAGCTCAGACCGTCGGAAGATGCATTAGCCCTGAATTCTTCGACGGCCACGGCCCGGAGTTCCGAAGTCTGCAAACGGAATCCAAGCCTGCAAAGAACACAAATTGGGGGGGCCGATGCCTCTGCGTGAGGCTTGCTGTCCAAGTAGGCGGATAAGTTGTTCGCGAACTCCGCTGCTTCCTCTTCGTGGGGTTTCAACAACTCGCAGAGACTCCAAGACCCCGTTGGCGTAGGGTTCAGGTGCATTGAGTGTACTGATTAGGTACCTTGGGCTTAACCTGATAGTGCAAAGAAGACATGGTTCCCGTGGTTCAAACTTTGCGATCATGGGCCCGGTCACCTCCCGAAGAAGCCTGTCTGCCCATGCAACCGGAGCCACGGTTTCTTCAACAGCTTGCTGGCCTATTTCTGCTACAGATCATGTGTGCAGATATGTGCACACGTACACATATGTGTACCATTCGGGAAAGAATCACGAAAGAATTCAACAAGTACTTGGAGCCGTGGAGCCAGCCCTCTGGAGGAAGCTGCCGGGTTTGGTTGACTCCGATCTTCGACCCGAAGAGTGGAGGAAAAGATCACAAACCCTAGAGACCTAAACCCACCCCAAAACACTGCCGCCTTCAGCCCCATCAACCAACAACCCAAAAACCGGAAACCCCTCAGCCTCTGAGGTGTAGAAGGGGCGATAGGCGTTGTAGAACGGTCGCACCACCTCCTCCTGGAATACAGGAGGCTTATCAAAATTGGATACGGCTCTGAGGGATATGATAGTGATAAGCCCCGAGGTCGCGTGTGCGTGGTAAGGCATCGGGAGCCCGACAAGGCGTTCGGGGCTTCCTGCTGGGTGTTGAAGGCGTTCAGGGCTTCAAGATCTACCGTTTTTGCTTGGGGCTTAGGGTCTCCGGGTTCGGAGTTGGGGGGTGAGGCTTCCGATGCTTCGGGGCTACAGAGTTGAGCTTGAGAGACTGTGCGGATCGGCGCAGGTCCCAAAGTTCATCTCTAAGCCGGATTCTTGATGAGGGAATGAATTCATCTAAGTTACGAAAACAAAGAAACCACACTACTATAGACTCTTATTATGGTAACTGAATTTAAATCCCTTAAACAAGAACCCAGTAAAGGCTCCCCGAAGACCCAGGAATTGCGACTGAGACTGGCCCCACGATCGCCAGATCTTCCTGCGTCGCGTTGCTGATCCCGAGAGTCAGGTTGATCTCCTCAGAGTCTGGAACTACGGAGGCTGATTTCATGCTGCTACGGGCTGTAGGCCATCCGGATTCCATGCTTCTAAGGGTTTCGGCCATCCGGATTTCATGTTGCTAGGGGTTCATGCCATCCCAAAAGCCTCTATACTATAACAAGACCAAAGAGGCACACTTTGAAATGCTGTTACATCGCCTCGAGGAGGCAAGATAGGAACCTCGTCGGCTAGATTCAAGATTTTGCTTTTGAATACCCCCAAGATAAAAGCAATATAACCTCCATGTAAGACCGCGTCCCCATTTCAAAAATGTATAGCCCCACAACCCTCAAAATCACCCTTTGGGAAGGCTAGGAAGGGACGGGGTGCCACATCGGCTTCCGATACGTCCAGCAACTCTGCGAGCGCGTGCGCGAGGCCTACCGGCAAAACACAGGTTGAAAAAGAGGTGCACCGGGGTTTGAGGATTGAAGAAGGGGGTTCAGGATGCTAGGGTTCTAGGGTTTTGGGCTTCAGGGGGTTCTGGGTGGGTTTAGGTTGTTGAATTCAGGGAGATTTGAGGCTTCCAGGCTTCAAAACATGTTAAAGGCCTTCCTGCTTCTCCAAAAACTCGCTCGCCGACTTTTTGGCACTTCGTTCCGAACGTCGGCAGCTGCTGGGCCACTCAGGCCGAAGGCCACTTAGGCCATAATGAGCGTTTGCTCAAAAGCCCACTCCGGGCGGGAGGGTGGGTGCCATGAAGCTGCAGTCGGCCAATGAACATGCATTCTCATGTTAAAGGCCTTCCTGCTTCTCCAAAAACTCGCTCGCCGACTTTTTGGCACTTCGTTCCGAACGTCGGCAGCTGCTGGGCCACTCAGGCCGAAGGCCACTTAGGCCATAATGAGCGTTTGCTCAAAAGCCCACTCCGCTACTCATGACTTCGGCCAGCTGAAAGCGCGCCGTCATCCGCGAGCCAGCACAAATGGCAGAAGAGCAGCAGAGCTGCGGACCCGTGTGCGAGCCGGGTCACTCAAAGCAGGCAGAATGGAGAGGGCGGCCACTTCTTGCAGGTAATATCCCAATGTCACTTGGTGACGCAAGCGCATCCGCCACTGAACTTCATTCAGCGGCTCGCCTATCCGATAGGCTCTCACGGCACCACCGCCGCGGAGAGAGCCTGGCGTCAGTTTGTGCTTGGGCTCGATCCAGAGTGAGCGCAGCAGCGCATCCCAGCGACGACGATACATTCCAGGTGACCCATTGTACAACGGCTCGTTCGGAAGTAGCCCTTGAAAGACGTCACCGATGAACTGCATCACAAACTCCGGGCCTTTGACCTGCGCGTGTTGAACAGCAGCTCCTCGCCTCCTTGTTTTTGGCTCCGGTATCCTCAGAAAAACTTCCCGACCTGCCTCGAGCAGATCCTCAGAGGTCACCAAATCCTTTCTAACCGCTCGAAGAGGCTCTCCCGGTCGGCAGATAGCGTAAAAAGCAACCAGCGTGATGGCGGCCCAACGTCGCCATCCCCAAACCGCGGCTAAGGAACACATGGCGTGAAGGACCGGCTCCGGCATTGGAGGCCTGTGCTGCAAAGGCTCCAAAGTCTCCCAGCGAGTCACGTAGTCCCAAGCCTCACGGGCCCAGAATCTGCAACTGGGAACTTCACGCTGCGCATGAGCGACCAGCTGCCGGTAGTAGTGTAACGGCGTGCCAGCATCGTAAAGGTGTTGCGCGAACGCCACCAACAGCTTAATCATCAGTTGGGGAGCTAGCACTACAAGCTCGAAAGCTCCTTCTCCAGCTGCACTGTCTACCCACAAACCAAAAGCCTCCCAGTACTTGTTCCTCAACGCCGCAGTAGCGGGCTCGACAAGCGAAACTCCAGCCAAACTCAGCTGGGGTCTCGAGCGTCGAACCCTCGGCCCCGGATTTCCAGCCTCGCCTACTCGAAGGGAGCCGACGTGAGCGCACCCGGCGACGTCAAGTCGACCACGATCGCCTTGAGCTCGCAGTCGATCGGCCACGTGGCCAGCCAAAAAGCTCCAGAAAAGCTTAGGCCGCTCGGCTCCGTTCCAGCTCCAGCTACTTCCAGTCTCAGCGTTCCGCCCTCGAAGTTGCAAGTGCGGTCTGCTACAGTTGCATCTCAGGCTCTGGCTGCCGAATAGGCTCCGGACTCGAAGTTTCGTAGCCTTGCGAAAAGGAGCCCCGAACCGACAAAGGTCGACGACGCTATCGGCCCATCCAGAAGCTCGTTGACACTCGTGCCAGCCTGGATGCTTCCATAGCAAACTGTTCGCCGGATGATCCACGATGACGAAGATCCCCGCAGCGTTGGCGAGCTTGCACAAAGTCTGCACCCACGCAAGCTCGTCGTTGCCTCGTTCCAGTCGGGCCCGCTGGTCCAACGAGCACTCGGGAACACCCAGAGGGAACTCCCGACTTCGAAGAGGAGGGCGGACTGCAGTGGAAAAAGTTCCCGCAGCAGGCCTCAAGTACATGCCCTGCAGGCAACCAGACGAGACAATCCTTTCCAGAACCTCCCGTCGCTTAGAGCTCTGCAGAACAGCTTCCAGGTCAGAGGCGCGGTCACAGCACCAGGTCCATGGCGTCAACCCTGAACCTCGCAACGCCCCCAGAAACCCCGAAGACCCCGAACCAAACCCCAACCAGCCCGGTCCGGCACGGAAAGCGGCAGGAAGCTCGCGGCATTTAGGATGGAAGGAGAAAGATCCAAAGTCCAAGTCTTGCAGAAGTCGAGTGCACTCGGAGGCCAACGGAGGAAAGGGCTTAAGTCGAGCCCAGCGCTCTCGCCGAAAACCATGAAGTGAGGACGCAGGTTTAGCAGGCAAAGTTGCAGAGGCGCAATTCACAGGCTGCGCCGGCGGTTCAGTAAAGTCCACCCCAACAGTGGCAGGAGGCAATTTGATCTCTGCGGGATCGGGCAAACCTTGAACCTGCCTGTCAGCCAAGTGCACGCTTGAAAGAAAACGATCCAGGGCTTCCAAGTCTCCATCGAGGAACTCTCGAAACCACTGAGAAGCTTCTCGAGAGGGTTGGCGGAGAGGCGTGTTTCGAGTTCGGTCGTCTGGAGGGTTAAGCTTGGATTGCAGGTAAGCGTAGCCAGGTCGCAGCCCAGCCCCGAGGTAAGTGCCCAAAGAGCGTCTCAATTCACGATTCAAGGCTCCCGAAGAGCTACGCCCTTTGCTCATAGCGGCCAGCGACACCTGAGAATCTTGAAGCAACGTAAACCTCACATCTTGATGCTTCCTGGATAGCCGCTCCTCTGCCCGGAGAGCGGCTCGCATTTCCCCTATGTTGATGTGGCGAGGGACACGGACGTAGACGATCCGTCCGAAGTCAAAGAAAGGCTGCGAGGTCGCAAGCTCCTCCCAGAGAGGGTGCGATGAGTAGCAGTCTCCTTCGCCTGGCAGCTCATTCCCGGGGTCCTCGTATCCCTTGCCCCTACGGGCTTGAGAAGCCTGTTCCACAAACCCTTCGAGATAGTATGCCGATACATCTCGCGAGCCGCTGTCAGAGGCACAGGGCAGATGGCTCCCGCTTCAGCCTCATTCGACGCATCGGTTGCAAGGACGAAGGGAACAGCTTTCGCCCGAAGGTCGATGTCGCACTGCGGAAGCAGAGCAACCGAGGCCAACAGTTCCCCGATCATGCCCTTTGACAGTTTGAAGTGGGCGCTGCGGTCACGCGGCCGAGGATCCGAATAGACCTGCTGCAGCAGCGACAAACAGCGTCGCCGATACTGGAAACAGGAGACTAATCCCCCAACTAAGGAGTCAAGGAGCTCCGAAGTGACACGGCCTATAACCACAAGCCTAAGCACTAAGAACCCTAAAGGGACGGCACGCTTGTAGTTCGGCCGGACTATCCCGGTCTTGCCGTCAAGCACACAACCCCAGAATTCTGCTAGAGGCTCGCCTTCCACCGCCTTCTTTTCATGCCGAGGGAGACCGACCTTTGAATAGGCCGTCCGCACCGCACTAATGATCCTCGGGCCTTGGGGGACCGGGCACTGTCGGCGGACCCGGTCGAGCACCACGAAGTCATCTATCATCAAGCCGCAAATCGGCCCGCATCGAGGAGGCCTCCCTTCAAGGGTAACGAAGGACCCCAAATCGACAGACTCGGTGGACAGGATGACGCCCAAGTGGGCACACTGGGCTAAGCCCACTGCGGCCGTATCACCCATAGCGACAGTACGGAGAGCCGGGACCAGCCACTCTTCATGCTCAAGTTCAGAGCGGAAAGCTCCAAGTCCACGACATGATTGCGGCTTGAGGCGGAGCCGTAAAGCATTCCTCCGACAACGTTCGCCTCCCACCTGAAACACATGATAAAAATCCCGGATATCCTCCGAGTGGACCAGGACGTCTTCATCATCCTCCAGATATGCGAACCTCAGCTGTTCAACCGAAGCCAGACTACGAACCCAGGGATTCGAGGGGTCTTCATAGGCGTTGGCCGGCCGAGCGTCCAACACGAGCCTATCTCGACTGGCGTCTTTGCACACCGCAAACACACCGCAAGCTCGAGAGAAGTCGACTTCCCGGAGGGGCAGCAGCTCCAACCTGCCGCCTGAGTCCAGAAGTTCAAGGAATTCACGAACTCGGTGGGCCTGACAGTGAACCCGCACGCGAGGCACAGGCTTCAGCGGGGACGCAGAAGCGGCCCAGCTCAACGGCTTTTCATATCGGAGCCGATTCCCCGGTCCTAGGAACGGCCGAGGGTCAAAGGTAGGGCTCCCGGTGAAAGCAATCCGAGAAGGATCTATGTCCAAAGCTGACGAAGCCAGCGCCCCAGCGGACTCGGCTCCTGAAAACTCGGAGGCTAGACCAGGTTGAGAGGACAAAGCTCGGAGACTATCTTCGGTAGACTCCACGCGGGCGGCTGACCGTCCCATAGCAGCCCAGTCGACAGGATCACTGGCATTCCAAGCCGACACGTTAGCTGACAGACGTCGAACAACCGCCCACTGCTCTCGACTAAGCTCAGCACCCAGGCCCAGAAAGGGAGGGGCGGTGCTGGGGCAGCCCAAGGAGAGCCAACTCAAAGCAAGCACCAGGGCGTTAAGGCCGAGCTTGCGTGCTGCACATTTTTGCTTCCGGTTTGCTCCCGGGCGGTGCAACGAGGCGAAGGGCACGGGCATAGGCCACACGCGACCCAAGGGCCCTCGAACAGGTCGAGGTGACAATCGAACGGAGTGCCAAAATGATGAAAAATCGGATTTAGAAAATCCTAGGCAAGAGAAGAAGTCATGCCAGAGCTCGGCAGGGAAGAAAGTCGAAGCTGAAGAACCGGGCAAAAGGCCTGGTGTGTCGACGCTGGGCATTGCTGCATTCGAAGGTTCCTCCAAGGTGCGAGGCCGGCACTCCGGCTGTTCAGAGCAACTCGACCCTCCCACCTCAGCACTGCAAACCGCGAACCCCGAATTAACGGATCCGAGGCTACAGGCAGAAGGAACGTCAGTCGAAGGAAAAGTACCAGCAGTGCAAGCGGAAGAACAGCTTGAGGGCGTGGTGCTCAAAAGTGTCGTGGAAGTAGAAAGGTATTGGCTGCGCCCGACAGCATCCCTGTCCTAAGGGCAGATCAAATGACCCTGGCACAGAAGAAGCAACTAGCCTGTGGCCTAACGCGGGATCTCGAGTGCACCTGGAGGCATCCGGTTCCGCTACGACTGGTTCCCCCCCTAAAGGTTCTTCAAAGGACCTTGGTGCATGAGAGCCGTTCGACTCGCAAAAAGCAACTGTTGACTGGCGCCTGGAGGCATCCGGCACGGCAAGACGCGGTTCCCCCCCTAAGGGCTCTTCAAAGGACCCTGGCACCGAAGAAGCAAAGAGTCTGGGCAACGAAGAGGGCTCCTGCGCAGAGCTCGGCTCCACCAAGCTCCCACGAAGAACACTGCAGCCAGCGAGGTTTACTGGCCTTTCTGATCCCCCTTTTGCCCCTTCCGAGCACCTTTTCCCGCCTTCTCGTCTTTCTCGGGCGTGTCGCCCGATCCAGATCCCGCGGGTGCGGCCGGTCGTCCGGAAGCACCTCCTCCAAGCTTCTTCCTCACTTCCACAAAACTTTCCCTTTCCCTCACGCGGGACATCGCTACATGGATCCACCTCTGATCTAAAATCCTCGTGTGCTGCTGTTCGTGGAGTTCGGGTCCACGGTGACGAGAGAATGCCTGGATCGGCGCTGCGCTTTCCAGAAGGAACTCTGCCCCCAGAAGCCAGCTTCCAGAGTCCACTGCAGCCTGGTCCGCTGCCGCAAGTAGAAGGAGGCTCCGTGCGTGTGCTTCGGCGTGCCGGTTTGCAGCCAGACAGTCTGCGATGCCTCCAACAGCCCACGCCCAACGGACCGGTCCCGCCAGTCCGGGGATATGTGAGCGGTGTTCCAACCACCCACGCATCGTAGCTGTCTGTTGCGACGCCCCGGGACCGGCCCTCAGCCCTGTGAAATCCTCTTCCACCAGTCGGGTGATGGACTCCACGATGCGTTCCGGCTCCTCCTTCAGCATTCGGCACAAACGCATGTAAGCCGCAGTCTTGGAGCGGGAGGTGCCCAGCGATCCAGAGCCGTCTCCGCTTCCGAAGCTTACTCCGTCCGCTCGGTCCAGCAAATCCTCCAAGTCCAAGCGGCCTTTCTCCTCCCGTGTTGCCAACTTCCGCAGAACGGCCGACATCTCCACCACCGCTTTCTCGACCGGTGGCAGCGCGCTGGTGTTCTCTAACAGCAAATCTGTACCGCCCCCGGCCGGAGCGTCCTCCTCCGATTCCGAAAGTGGCCCGGATTTGCGAGCCCCGACGCGAGCTCCGCGGCCATCTGCCATCTTGTTCGGCTTGCTCGCCAACTCGGATAGGAGCCGCAACTGTGCTTCTGGAATTCCAGCGCGCCTCGCTTCGGCCACCGTGGCGGGATCCAGCCCAGGCGGAACGGGAGCGGCCAAAGGAGCTTGCACTGCAGAGGGCTTGGGAGTGGCTGCAGCAGCATCCGAGGCCTTTGGAGCAGCGGACCGCAGCTGCAACAAACGATCCAAACCTTTCTGAACTGCTCCGAGGGCCTTCTCGATGGCTCCCACGCGATCCTCTAACCCATCTGCTTCCTCCTCGCCTTCGGGCGCTGCTCCGGACAGTCCGGTTTCGTAGCCGAACTGCTCTTGAGCCGCCTGAGAGAGGCCCGGAAAGAACGGCACGGCCGCCACGGTCTGGCTGCCCGCCACTCGAAAAGGATACTGTGCTTCCCCTCCACCTCCGGCAGACCAGCTGTCTTCCAAATCTTTGTCCAGGAAGCCAAGCCAGACCTTGACCCTCAACGCGGCATGTGATGAGCTGGGTGGGTCGCCTTGCGCAGCGACTTCCAAATTGACAGCTCGCGTCAGACCTTGTCGAGGCAGCTTTCGGCGGGCAGTGGCCTTGTTCCAAGTGGAGTGGGGCACGGCAACAAGACATCGCTCCTCTATGACTGTAACCGGGATGGCAGCGACAGAGAACTCTGCTCCTTCGGGGCCTGCGATTGTAAGAACTCCAGGCAGGACGGAATACGGATCTATAGCGTCCCCTAAATCTAACAAACAATCTTGGAGAGTCAAGGGCTCTCCTTCTTCCGGCTCCTCCGTGTCAGGAGGTCCGGCGGCTTCAGCGGCAATCGGCCCCAATCAAAGAAGCTGGAACGATGCAACCAGCCTCTTGCAGTGCAATGCGAGCTTCCCACTTGGTAGCAAATCCGACGAAAGTGGAGTCACCTGGGTTTCCCCGAGAGAAAACGGATGCACGAAGGTCGCCGAGGCGATGGAAAACCTGCACCTCAGAGTAAGCCTGCCCAGCAGAGTCGCTCAATGCGACGTACAGCCTACTCTGCAACCGCAACCGGTTACGCCCCGAACTACCCCTATAGCCCCCCTCTCATGACCTCCTAAGGAACCCCCCAATCTCACGAGCAAGAGCTGAGCGACCGGCGGTGTCGCTAGGATCCACAGAGTCGTCAGCAAGCCCAGCCGACGGTGCAGGGGAAGAAAGCCCAGCAGATGAAGAAGCAGCTGGCGCCCGAAGAGGAGTGGTAGGGGCTGCCGGGGCAGCGGAAGAGGTGGCCGAGTTTGGCCGAGGACTGGCCGGAGGAGGAACAACCTCAAACTCCTCGAGGAGGGCGATGCGTGCCTCGAGAGCTTGGGTGCGCAAGGATAAAGCGCGGACCTCCGCCCTAAGGTCCCGGATCACGCGTTCAATCTCAGGAGACAAAGAGCCAGACAGGCTCATTCAAGGAGCCGGTAAAGGGCAGTGCCTCGGGTGACGGTACGAGCCTGCACTCGCACCAAGCGAACCCACCCGTGCCTCAAAAGGAACAGCAAGTCCAGCAGAGGCCCAAGCAGAAGTCCAAGAAAGACACCGGCCAGCACAGAAGGCAAATCCAGGGAGCCCGGAAGCTCGAACAAGGGAGACGGCACCTCCAAATCAGGAGGGAGAGGGCAATGGTGCGAGCTGGACAACGGACCGACGGGCTCAACCCTGGACACCCTCAGCAACTCCGAAAGCACCTGAAACCCCAAGCCTCCTAAGCTACCTCCAGTCTCCGCCGCTGCTAGCAGCAGGGGCAATCTCTGTGCCATGAAGCTGCAGTCGGCCAATGAACATGCATTCTCATGTTGCAGACAGGTTTAGGGGTTCCAGCATTCTTGTGGATCGGATCTTTAAGCCTGGTACCGTGGTGGTAGCAAGCAGAAGGCCAACCAACTTTGGGGCTTTTGCGCTTTGGGATTTACGCTTCAGCCCACAAATTGTTTCAGGGTTTGGAGTTACTTGTAGGGTCGATGCATGCATGGGCTTGAGCTTCAGAAATTACGGGCGCTTTAGCTTCAGGGATTTCGCTGCACCCGGCCGTAACGTTCAACAAGCCCTCCCAAGCCCCATGCACTCTCTAGCTCGGGAGAGGCCTTCGGCTGACAGCGTGTCGTTCAAGAAGCCTTCGTTCCTGCGAAGCTTGGGCAGCTATCGGGACTGCTCCATTGGGATTGTGGGCTGAAGGTGTAGACTCATGTTTCAACCAGGTCTGAAACTCCGCCTTAAGCCGGTACCACCAAACCCCAAACCCCCTGAAACCCCAAAGCACTCAAGCCCTGAACCCTTAAATTTGAAACAAGCCCCGTAACCCCTTAAACCCGAAGCTTACACCCGAGAAAACCGAACCCACACTGGGCCGCAGACAGCTCCGAGCGTCCCATTTGCAAGCGGCGGCCAGCGAGAATCCTCAGACAGCCCATCTGAGCATGATTGGAAAAGGTTGAACCACAAAAGCTGGGGCCTCAATGATTGGTGCAATCGGGTTTTGACGTACATGATAGTAGACTCTGTAGTAAACATACGTTATTTAAGGAACCGCACGGAATCGGTAATTCAGGACCCCAAGCCCCGAACCCCAAAATCGAAAGGGACAGAGCTTCTCAAGAGTCTGAGGCTTTCAACCACAGGTCAGGCAGGCGACGGTGTGAGGTCCAGGTAGCCACTGAACAGGACGGTGCCGTTCCAGTATGTGGTGGACGTAGTGGTGACGGAGGTGACCTTGTGAGGGCTTGGGGACCTTGGGGACTGGGGAGTCTCAACAACACAGCTTCGGCCCGCAGCCAAAATCTCACACCCAGCTTGAGCGTGCCACCGTGGTGGTTGCGGTCTTGGTGGTCGACGTTGCCGTGCTGGTGATCTGCGGCCAGGCGTGCATTGAGGGTCGATTCTTGCGGAAGGCCCGGGACTAAACCAGTCCCCTGCAAGTACCGGCATGTGACGGATTGAGGCCTCCAAGCACTCCGGGTAAGTGCCATTCAGCCTGAGCTGGCGATGTTTTGGGGTTCAGGGCTGCATACCATGGAGCTTGGAGGTTCGGCGCTCTGCGTGCTGCAGGCGTGAGATTCTGTGACTCTGTGACGAGAGCCCCACATTGACACAGTTATCATCAATACTGTGAACATTGTCTTCAAGCCCAGAAACTGCAAGCTTTGGAAAGGATTTCAATCTGTGGCTCGAGCCCACAAAGAACCAAGATCTGTGCTCAGGCAGCCGATGTCCAAAGTGGCAGATTAGGGCTTTCCGGCTTGTATGTTGTAGGCCGCTTCCTTCAGCCGAGAGGGTGCTCTGTCGGATACACCGGATCCGGTACAATCTTAGCAGAGCGTAGAAAACAGACAGCGACTCCCAACTCGTACGTGGGACAAGTACCTTGTCAGAGAGCTTCAGGGCTCCGGCGAGATAAGGGAGTTTGAAATTTGAAAAAGCATCCAATTGGTCGCTTCCGTGCGCTTCGAACACGTCCGGGTTATTGGGAATGGGGAGGTCTTGGTCCAAACGCAAGCTTATCGCCCACTCGGGAACGGGCATCTTGAACAGCTGTCATGTGGATGCCCCAAAGTTGGGGCATCCAAGCCATGAACCCCGTCGCAGCCAGGGGACACTCCATCTGGCATGCAGGTCCATGTGCCTGGGTTCAATACATGCTACTACCCTTTGCGAAACCATTGTGAACGACGGCTTTTCGGCGTAAGGCAACGTGCTGCTTGCTTCCAGAGCTTTCTGCCTGATCGGACTAGAACACCTTAGAAAGAATTCCAAGAGTAAGCAGGGCTACATGTTGCTCTGTTCCGGCACGCTTGTCAGAATAGCCCTGTCACTAGAACTGCCCCAGACATGCAATGCTGCAGAAGCCACTAAAGCCCAGAGCCTAAACCCCATTAAGCTCACCCAAGCGAGCGAGCGAGCATAGCCTCCGCCACATTATGGCTTTATGAGGCTTTCGGAAATGTCGTCAGAGACAACCTGCTCTGGATTCAGGGCCCTGGCCTCTCAATGTCCGTCAGGGAATCCAACCCTTTAACACACACTGCACCTCGACTCCTGAACCCCTAAGCCCCCAAAAAACCCGAGCCTTGAGCCTTGCCTCACTCGTGGCATTCTTGAGCTGCAGACGAAGTGCTGGAGCCTCCTTGCCAGCCCGCAGCGCAGGTGACGGTGCAGGTGCCATCCGTCCTAGGCTCCGTGCATCGCTCCAGCATAGTGTTTTTCCCTGCTTGGAGATGAAGAAAGAGCAGTGGCAGCAGAGCGGTAGTGGTCGTCGTCGCAGCAGACGAACAGTCGGAGCAAGAGCACGAGCAGGGCAGGAGAAAAGGAACAGGAGTACGAGTCAGAGCACAGGTAGATGAAGACACTGTCTTCGCAGAACAAGCACCAGCAGCACTAGTAGCACTAGTAGCACTAGTAGCACTAGTAGCACTAGTAGCACTAGTAGCACTAGTAGCAGTAGTAGTAGTAGTAGTAGTAGTAGTAGTAGTAGTAGTAGTAGTAGTAGTAGTAGTACTAGTACTAGTACTAGTGGTAGTAGTAGTAGTAGTAGTAGTAGTAGTAGTAGGAGGCGGAGGAGCCACAGCAATCGTAGATGGTAGTAAAGGTAGTCATGCCAGTAGTACCAGTAGTAGTAGAAGCAGGACGAGGAAAAGGAAGCACAAAGTGGCAGAAGCAGCCGCGGTAAGAATGGAACAGGTAGTGCGAGTGATACAACCAGTAGCTGCACAGGTAAATCTGGCTGTTATACGACGGAGTAGTGGAAGCAATCCTCGTCGTAGTAGCTGCAAGAGCCACCAGGACTGCCACCGACGACTCAAAATCGGGTTTAGGCTTGGATCGGCCAAGCCACACCACACCAGCAGCGCAGTCGTCAGCATACTCTGCACCGAAAGGCAGGTTGTACAGGCAGGGCAAGGCAGAGCAGACCTGAATATTGGGCTGCATCCGCATCAGGAAAATGAATGACGTTGGCTGTTCTGCTCAGCATTCTGAGCAGGAGTCGATGAGTACCACCATTTCTACCATTATCATGATTCCTACGGCTGTCAGAGCTACACGAATGCTGCGATTGTCAGTTTCCTCATCATCAGTACAGCACTGAAGCATTACGCCTCTTGTGGACAATACGACTTCGAGCATGGCTGAGATGTGTTGACAGGCATGCTCCTAATGGTCACGATGATAGCAGCGATGACCAAGATCATCACAGTTGATTGCTTCTCTGGTGGCTTTATGATTCTATGGCTGGAACCCTTCGGGAGAACACGAGGGCTCCATTTGCTGCGACGGTCAACCATGACCACTGCTCACTTAAATATTTGTCATTGCCGGGAGTCTTACGTGTCGAAGGGCTTCGCACGGCTAGATATGGCGCATGTGATTTACATAGTCCACAAGCCTTATCATAGCATGACACAAAACCTTCATCCACAATGGCAGCTGCAGTTTCTGCTTCTTGATACTCTCCTAAGATCAGGCCCTGAACCCTGAACCCCACCTTTGTATCACCACCAACCAAAACAAACAAAGAAAGCTGCCTGCAGACACGCTAGGTTTGCAGCTACACCGCAAGACAGCGGTTGGGAGACCTCTTGAAGAGCAGGACGGTCGACCCCTTGTTCCTGTCTTTCTATCTGTCTGCCTATCTGTCGCTCTACGTAAACAGCTATATACAGACCTGTCTCTTGACTACCTTGCTATCTAGCTGTCTCACTATCTCTCCCTGTCTCTGTTTCTGTCGCTCTCTCTATCTCCCTCTCTCTCTGTCTCTGTCTCTCTCTCTCTCTCTCTCGCTCGTTCGCTCGCGCTCTCGCCCTCTCTCACAGATGTGTAGCAAGAGATTCGAAGTGCTGAGTCCGGAAGGCCTTGCGGAAAGCTTCGGGCCGTTTGAATTACACGAGCGTATGGCAGGGTTTGGGGGTGTTGTTCTTTCCTTTCCTTCTGGTGGACAAACCTCTTTATCAGGGCTCTGGGGTCTGGTGCCAGTAAGACTTGCACTGGAATTCCCTCGAATGGAGACCTTAGTCAGTAGAGTTGCTGCTGAAACAACCCTGATTAACACCTCTCATGGCCCCGACTAAGATACGTATAACCTCACTTATTGAGCCCCTTCCAAGTGCACATGCGGACAGGTTGCGGGCACGGTGCCTCGCAGGGTGTAACCATCCTGAGCAACATTCCCACCATCCGCTGCTGCTCCGGGGCAAAATAAATACCGTTGAACGCCTGTTCAAAACTGTACAAAATCCGCAAGGGACGGAAAGCGCCGTAGCTCCGCAGCCAAGGCACCACCATCGGAACATCGCTGACCGCAGGGAGGCCACTCGCTGCGTCCGTGCAGGTCCACTCCGGAACCTGAGTCGGGAAGGTTTTCGAAGCAAGGATTTCGCAACTACGTTCATGATACAGGGACCCGGAAGGGGGATCCTTTTTCCAACATTCGCTCCTTCCTGTGCCACTGTAGTAAACAAGCTCCTAGCGGAAAGGCGGTTGTAACATGGACGGCTACCAGGGCAAACACAGCGACTACGGATCCGAACACAACTCCCTTCGCGGAACGAAGGGTTGAAGAAGTCGTGAAGAGAAATGTCGGTGAATCACAGGGGCAAGAGATGTTGCCCGAAAGGGATACGTGGGTTTGCAGCAGAAGGCCGTGAAACACGCCTCTCAGCCATGCAGAGACAAAGCCCGGTCCTTCTTTGTTCCATCTAAACCCAGGCCCCCTAAAGGAGCCGGAGTCGGGAGCTGACCAGGCTTCAGGCGGCCCTGAAACCCCAGATCCTGCATCCCAGAGCTTGGTTAAGCCGGGAGCCTCCGGTTGGTTGAGCTGGAAGCCCTCGCGGCAGTAGGCAAAGCAAGACCGATTAACGAAGACCTGAGCACAGTTCGGGTCTTAAAGGATCAAGCTTCGCTCCTGGGCAGCGCACAAAGTATCATGTAGCTGGCGGCTTCTGAGGACCGATGATGCTTCACGTCATGTACGGGTCAGGATCATTTTTCTGGGATCCCATGCGCATGGGGCTTTTGTATAGTAAGAGCCTCAAGAGCCCCAAGACCCCGACTAGAGGATGGGCCCTTGGCAGGGAAACCCACTCCGACATGCCGAAGGCTAGGCAGTACTCTAGGCAGTACTCTCCCATCCAAGAGCTGTGATACTACAACGATGGAGAGTCCTTGACGGGTTTTGGGGTTTCGGGTTGCTGTGCGGCCTATGGTGTTTAGGATTTGGGGTTTGAGCTTTTTGCGCTTGTGTGGCTCAAACCGCGGGATTCTGTCCATACATCAGCACCCAAGAGGCGTCGCTGCAGGTGTGCACCACATTGGGAATCGAGATGCTGCTGTTGCACTGAACAGGCTCGCCTGTGGCGGTCTTCAAATCCATTCGGAGCCAGCATGCGAGCTGAAGTCTGTAGAGCTTGTGCCTGAGCCTGCAGCCTTGGGGCTTGAAAGCCTAAACACCCCAAGTTGGTGCTCCCGTCGGGATTGATTCACGAACCCTTCCATCGACCTGAAAGTCTTATACGCGGCCTCGTTTGGAGTCTACATCATGGCCAGCAAACCCAATAGACCAAATTGCTAAACATCAGTTTGAACGCTCAATGAAGAACATCCAAAAATCCACACCTTAAGTGGGGTTCTCTATTTGGGGCCTCGGTTTACAGCTTGCGCAGCTTTTGGCGCTTGCCGCCAGTGGCCGATGCTCCAAAAACCCGTCGTTGGGGGAGTCTGTGTTTTGTAGAGTATAGGATTCACAGTAGGGCTCTAGGGTTTTGGAGCGTGGGGTGCTTGAAAGGATGTTCCTTTAGAGTTTAAACTCTCGTGTGGCATCAACTGCAGCTCAGATCGCAGGAGACCGTGGCCCCGTCACTGCTGACTTGGCCTTCGAGAGGTGATAACACCATTAAGCCCTTCAGAAATGCATAATGTGGCTAGCTCCTCTCTAGTGTTGAACAGGAGTCTTGCTTCAGCGATCTCTGAAATGGCAGGAAAAAGTTGCACAGAAAGGATACATTTCAATGGCTCATCTCTGCAAGCTCAGGCTCGTCATGACTCAAGGTTGGGCTTTCGGGTTCAAGGTTTCGGGTTGGGGGGTGTTCAGCGGTGTCGATTTGAGGGTTTGCGTTTTCGGGTCCATATACGGGTCTTGGGGCCACTTGTAGAAGCCGGGAGTCCTTTCATCGCCCAAATAAATAACCCTGGACAGGAGGCCATGAGGGAACCCGAGGCCCTGAACAAACCGACGCCTACGGCCTCTACGACTCTACGCCAGATGAAGGCCTGAAAGGTCGCAATTGAAGTTGCTGCTCGTCGCGTTCGCCTGAGCGTAGCTTCAGATTGGGGAGGCCCTTGGGATGCTTCCGCTCAGGGCTTAGGAGTTTGGGGCTTTCGGTGTAGCCACAGATTCCCACCCAGAAGAACCGGGATGTATCACACGCCCTGCGCAAACCCAGAGAGCGACATTACACGCATCTACAACACGCAAGATCCCCAGCAGGAATGTTACACTTCTTGCAGCAAGGTCACCGGCAAGAAGCCAGAGCGGCAGCGGCGCTCACAGGACCTTACAACAAACCGGGCAAAGAAGGAGGAGGCTTCAACTCTTAAACGTGACTCTCTCACAGCTGCACAGCTGCTTCAGGACAAGGCATGCAAGATCTCCTGAGAAAGCTAAACACGCCCGGTAGTCCGGTGCTTGACCCTAAAGCCTCAAAGCTAAGCCATAAGCTGCATTCAGCCGCGAACTCGAAACGCTGAAAGCTCTCAGGCCTTCCGCACTAGCCTCTCTTATCAGCGCGAAAGCAGGCCTTTCAACAAAGGGGCCTTCATAACCATGATAATGTGTCTTGCAGTGGTACTGTACGGGCTCTGTAAGGATTCTATAAGTGTGCCAGTAATCTGGGCTTTGAGGGGGTTCGGATATTGTGTTCGACGGTGCACACATGGTGTGATTTGTGCAAAATGCGCATGCCAAACACCAGCCTCTTGCAAACCAGTCACTAAGATGTTGCTGCCAAACGTGTTGATGCAATGTCAACGAGGGAAATATGTTCAAGTCAATAGGCACACAGACCGTTTCGATTCTTGAAAACTAAGCGGTTCCCGTGCAGAAGTGTGTTCTAGCCAGCCTCGAAGACACAGTCAAACTTTCCATCAACACTCTGGATCAAAACGCTTCTGTCAAAACTCAGAGTCCCAGCCTTATACAATGCCTCCAAACCAGACAAAGCAAAATAGGAACATTGGACCCACAGCGCTAAACCCCTAAACCCTGAACAGCTCGTCTTATCCGATCCCAGGAGCTGTCCTGCGAGGAGCCCCGTGCAGTTGTCCTCGAGGACGTCGCTGGGGTTCAGGCTCGGACAAACAATCGGCTGGCCTGAGCGGACTACAAGAAACCCAACACCAACCCGACTAAAACACTTCATGAGAATCTTCAAGAACCCGTAGAGAAGCTGCAAGAACCTATCATCACCCTCCTGAGCGCGAAGCCTACGAAACACACGGAGAGGAATCGAGTCTGAAGCTTAAGTTTCGGGCTTAGAGTCACACAAGCCTTGGTCCAAGCAGGCAAAGGAAAGTTGGAGAGTTCAAGATTCGCCTGGCACTCTAGAAGGTCTTGCACCCAAGACTGTAACTGCAAACCCTAAACCCAAAATGCTTGCTTCTTCAAACTAAACCCACCTGAAGCCTCTTCGGAGAATGATTTCAAGGGCCCCGGCAGCTTGGCAAGGTTCCAACGAGCCCAAGCACGCCAGAATCGAGGTCGCAGGACCAAACCTGGAGATGGCCAAGTTGGACAAAGAAAAAGGGGATTAGGGCTTTGCAGGGTTTAGGGCTTCTTCGCCTAAGTTCATGGATCTGGCTCCAGGAACCCGGATGCCGGAGCTTCCTTCGAGTCTGCATTGACCTCACCAGCACTCGGAATGCTCAGAGAAGAGCGAGGAGAAGGTAGAACCCTGCACCCTGCACATTGGCCTCCCCCGCAGCTCCGCTGGTCAATTCGTACCTCGTCGATTCCGAGAGGCTTTTGCGTTCACGGGCACTCTGAGGCTTGTCTGCGCTGTGGACGTAAGCACCCCGAAAAGGCTTCGAGCTGAATCAAAAGACATGCACAATCCCAAAGCCCTGAACCCCAAAGCCCTAAACAAGATGCCTCCGCCAAGAGCCGAGTTGCCCCGGTGCGCAGTAGACACTGCAGCTGCGGCCGAAGGCGACGTCGCTGCAATCGTGGGCGACTGAAGGATCCTGACCGGCGTCCCGAAGTCGGGAGTTTGTGAGAAGTGAGGGTCCCCTTGTGGGGCGGTTCCTACGATTCAGGATCCTATCCAGCGCTCTTTGCTGGGAGCACCTTATTCCCGAAACTCTCCAAAATGTGAGGAAAGTGTAAAGAGGTGTGCCACTCTGCGAGACTCGACATGTGTGCGCTACATAGCGTATGACTTGCAGGTTTAACATGAAGAACACCTCAAGCTGAAATCCTAAACGACATGGAGGCTTCAGAAAACAGAGAACCGGCAAACTTAAGCTCTGACTAGCCGGACTCTTAACACAAGGACCCCCCACATCAAGCTAAACCTCTGAGCAGAAGCCTCCCAGTTAGGACTGGAAGCCAAACCCAAAAAGCCCAGGAGGGCTTCTGAGGAGCTCCCCGGACCCCTCTGAAACTTCAGACAAAATCCCTCCACTGTATCGGCATCGGGATCCTTAAGGGGGGCTCGTTCCAGTGGGATTATTTCCTAGGAATGTCCTTTAAATCATCACCCATACCCCATACCCTGAACCCTAAAAACCCGAAAGAACCCATGCAAAACCCCAAAACTCCTGAACCCCTAAACCCGCAACCCTGAATCCAAAATTGGCTACACTCTGAACTGCCTAAACTGCAAAAAGACGCTGGGCCTGCAGCTGGCTGCTCACAGGGCACTTCGCCGGCTTGCAAAGCCTGTTCGGACCGCATGATCAGCGGACCCGGAAAGGAACTCTTGGAAGGAACCCCTCAAAAGGACCCTTTAAAGGAACCCGTAAAAGTTCCTCGACAGGTTCTTTAAGGCTTCTAAGCGCTCCGTAACGGTACCTTCAAGGCTTCGAAGGGCTCTATAAGGGCTCCATTAAAGGCTTCTTGTAGAACCAAGGGTTTGGGGGTGGTTCCGGGCTGGTTCCGATGCTTATCAGTTTCATGTCAGGACTTTCTGGAATCTAGAATTATGGTATTGTGGATTGCGTTTGGGGCTTTCTTAAGGTTTGGGTCGAGGGGCTTGTGCGGCTTTTGCGTGGAAGAGAACAAATCATCCCAAGCCACGAGCAGAAGAACAGGGGGTCGTTTTGGATTGGGGTACCCCCAAAACCATCTAAAGGTCCGTGTGGTGTTTAGGGGGAAGCATTGCGCCATGTTGCGGCAGCGTTCCGACTAGCTGGCCACTCTCGTCGCCTGCAGCTGCACACAGTCAAGGTAATTCATGGCTTCTGCATCCATACCCAGAACCCTGAGCCCTAAACACTAACTTCTGAGACCCTTAAATTCCTGCAGCCTAAACGCGAAAACCCCAAATGCTAGAACCCCTCCTGAATCTCCACACGTCATTTTCGATAAACCTTTTTTCCGGTACCTTCGAGGAAGTGAAAAAGGGCAGCGACCATCACAAAACCTAAACTCAATGTGAGGCCGGGCTGCAAGTCATGATTGCAAAGTTCGGCACGCTGCCCGGCTTGCAAGTAACATTGCCTGGGCTCCGAGATGTCAGGTCTTGAAGGACTTTCTTATGGTTTCGGATTCAAGGTGCCAAGTTCAGCGCGCAGGTTTCATGGTTAAGGTTCAGAGTTAAGAGGCTCTTGCTTCAGGTTTAGGGCTTCATGGCAGTTTAGGGTTTACCTGCAGGTCCTGCTGCAAGACCAAAAGTTTCATACGCCGCGGACTCAAGGACTGCACAGCCATATGTTTCCTTGAGGGGTGCTGCGCAGCTGGGATATAGGAGCCGAACCCTCCACCCAGAGACCTCAACATGCATCAATGAAGGAGCAGCCGTGAAAGAGGGAACCATAATGTCACTCGCAATATACTGCTTGATTCGGCTCTTTGGGCATGACTTTGCCAAACCCCATACAACCCTCTCAAGCCATAGACACCCATCTAATTCGGTGGTTCTCAAGCCCCAGGACCCCGAACCCAACTTCGGCAGATTTGCACGACAGGCCGGTCGTCATCCCATCGCACTCCTTTCGAAGCTCGACTCGCTTGTTGAAGCATCTGTGAGATTTAAAGAGATCATGCAGCCACCCCAGAATGGAAGAGAAGATCTGCATTGAAAATCACAGGGAGTCTATGCATTAGACCCCATCGACCTTGGATTGGGGGAGCAAACTGGATCAAACAGCTTTCAGACCTCATGAGCAGTTCCTGCGGATTGAGACCTCCAGGCCTGTGACATGTCATGACCGCTACTTAGCAGCATATTACGACAGATCACACACCCAGCCAAGATTGCGGTACGGTGAGCTGTATAGCTTCCAAAGAAACGCTCATGCAGCCCAGACCACTTACACCGTATATCCAATACCCCGAAACCCCATGCACTATACCCTAAACCATGTCCGAGTTCCTCCATAAGCGCGGATCGAAGGCTCTAACTAACCCCAACATCAGGGCTCAGGATTTAGGGTTGAGGATTGATTTAATAGCCATAAAGCTTGCATCCTAAATCCGCAGTGAGGGTGCTCATAATGAGGATCCGGCTCTTTAAGGGGGCCTTCCCGATCGGTGTTTCGGGACTTTGTTTGGATATCTTGGGCCATTTGTACTTTGGGTCATTTCTCTAAACTCCCAAGTGCTCAAGCTCGGCTTCCCTCGGCACCTCGCCGGAGAATGCCTGGTCTGCTGGGATGCTGTTCTCACCTTGGCTGCGACGCAAAAAGAGGAGGAAAGGTAGGAGGGCGTTTACTGTGGGATCTGGAGGCATCGCACCCCTAATCTTAAGAAACCCTGAGCGTTCTTCGAACCTCGCAGTCCAGAAATGAAGAAAATCTCGCGGCAGACTACTCCCGCCAAGTCTTAGGTGGATTGTAAAGCCAGCATTGAAACATTTCTCCACAGCCAAGGAACAAGGGTTCCCGACGCAATCGGGGAGAACTCCGGTGATGTTTCCATCCGACTGGCACTCATACCTCAGCGCGAAGCTCTTCTGACTTCATGCTCTGTCAAGGTGGCACTCCAAGAACTTGCGGTCTCAGTGCAGCAGCCCTCTCTACAAAGCCTAAATCCAAAGCCGCCAGGATGCTGTGACCCCCATCCCACCAAGGTCCAGCCCTTTGCGCAGCTCACGCCGCAGGTGTCCTGCGTTTGGGGTTTAGGGGCTCAAAGTTTCAGGGAGGGGATTGGGATTTTTCAGGGTCTCGAGTGGTACCACAAGGAGAACCCCGTGAATTGAATGGTCGTGAAGATACGTTTCGGTTCGAATGAAGGTGGGATCCCTGCCCTGATTTGAAGCGTTTGCCCTTAAGTGTTGTTCGGAGTGAAGCGAGAAATTTGTCGCCATGATTTCACGTCTTTTGCTGAATTGCCAAGTGGTTGGCAGTCTCGGAAGAGGATCCCTTACGAAAGCAGCAGATGGCTCAATCTTGTGATTGTTGAGGTCTAGGGTTTGGGGCTTCACGGCTTGGTCGTGTTTATCTTTAGGGTTTAGGTTTTACGGACGTAGTGTTGATGGAGGTAGCTGAGGTCCTGCACGGAAGAAGCCTAATCCGCGGAGAGCAGGTAGTTAGCTACCTTATGCCGCCAACTACTTGAGATTATTGCGAGGTGTATCAGACACGGATCTTCTCAAGGGCCATCCCTAAACCCCCAAACACCGGCTGTCCTGAAAGACCATGCTCTCGCAGTTGTGTGCGAACTTGGGGCCCTTGGCTGCGAATTGTCTAGGAGTGGAAGGGCTGCTGAAGTACGAGAAGAGGGCTCATACTATACGCTCACTTGTATTACAAACATTAGGTCATCTTACTTGATTTCACACGATATCACCCCACAGCATACTAGATATTACTATATCCGGCTATCCTCTGAAATCGCAAGCCCCACACCAAGCCCTAAACTGCCTGAACCCTAAACCCCGTACCCCTGAACCGCAAAATCCTCCACCCCCTACATTCCAAGAACGTGCAAGGATCCAAGGTCAAGTCCGTGCAGGACGTGCGCTGGCAGGACGGCTGCGTTCCTGGCAGAAGCTTTGCTGCGAAGATATTATACTCTGCCATAGCTAAGCAATCATGGGCTTGTATATATTCTAGCAAAACAAAAGATACGCAAAATCTTGTAGGAGCCGCAACCTCGAATAGTGAATAGTGGTTAGCCAACAACACCTCTGCTTTACAGGCCCAGCCTGACACTGAGAGCATGCATTTCACAGGACCTCCCTTGTGCCCTGAACTTTTAACGCTAAAACCCTGAGTCGTCAACTCTGAAGCCTGCAAACCTTGACCTTGACAAGGGACGAGAATCCACCGCACACAGAACTTTGTAGAACCGTTGACTTTAAAACCTTCTGGAACGGGCCTACAAACTCTCCAGTGTTTGCGCATTGATACTGCGCGGCGCCACCGGAGGCGTACTCGAAGCCCTGGGAGCAAGAGGCAAAACAGGCTCTTCTAGGGTCTTACCAAAGTCTTATAGAGGTTATACCGGCTTGCTACGAGTGTAGAAATGGTGTTCATAAAGGCTATGCAGACATGCTGGGGTCTCCATGTAGACACTGCTAAACCACCTGTCTTCTGAGGGGCTTCACATGAGGATCCCAATCATCAAAGGAAGGGGGCTCAGTACCTCCTTTGGATGCAGAGTGAAGTTGAGGGTCTAGGGTATGGGTGTCCAGAAGACCAAAGTCCAAAGTTTCGGCGTTGAAAGAAACCCTCGAAATGCAGTGTTGCTCTGATGTCCCTGGGCAATTCTTGCTTCCCACACCAAATCCTAAATCCCAAACCCCTATACCCCCAACCCCAACTCTACCCCCCACAACAACCGAAGCCTCAAGTCCATGGCAGAAGGACCCTACCCTCATACAACCCTGTAGAGGCCTTGAGGCAGAGAAGCAACCCATACCAACCCCTAACCCCTCAGAATCAAAAAATCAGCTTGTAAACCGAGCTTGCTTTCTTCTATGAACCCCAAGAAACCCAAAGCAAAACAGCCTTTCTGTCCATGCCTTCACATTAGGATCGGATTTTCTTAACCAGACTTCTACATCACAACAACCCAAGATGCGAACCCCAACCCTGAAGCGCGGCGCCCGCCTCCTGGGTGCAGCCAGCGCTGCAGGAACCCCCAGTCCTCGGAGATTCCGAGCTTCGAATCTGATCCTCTCACTTGATGTATGGCTGTGTAAGAACCTAGTTCTTCAGAAACTCGGATCCATGGTTTTCTGTTAATTGCACATAGCAGATACCAGACCACTTGTGACTTCCTCACGCCCCCAAGCCGCAGTCGGCAAACTGCTCAAGGAGGACATAAGAAGACTAATTAATGCCTGAAGTTGTAGCAATCAGCACATTCAAAAGAACCTAACAGAAGTGCCTTCCAGCGGCGTGATATTGCTGCAGTTGTGCTGCAGCCCAACCGCATCTGGCACGTTGTACGTGCAGGGCAGCGGAGTGCACACAGGCAGCATGCCTGAGCTCGCTGGGAGCATCGGTGTCGGATTACTCCCGACTGTTGCTAAGCCTGTGCATCTCCACCTTCGAAACTGTCGTTACGAACGTCGGGCTATGGTCGCAGCGTCCCTCGTGGAATTTTCCATCCAAGTTGCCAGACAAGCTTCCCGAGTTGCAGGTCAGGACAGAGGCAACACCCACCAGTTCATAGCCTGCACTTGAAAAGGTCTCCGGATGGGATTAAAGGCCATAGGCTCCTGCTTCATGAGAACCTCTCAGAGATGCCCTGATGCCCTACGCTTTAGGCGAGCCCAATACAATAAGGAGTGGCTCAGAGTCCCCAAACACAAATCTTCAGGATTGCAGCGGAAGCAGTGCAAACGCTTCCCCAAATGGCTCCAGACACTTAGAAAACAAAAAGCACGGCCCGCGAGGAGACAAACTCATTCAGAAGCCTCGGCTGCAGTGAGCAATGCAGCTGCCGCCGTCAACCACCCCGGAGCCGCTGGCGCCTTGGCTGAAGGCTTTGGAGCTTAGGCCGCTAACTCTGCGAATCTGGCGCCACTGGGGCGGCCCGTGGACGGCGGAAGTCCCTTCTGCTCTAACTCTACATGTAAGCCTTCTTGCAGTGCCCCACTTACTGCTCGAAAGCCCCTCGTTGAGAGACACCCGAAATTTTATCCCAAGCCCCCACAAAGGACTGCATGGGCTCCTCTCATAAGCCCAGCTGCAGTCGTGGGTGAACTGCGCGTCCGACAGGCCGAAGGCCGCTGCTGCAGCCGCCTGGCAGCCTGGAAGCGGCTGGAGCGATGGAGGGATCTCTGCTTCGTGGCTTTAAGAAAAGATGGACTTCTTGGATCTTACGACGGTCCTGGCTTTTTTTTAGGGGGGTTCCTGTACGTAGCCATGTGCTACAAAGGGTCGACGTCTCAAACTCCCATGCTAGTAGCATGACAGCTTGGTTCGGGAACCAACCAAGCCTTAGATCGACGAGCTCAGACCTTCAGAAGGCCTTGAAATGTGGTGTGTTGGGAAGTGACAGATAGACCTGAACAGGGGGAGGGACCCTTAATAAGGACCCCTAGGTATATACCCGTAATATATGTATTATATACCCATTATATACTGCACTGCGTCCGCTGTGCACCAGTATCAGAGCCCGTGTGTGGTATACCCATTATATAGCCCATTATAGGGTGATTAAAACCTTCGGATGCCCGGGAGCCTCCCGCTCCCGACAGGCGACGACCACCAGAGCCAATGCAGCTGGCACTGGCGTCCTTTCGGAACGTGGCACCGTGGCACGGGGAATCTTGCGTCGTCAACCCGAGAAACATCAAAGTTGTCGAAGTTTGAATGCTTGTGCATGGCTTTCTACGCTCTAAAACTAAAATGCGCGGGAGCTCCGGTTCCTTGGCGACGAAAGTGAGCGTATTGGCATCGCACATGTAAGCAACGGGGTTGCCCGTGTAGCCAGCCTCGCAGTAGATCCAGCCTCAAGACTGCAAAGGGCCCCCGCATCTGTAGTATTGATATGAAGAGTCCGTACTTCTATCTTTTGGGGTACGATCCCTTGTAAACGGGGAAGGACCGTAGAAGGGTCGCGAAAGGATCAAGCTCTGGGGCTCGCGATGGCGGCCAAGCAGCACTCGTCCCCCGGTTTCTTGTCCTGGAAGGGTGCACAGGGTTTGTAGGGTTTGGGTAGGGATTTCGGGCTTTGCGGGATCGGTGCACAGACCGCCATTCCTCACCTCCCAAAAAGTCTTTATCTATGCTAGAGTCCCTCACTTGAAGCCTGTCCTGACAGGTGCTCGCATATCCGGTGACTTGTGCGAGATCCGGGCAGGAAGACTCCACGACTTCGGAGATGGTGCCGTTGAAGCTGGAATCTTTCAAGCAGGTCAACCTCAGATGTGGGTTTGAACCTTGGGTGTTTGGGTTTTCAATCTTGTGGGGTGTTGGGGCTGAGGAGGGTCTGGAGTTTCCTTCTTTTTGGGCTGAAGCTCACGAAACATAAAGTGGCCATGTCGCGTGGCTCGGCCCTTCAGGCACCACAAGGTCACAGAAAGCTGTGGGTACGGCTGTCGTGGAGCACAGCTTTCGCTCCAACGCACGCTGAAGACTTTGGCAAGAAGCACGCGCTCATTGCCCTCGACCCTGAAAGCCCTGAAAACCCTAAGTCCCGAAACCCAAATTCGACAAACAGCATTAGCCCTGCCAGCCTGTGAAGCCCGTTTAAACCTTATAACTTATAAACCCATGTACCTCTCATCATCAACCTCCTTAAGACCCTACAACTCTCAGGACAGGAAGCACGCTGTCTGTCATGGTGAATCCCGGGAGTGCCGTGACGGTGCAGGTCTCCAGGGTGGCCTTGCCACTGCAATCCTGGACGGGAGGTACGAGTCCAGCAGGCAAACAACTGAAAGTATATCATGTATATCATTCATACTTGTAGAAATACATATTGAGAAATATAGTCATAGGACAACATATAATATGATACAAGACATTGAGTAACAGTGAGTGATTCAGTATGTGAATGAGGGAGAGAGTGAGTGAGTAATGGAGCGGAGTGGAGTGGAGTGACTGGCAACGCCATGGAATATAGCGACATCCCTCCCCGCGTCGACAAGACAGTGTGCTAGTGTATGATATCATGCTAGGTTACTTTGTATTGTACTACACCGATATGTTTTGCGATAGTACACCAATATACAACATAGAATGGCATAGCGAAGAAGAAGAATGGCACAATCTTGCATATGCCATGGGCAAAATCAGCAATGAAAGCCCTAATGATTGCAGACCAAGCGAGTACCATAGCACCATACACTACCAGACAGTAGAATACAACACAAAAAGCAACTTAATATGATAAAATACAATTCAGTACAGTACAGCACAACAGAATACAGAAAATACGGTATAGCACAGTATCATCCAATATGGTACGATATCCGCCGAGGCCACAGGCCTCAGGCATCTGGGGGTCAACTCAGCACCCTGCAGCGCGAAAGTCCGGTGACACCAAATCCAAGCCACATATTACAGTACAACTTTTAATTGCTGAGACAGTATATGAAATGACGTACTATAACCCAATACAATGAAACATAACGTGATACAGAGTAACATGACACCAGGTAGTGAAATGGAATAATAATGCAATATAATTCAGTACGATGTCGTACCCAAGTGTATAGGACTACATGGTATAATGAAACGTTGATTAACTTTGATCCATTCAAGCATGGTAAGAAAATCAACAACAAGAACATAGTCTAGTATGTCGTCTATGTCTAGTACACCACAGCACAGTATAGTAGAGCACAGCATTGCACCCCGCGATGCACATTTAACACACCGAAATACGGCCAAGACTCACTAGAAGCGCCACGCACGTTGGGCAGTCCAATGGTGCAGGGCTTTGCAGTGCAGACCTGCAGAGCAATAGATTGGTTTTTGGAACGGGCTACCACAGCAAAAGGGTTGAACCGTTTGTGAGAAGCCCCAACATGGACACGAAAGCTTGCAAAACCTACTGCAACCTGGACCGCAAACTCCACAAACCAAACAGGTACGGACTGCAAGCACCAACCAGGTCAACCGAGGGTCTGGTCCACTGGAGTTTTCCGCCGGGATCCTCCCCAGATACTCCGCAAATCCGGCGCTGCTGAGCGGGGTGTCGTCGCAAAGCATCACGGTCGCATTGCCTCCGATCTCCCAGCCTTGCCGTAACATAAGCTGGGGTCTTTCGTCTGCTGCTTGGCGTTTCTGTCCCGGCCTGGCTCGCAGAACGCCGTGCAGATGTCTCCGAACTCCTGTGAATTCAAACCGCAAGAGGCACAGTTGCCAAAGGTCGACACTCCTCTGCGAGACCCTGCAAGCATCATAAACCTCAAGGTCAAAAGGCTATGGCAGTACTCTCCTTGTTGTCGCAGGAGTCAGCAAAGTGGGGCTCCGAGAAAGGAGAGATCGATGAGAGGGGGAAGCCTCAAGCGAGCGTTTAGGTTTAGGCGACGAGGGCTTTAAGCTTTGCAGCACATGGGAGGTGAAGCAACCGCAAGATAGATAGACGAAGCCTACCTTCTTCTCAAACTTGATTCCTCGAACTGGGGACACGGCATTGCTTTGGCCGACACTCAAAAGCCCCGGTCGTGCTGAAGCTGCCATCGCTTTCGCAGTTCAGTGTCCTTTGGCTCCGGGCTTTGGAATGGCGAAGTTCGCGAGTTTCGGATTGCACAGCTAAGAAGAACGGACCCAAAAGTCCCGAACCCTGAAGAGCTACTGCCTGTGATGTGTATGCTCTTCTTGCACTGCCCCTCGGTTGCTCTCCAAGTACACCAAGTGACCGAGTGCTGATGGGTCAGTCAGAACTCTGCGGTTTTTCCCTCCCGCAGAGTGACTATGACTAAATTCTTTGCATGTCGCCAGATACCTGCGATCATCCTTCACGACTTCCTAGTTCCGTCTGTCGATCCGAATCCCAAAACCAAGGCCGCAAACCCTATGAACCGACCATGGTCATTTCGGCCTGTTGGTCATGGTTTGACTAGGCTGTCCGTGGGAAGGGCTCTTCTCTATGAGCCGAACTCACCCTCGATAAATCGTCTCTTTACAGCCTCTGTCTGATTATTTCTGCACTGATTAACTGTTATCTGTGCTGTCTACATCTATCTGTATTTATCTATATTCATGTCTACCCAGGGCCGTTACTGTGAGGAATCAGCCCTGCAGATTGGCTCTTCCAATCCCTGGCGGAATAGGCTCAGGGTGGTGTTGTGGCACAGCCACGTTTGAATCTCTAGCTCAAGCGGTGCAGGATGTTGTTAGCTGGCCGAAGGCGCTGAGTTCTGCATTCCGAATTCTGTTTTGCCGGGATGGCCTCATAGGAACACCAGCAAAGCCGTTTGCATGTGAACTCAAGAATTAGGTGCTAGGCAGGCGTTTAGAGTCTAGGCAACCGCAGAGAATGAAATGAGATTCGTCCTTACCTATACTTGCAGTGTTCATGCATATTATTATAACCAGCCTTTTTTGCATGTGTTGCATGTAACTAACGTGATGAGGACATTGTAACGAGAGAGAGAGAGAGAGAGCGAGCGAGACAGACATGCATATATATATATATATCCATCTAACGAGACTGAGAGAGAGGGAGAAAAAAGAAGAAGAGACGGACCCAATGGCAAGGCTGTCTGTCTATCTTAATATAGCTGTATGAATCACATATACATATTTATATATGTACAGTGATTTATTTTATGTATTTTTATCTTGAATTATTTACTTACTTACCGATCAAGATATTCATGTATACTCCGAGCCGAAGGATCCCGTTGCCGCTGCCCTCGAAGCCCCGAGTGCAGCCCAACTCGCAGCTGCTGGAGGTGGTGATGCCCACACAGGCCTGTAATGGAAGCCTATCCTCCAGTACCCACATGCTTAAAGGGAGCCCTATTACAGAAAAGGCCTGAAAGAGGGCTTTGGCGGCTCTGGGCTTTTGACAGGGCTTTGGGGTTTTGAGGGTTCTGAGTTTTGATGTTTGATCGGTGGGGGTCTGCAAGGATCTTTGGGGCATATTCGAGGGCGCGAGGGGTACTCATGTAGGGTTCTATTGCGGTGTAGAAGTCGTTGAGACCGGGCCATGGGACTACGAACCCTCACAACAAAGACACTCGGAAGCCTCTGCGGTGACGCCGACACCGATGGAGATGCCTTCCAAGGAGCCTCGGCTGCCAGAGTATCTCCAGAGAGAGATTCTTAGAAGGAAGTTCACGGAGTTTCGGATGTAGTCTGGTGGCTTGGAGTTGATCTTTCTTTGGCTCTGACGCCCAAGAGCATTGACCTTGCAGCCCTGGCGCAGGTCAGGGCGGTGCAGTTGGGTAGGTCGCCCAAGAGCATGCCGTTGTCGCACTCCAGCTGCTTTGGGGACCCCGTGTAGCCCGTTGAGCATCTGCCCAAGCCTCGCAAAGGGACGAGCGCTATGTTGCGGTCCTAGGCCTTGACCGTATTAAGTCTAGCGAGACAAGGAACAGCGCACAGCAGAGGTGGTCAACAAAGCTGCGCAAGGGTGCTGCTAATTGAACTTATGGGCTCGGTGTTGCAGCTGCTTGATGGGATGATTTTCTAAATTCTACATGCTTTTTCATCCGCAAAGAAGTTATGTCACTGTTGACATAAGGCCCTGAGTGCAAAACTGATTTAGAGAACCACCCTCACGAAGATGAGAAGCACCGGCAAGGACCGCAGAATGATCAACCACACAAATTCTGAGTCTGGATTTGGTATCACCCGTACCAAAGGATGTTGAATATGGGATCACTTGAACAGAGCGGAGTCTGTGGAGTGCGTTAATGTGTCCTGTTGCTGCTGAACATCTGTACATTCCCTATTCCCTAAACCCTTGACCCACCGAATCCACAAGCAGCCTCCATTTTCCCCTCCTCATCTGAAGAATAAGTCGGATAAAGCTCACCTCGGCCTGATGCTACGAGTCCTGGACTTCGCCAAGTGACAGATATCTCCATGGCGTGCTCCCGCACAGTCCGTCTGGAAGGCAGGACTCGCGGTGGGCGGCGGGCAGGCCTTTCGCACGCCTTTGGCTGCGGTTTCGGGCTCAGGCTTAGGGTGTGGGTTTTGGTGTTTGGGGTTAAGCTTAGCTGAGAGCTTTGGAGTTTACTCAGGGTTTTGGCCCTGCGCGCAGGGACGGTGCCTGGTGGGACAGCTAAAGCCCGAAATCAGCCTCAGGACCGACATGAAGCGCCGCCAAAACACAGCTTCCAGCTGTTCCCTGGAAGGTGCCATCAAGGCCGCACTGAAAGCTGGAGCCTGAGCTTCTCAGGTTCTGAGAGGAATTCGATTTTACAGCTGCTGCGAGTCTCGGAAGGCCGCCCGCCGAGGAGCTGCTCCCCTCGTAGCCGCGCTTGCATGTGACCTCCGGGGCCGCGCCAGTTCCCAAATCCCAAAGGAAGACACCAGTTCAAGTTACATGGCTCGAATTCCGCCCCTTGACTAAGGTCCCCCGTCCCTTCGCCACCTGGGCTCTGAGCCAACTCCCAGCTCCCGCGCTGAAATCCCTCAAGTCCTCGAGCCTCGCAGGACTCACCCGACAGTGTGCCGATGCAGCTGCTAATGTTGTAGCTCACATCCTGCACCCAAAATGACTGAGGGCATGTAGTCCGGGCTTGCTAGCAGTTGGCCAAGTTGCCTTTAATATTAACTACTTCGTTGATTGCTGGACACGGGAACTACACAACCACTGCTGCACAGGGAGTGTGTTCTTTAGACTCTAACCTACCCGAGCCAGAGCTAACCTGCATGAACCGAAGACTCCTGTCGGAGACCCCCAACATTGCGGGACAGTAGTACGCAGTGGTCTCGGGATTCAAGACTTTGCCATTGGCATGCAGAAAGTATACTGAATCAGAACACTTCTGAAAGAGACCGCCGTCCAACTACAATTGCGTCCTGGGGAAGACCGGACGTGCCACATGCGAGCCGTTCACAGGTTGGCGGCGTTCCGGAGAATGAAAGATCAGCCTGGCAAAGCGAAACGGAATTGTGGATGATGGACGTTTTATGACCGTCTGGGTACTCCAAGTTGGGATTGAGTGTTTCGGTTTCATGCCTGGGCGTTCGGAGTATTTCAGGAACAGCTCACTCTTTGCTTGTTGAGTTGGATTGGAAATCAATGCCGACCTTACCTCTTTTATGTTTAACCACGTGCGGCCTGGCAGGCGAGCACAGACTCTGCGAAGACGTAGCCCGCGGGGCATCGCATGAAGCAGAAGCTGCCGGCTTCAATGTTCTCGCCTCGGCGGAAAAGCAAGTGAAAGGCCGGATAAAGCAAAGCGTGATCCGTGGTCCCCCTTTTGTTGGCTGCTTTTTGCTTCATAGAGTCGGCCCGCGGCCAATGGGTCGAAGCAGCTTGGCACTCACCGCAAGACTTGGGATTTAAGGCGGTCAAAGGCTCAACTGCTGGCGTCCACATCCGTAGCGGCCACCGGCAGAGCACTCAGCGGGCCTCAGGTAGGTCGGATCACGGCGGGTCTGGACGATACCGGAACTTCCATGCCCTTCTGCTGGTACTGTGACCATACCCGTGCTTCGATGTTTCATGGAATTTAGGGAATCGGTGTTCGCTGCCGCTTCAGAGCATGGGGATAGTCTTGGCCCCCCTCCCCCCGCGACCCACCGTGGATCTTCGAAGCGCGCCCGAAGGAAGCTCACAAGAGCCAAGAAACCGTGTCTCCGGCTACTGCGGCACTTGGCGGGGCTCGGATGTAGAGAAGTTGCACTTGACGCCTCTGTTTATATACGGTAGCGCCACTGAAGCTTGAAGGCTTTGAAGAGGATTCGGCTCGGTTAATTCCCCACACATGCCTCGAAACCCTGAGCCAAACTCGACTTGATCCGCCCCACAACTTGGCACAGACTCCTGGTGATCATTTAAGGGCCCTTCGCTGGCTGCGGCTGAAGGGCAGGTGGGCAGTAGGCACGTAAGCCCTGGTCCTTCGAAGAGTCCGGTCATTGGGTTGCCTTCGGAGCGACTGAAGGCCCAACACCCCACGACGACACCAAAAGCCGCACAAGCCTAAAGCCATAAACGTTACATCAACCCTACAGTCTCATAGTGTAACGGTTCTCTCCATTCTCTCGGCTAATCAAACTGATGCTCTTGAAGCTTCTATGAATGCATGGACTGTGACAGAGTTTTGAGATTGGGCTCCGGGTTTCAGCGTTAGGGTCGATTTAGGTTCTAGGGCTGGGGGCTGGGGTTGGGCCAGCTTCTGCAACTGATGGACACAGCAGAGCGTTACCAGACAAGCCTCAGCTTGCCTGCATCCCATCCTGGGCTCACCTTTCGAGAAACAAAGCTGGAAGAGCCAAAGCCCTGCACCGTATATTCTGGTAGATGAGAGTATACTATAGTAGAATATAGTATCTTATTGTATATTATCTCAACCTTGAACCCTGAATTCCAAGCCTCAAAAACTCGAGGTTCAAACCGAGCGGCACATGTACTGGACAGGCCCTCCTTGGAATCCTGTGTCGCACGTGACGTCACCTTTGAAACAAGGGGAGTACAGAGCAACTTTGTCAAGGCTGCAACCGTGACTTCTCGTGAACAAAGGCAAGCGAGCTTAGCAGAAGCGGTGCAACGCAGCGCAGGGCACAGAATCCGAAACTCGCGTCCCAGCGCCCTAAAGCCCAAAGGCTTTCAAAGATAGGACCGAAAACCCCAAAACACCTTTAACCCCGAACTTGACACAGAACAGGCACAAGTCTGCCCGTTCGCCAGACCGGAGCAATCGGACACCACGACGCCACGGCCAGAAGGCAAACCACCTTTTGGAACTGGTGGTGCGGTTCTCTTGGCAGTGCTCAGTGACTCTCCTAACCGGCGCTACCTGCGTGGCGCAATGAAAGAGTCCACAGCAGAGCCGGTGCAGCTCACCAACTAAAGCATCACGTCAGGGTAGCCCCACACGGATCAAGATCAAGAACGTACTGGGCACTGCGCGGGTCGGCACTGAGGAGCCTATGCTATACGCAGAGTTGAGCTTCTTTGGACCTAACAATGCCCAGCAAGCAGACTCCCAGGCACATCTACTCAGACGCTGACAGCTTTGAAAGGATTTGGCATATCCTGGAAGACCATGCTCCTCTATTGTTGGCAACGGTTTCAGCGGTTCGCATTCCTGACCCAGGGAACCCGAACCAGCGAAACCTTAAACTGCATAAAACTCTTAGCTACATAGGGGCGATAGGGAGATAGTACTGCTGTTTCTTCATGGCCCTATCTTAACCCCAAGAAACACCCTAAACGCAAGGCACCTGAACAGAACACCAGCTCGGTCACAGTGGAAGTGGCAGTGCTGGTCATTGTCGTCGTACCTGGGTCTGGTCTCGAAGCTTTGTTGTGGTTCCCTGGTTTGGCGATTTGGGGTCTGTTGTTGAAAAGCTTATAAGGTTGAAGGTTGAAAGGCTTAAAATATGAGACCAAGAAACACCGTACTCAAAAACCCAGGCCCCATGGCAGGCCGCTGTCTAAAAATAGGTCTTACGTTTGAAAGATCTGGGGTTGAGGGGGAGGCTCTGGCTCTGCACTGTTCAGGCATTTCCTCTTCATATGGGGGTTATCGATTTCGGGGACCCGTATTTAATACAGTGCACAATGGGATCCTTATTACAAGGACCCCAAAACAAGCTACACCACCCCCCATTGTCGGAAACTCCGTAGAATGAAAGTTCGAAAACGCATCTCTCACAGATCAGGAGCTGCAGGTCGGCAGGTCTCCCGTGAAGGTTTCGCCGTCTCCACCTCTGGGATCTAAGGGCTTTGGGGTTTTTTTGGGGGAGTTCGGATTTTGGGCTTTCGGGGTGTTTGGGTTTTGAAGCTCTGGGGCTTTAAGCGAGTGCTGCTGCTGCTCTGGTCAGGAGCACTTCCCTCGACTCAGTCGCACAGCAGGCACTACGCTTCTGCCCGACTCCATAAGCCGCAAAGCCCTCAAACCCCCCCCAAAAAAAAAACCTTGAACCCTGCAACACTCAGCCCCAAAGCACCAAACCCCAATGCCTAACTTAGCTGATCATGGCTCCAGAACCCATCAGAAGCCAGAGGGCAGGTGAACGTTGCCACCGGACCCTCGAAGCCGTCCGAGCACACCACCTCGCACCTGGCTCACTTCGGGGTTTGCGGTGTAGAGCTTCAGGGTTCATTGCTAGTTTAGGTTTAAGGCTTTAGGCCTTTAGGGCTTACGGTGCAGGGCTTTAGCGTTCTTGAAACTGTTTCAGGGTTTCGCCAGGTGTAGAAACGGGACTGATCAGGTTTGAGCACGATTTCAGCATGTTTGTGTGGGTTCTAGGAAGGTTTTATACAGGCTTCATGCCTGACAAGGCTTGTTGTAAGCATGATTTAAGGGTTTGAGGTTCAGGGTTCACGGTACACTTTAGCCTGGTGTATGGTTAAAGGTGCGTGGCGGCTGTCGGGTTAAGGTTTTAGTATGCCTGAGATTTCTTGCTGCAGGGGGCTTGGGAACGATGATTCAAAGCTGCAGAAAAGAGGGGCAAATGTATGTCGGGCCACTTCTGAGTTTCTGGGTCTGAAACACGAGCCATGTCGGATCCCCACTTAGCCCAATACCCTTTCAATAGGCTATGCACCCCCGGTAGGTCTTGCAAGTAGCAGCTCACTAAACCAAACTCCATGAACTGAGGCACGTCTCGCCGACCGTCTTTCCTTAGCTGCCGGAACTAGTGGAACATCAAGCATGCTTGCAGATAAACCAACCAGAGAACTAAGATCCCCAAAGATACCTACAAAAGCAAAGACTAACCAGAAGTAGGATTCGGGCACTGATAATACTAAAGTGCTTCTTTCCACGACCACGGCTCCCAGGCAGTCCATCACGTCCACCGACGGCTCTGCAATTGGAAGCCTGGGATGACATCTTGGCAGCCCAACTGAGAATCAAATGTGGATTTTCCGATCAGCAGAGTTTTTCAGGGCACTCCTCTCGCAGATCAGAGGCTTGGGCCTTGGGGTTTCTGCGGTTCGTGTGCTTGGATGCTCTTTGGGTAGGGCTGTGGATCTGCAAATGAAGCTTGGTAGGGACAACAGCCAATGCATGGCGTTCTGTCTTGGGTCGGGCTTCCAACCGTTTTTCTTCTGCATCCTGGCAACGGACACTGACCAGGGAGAACCGTGAAGGTCTGCGTGGTCGTGGTCCCCGTTGATGTGACCTAGGTGTGGAGCAGAAGTCACACCAAATCTGACCGTGCCTCTTCTCTACTCTCTACCCTCAAAATGTGCAAAAACGCGGTGCGAAAGCCATGCAGTCTCTTCGTGAGCTCTGGGCTCTAGAAGGCTGCGAAAAGCGGATAAAAGGCTCTGGCCGTAGTGGTTGTGGAGGAGACAAACTGCGGAAGGACGAACATCAGGGTCACCTTGCACCGTCGACATGCAACCGCCGGTTCCCTCACCTGCCTTTCAAAAAACTCTGACATTCGACGAGTTATCAAGATACAGTGCCGACAGCGTCAAGCCATCCGCGGCCCGTGCTTGCTGAAGAAAAGAGGGAAGAGAAAGACGGGACTGAAAGCAAAACAGCTTGAGAGAGAGAGAGAGAGAGAGAGAGACCGAGAGGCAGGGCTAGGGACTGAGCCAAGTCATGAACCGTAGGACGCCGTAGGAAAAAAAATGTCCCCTGTCTGCCTCGGGGTTGTCAGGCGTGTCGATGCATTTGCCGCTGCCAAAGACCGGTCGCCACGTGCCTCGGCTCTTGTGCATGGAGTTTTGCCAGGTCGAGGGTTGGGGATGTTCAGGCTTTGGGCTCAGAGTTTACAGATAGGACCTTAGGATTTACGATGGGCCCTTCGTCCTTGGAAGGATCTGAGCCTGCCCGGTTGCTCAACTGCACCTGGGGAACAGTCTGGCCCTCGGTCCTTCCGGCAGCCTCTGCATTCCAGATGCTTCAGATGCAGAGCAAGATACGCGTTTAGGGTTTAGGGTTAGTTCCGGTGCTGAGAGTCAGAGAAGTCACAAGCTGGGCTTCCTGCACTCCGGGAAAAGTCTCGGAGATGGATACAGTCGAACATGCCAACCAACTGAACGTGCTGCATTGAACCAAGAACGAAACAACCACTCCTTCAACAAACGCATCGGACAAACTCGGTCAAAAGAAGGTCGCGATGCACCCTACATCTCAAGAAGAGCTGCACTCAAATCGAAAGACCTCACAACATCCTAAATCCGGACACAGATGCTCTCTCAAACAGCTATATATCAAGACGTTTCTAACCTCGACTCTCGAGTTGGCTTGGAAACCTACAGGCTCCAAGGGGCCAAACCCCAAAACCCTGCAACAAGAACACTTCGCAGAAACGAACTCGTGGAAACCGCACATCGACCTGAAAGAACTCGTATGCTCTGAAGAAAGCCGGTCGGAAGGGGAGAGGATGGGCGTGTGGTGCGTTTGGGACTGGGGACCCTGAGCGCTCTCTGTTAGAAGGGTCATTATAGGGCTTAGGGCTGCGGGTTCAACTAGTGACGAGTGTCTTTCTTCTGCTTTACACGAGTTGTGTGGCTCTTATTGAGGATCGCACGCGCGCAAGTTCTCATGAGGACGCGTTTTTCGTGCCATACATCACTGTCATCGCCACTTGGAGTTTTGACCCAGACAAGCCGAGCTGCAGTTTGCCGCCGCATCGCAAGCACCTGGATCCTCCTGGGCTCGGCTCTGATTGAGCGAATGCCTTTGTGAGACCTTGAGGGTTTTTTAGCTAGGGGAGTCCGAGTATGATTTAGATTTAGGGCAATATGGAAGTTTCCGAAAATTAAGGGTACCATATTTTTGGATCCTTATGCTAAGGATCCTACTATTTAGGGTACTATATTAGGGTCCCCTATTTTCGGAAACTCCCATATGGTTCATGAAGGGGTCTTGGAGCCCAGCTGCAAGGATACGTGTATAACCAGGTGAAACCCTTTCTTTAGCTCGTTTGCAAAGCTCCTAGAAAACTCAAGTGGCAGCCGAGCTGCCAGGATCTGGGCGCAGGTGGAGATGTTGCCTTGGTGTTGGGACTACGAAGGCATGGGTGGGCTTTGTTCTTTTGGGTGGGCTTTCTTCCAAAAAGAAGGGGATATCACTGATGTATAGAATGCCAGAGCTGGAAAAATGCGCTTCGTGGTGATACTATAACGTACACCTTCACCCCTCCCTCAACTAAACTGGCGACAGTCTCCGTGCACTGTCATGCTCCAACCTTTGCCAATCTAGAGTCGGATGACAGCGATGCTCCTGCCACTTTGCCATGCATTACGCCCGTGAACAACGCAATCGCCCGGCTGATATCAACTCAAAGCCACTTTTGGGGGCTCCGTGTCCGCAACAACTGTTTGTCACTTGTCGCGTGAAATGTACGGTTTGGGTTGAGGCGTGGCTACAAATGACTCACGACGACGCACGCCGGGGGCTTGGGCTTTGGCCTTGCAACTGCGTATCCTGACCACGGCCGCTCGAACCTGAACCTGCTAGAACTGCGACAAAAGTCACGAAACCCTGACGGAAAGCCTGGCCTTGCCTGGTTCGTAGACTTATCCTCCCCGTGAAAACTGTTCTGATTGCTGCCAAGAGTCCGTCCAAAACGGTGAAATCTTCCGGAGTGTAAACCTCGTTGACGCTTCTCAGTTTGCACAGTTTGCATTGGTAGCTTTGCATACGCTCATCCTCATGGATGTCCGTGCCTGGCATGAATGAGCGACCGCGAACCTTCACTCACAGACGGTTCTTTATGTGATATACAGCCTCTCATTGTTATGATCTATCGAGTATCTCGTATCTAAATGACGAATTGTCTTCGAATCTCTGAGGAATCCGTGATGAGGCTGACATCATTGACTTCACTTTATGCGATCCGTCAGAACAAGAAAGAACAACTGTAAGTCCCATGACGAACCTGCTGGGTCTTGAACCTCAGTTCAGGGAGTGCCTCAGAGTTTCTGACGAAAATCTCGGCAATTGTCATTTAAGTGACATAACTCTTCCACCAAGCTCTCCAATGCCCCGTAGTCAATGAGTATATACAGCTGTGTTCTATGATTCACAAGATAACTGTTTGATTCTCGGCCAGCGCCAGCTGACTCGGCGAAGGCTTCTCTTCTGCTTCTGCCAGACTGCCCTGAGTGCTTTCTGTGCCTCTCTGGCCAGTGCTTGCAGTCTTCAGGCTTCTACGGCTTACCGGTTTAGGGTTTAGGGTTTTCACAGGGGTTTAGGGTTTAGGGTGTAGGGCATGCCATCTCAAACCTATGTATCTCTCTCCCATGCCACGCAACGGAGCACTCACGGAGATCGACTGGATGCGCTTTGGAGAGTACGCCCCAAGTTCGCGAGCCAACACTCGTCTTGCTCCTGGGAACCTGGCATGGCCCAGGTATAGGCTTCAGGGGTTGGGAGGCTGGAGTTTCAGGTATCGGGCTCAGGGTTCAGGGTGTTATTTTTCCAGTGGAAGGTCCAGGCATTAGCTTCCGCCAGCTGGAGCTGCCTACACACGCCGGCCCTCATGCTGACAAGAACTACCAGCAACTGAGCTGGCAGAGTCCCTGTACTGATCCAATGCGCAAATAATAAACAGCATAAACCAGTTACTCGTCACGCAGATTTGTTAATGTCGGCACGCGGTGGCAGCCTTAGACTCCTGGGTGTGCTTGTGTGCTTCAGAAACTCCAGCGAGCGCGAAGTAGACGAATGACGACGAGGACGATGGCTTCCGTGCTGCTGCATCCTCTTGCTACCACTCCTGTATCACCACTAGAAAAGTTGTGTCCCGTATGACCGCTGACTTACATCATCTTGCCTTCGGAATCCGCCCTTGACAAACTGGCACAAGGGGCATAGTCAAAGCTCACTTCCCCAGTCTTCGACAGCAGCCAGGCCTCCGCAAGACTTCGGCTTCAGTGGTCTAGTGGCTCTTGCGATAGGAGCAGTTGCGACTAGAAGGACTTGGGGCTTGGCGTTTCTAGCTCAAGTTTCACACTGCTCCGAGGAGTTTGAAGGATTTGGGCTCGGCCCTTGATCCCACGGCCCCGGAGAACTCGAGACAGTCCGTCCTCCAGTATGTCCTGTTTAACACCTGTAGGGATCGGTACAGTTGTAAAGGTCCGATCAGTGATCTGTCACGGTTCTACAAGGTTCTGCGGGTAAGTGGGATCCAGGTAGTTGATACCTGCATTGTCCAACACTTGAAACTCGCAAAGGAAAACGCAGGAGGTCATGTGAAGCAGTGCTTGATTGCTAGTATCCCTAGGGATATGCACTCATCAAGCCCCTAGCCCTAGCCCTAATGCAAACCCTACTTCAATAACACGAAAGCAACATGTACACCCTCCAAAACCGTTCCCTTCGCTTCCCCCATGGCCCGGCCATGTATCCATCACCAGTAGGGCCATGCACAAATCCACAATCCTCGTAGCTGCCGAGCTGGCCTTGTCGGGGCGTTCGATACTCGGATACGGAGGTGTACGATCAAGGTTTGACAGTTTGTTTCGGGCCCTTGGGTATATGAATAAGGGACTGACATCGAGAGCTCCTGTTTGGGCCAAACGAGCCGGGGCGCTCAGCACGGTTTCTCGTGCTGCGCAGTGTTGCTGAAAGAGGTCCGTGTAGTACACGGTCTCCTTGGCAGCTTGGGGAGTCCCAGCGAAGTCTGCAGGAAAGACTTTGTGTCCTTTCGAAGCTTGGGGAGAGCAAGTTTGTAGGTCTTGGGCAAGCAGATGACCGCTTCCATATTCGCGCACTTCTGTCGGCAAACTCAAAGCTCAAGAAGGCGCTAAATCATGTGTTCTTCTCGCGCTGGTGTCAAGGGCATCCCGACTGATCACACCCCCGTTCCTGTTTCCTACTACTGTGCATGAAAGAGAGAGAGAGAGAGAGAGAGAGAGAGAGAGAGAGAGACAGAGACAGAGACAGAGACAGAGACAGAGACAGAGACAGAGACAGAGACAGAGACAGAGACAGAGACAGAGACAGAGACAGAGACAGACAGACCAATGAAGGATTTAACGGCACTGCCGGGAGCTAGCAAAAGCATGCAACAGCCCTTTCATGTGATGAACTGGATGAATTGGGTCCGAGGTCGAAGGTGTCGTGGTGATGCAACAACTCGATGCCGTAGAAGATTTCGGCTTCCGACAGCTCCTTGGATGAGGCTCCAATACTCTCGGAAATCACTTTGACGGGTGAATGGGCTTCGTTCGTGTGGATGCAAGACCTATGATATTTCTGTCGGGGAAAGCGTGGCAGCCACTGACCGTTGCAAACAGGGAGTGCCTCCCTGTGGTGCCTTGATAACAAGAACTTGTCCGGTGCGTTTTTCCACTCTACTGGTCTTGACAAACTTCTGTCTTCCCACAAGACCAGTCAATTCCACTATCAGGGAAATGTGCACTGATGATGCCCAGGCGTCGGATTCCTCTTTTGGGTTGGATCAGAGTGGAGGAATCGTCCAATTCTGCAAAGCTTGATGGGTCATATCTTTGTTTGAAGAACCTTCCTCATTAAACGGCATTCAATGTATATTGATATCGCATCGCAGAGCCTTCGCCGTGAAATTGGTACTAATTTTATTACTGCACCTGCACTCTGCGCAAACAAGAGCCGTAGCAGGCCTTATATGCTGCTTGGTTTTGTCTATGACTCCTGAACGAACCACTTGCAAACACACGGACCTGTTTAGGCTGTCGTGTCATGTAAGATACTCGCTGCTCCCGTAGTCCAAAGAGCTGCGAGTTGCTGTAGATTTGCGTACTTGACTGTCAGATCTATGAAACCTTTCCAGCTGCGAAAACCAACATGCACATGTGGGTGTAGCTCTGAGCGGACAAAAAACGCCTGGAGCCAATCAAACTTCAATCCGGAACACGCCTCTGATCACACTTCACACTCTCCAGTCCCAGATAAAGCAGCTGAAGCAATACTCTCACATGTGAACTTCATGTAAAGCTTCATGATAGTCTCCCAGCGATCAACCTGAAAAAACCGGACATGGAACGGTCTGTCCTGAAGAGTGGTGGGCAATCGCTTTTATCAGCCAAGATGTTCCTGCAAGCGCCCTGTTCCTATTCCTGCAACAGCCAAGACACAGAGAGGCAGCTCGGGAACTGCAAACAAAACCACGAGGTTGCATGGACGTAGGGTAGCACCGGATGGCCTTCAGATTGGCAGGTGCACATGTACGGCTTGCACTCAAGCTTCAGCATGCTTAATAACCTAAGCCCCTAGCCGTGACAACCCTAAACCCCAGCAACCGACCAGTGTGGAACGAAGGCAAATACACTTCTGCAGGAAACCTACACTTTCATATGATATGGACTTATCATGAAAAGCTGATCCTGCGGGCTCCACTTCTTCTCAAATCCAGCCAGCTGGCAGAACTCCTAAAAACAGCTCCCAAGACACTGAGGGCTTTGTAAGGCTCGTCCGGTCCTGCCTGCACCGTTCACCAGGATGCTCGTTGGGCTTGCAACGATGTTGTCAGTGTTTGTCAACACGAGGTACCTGATCAAGCGCGAACTTCTCAGCCACATCTGGAGTGTCGGATATGTCCAAAATCGACTCTTGGCCGTACTTCGCCGTAGAAAAACTTCCCCATGCGCGTAGACTTGGGATTGCATCAGACAACCGTGCAGATCTTAGTACTCGAACAGCAAAAGGATGGTTTTCAAGCTGCAAACTCGCAGCCATGCTAACCATATATGGGTGTTTCCGAAGGTTAGGGATGGCTTATCTTGGGGTCCTTATTTTTCAGGATCCTACTATTTGGGTACTATATTAGGGTCCCCTATTTTTGGAAACCCCCATAAGCCTTCCGTACTCTATTTGGCCCAACTTGACCGAGTCTACCTGGGAGCTTTCCGTCTTTCAGACCATCGTTGCAAGCATACCTGTACGAGTTCGGCATGTCCGTTTCCATAATGCCTTAATAATCATGTAAGCTCGTCCTCTATATCCGAAATATGGGCTCGGGGTTTAGGAGTATCATGCCGCTCTATATGCAAAGTCACCTGCATCAGGGTAAGCTCTTGAAAAGCATGCTCCGGATCCCGCATCTCCGGCTGCCCAAAGCTTCGAAGTGACTTTGAACAAATAACAAATCCAGGCCTCGTAGTGACCATCGAAGCCAGTTCGCAGTATAGCTCCACCTCGTTTGGGAGACCCACGGAAACAATTCCTGGGAGTATATATGCATTGATGCAAATATTCCCTAGTCAACGGCAATACGATGGGGACGAAGATCAGACTGAGGACTTCTCCTTTTTGGTTGAAGTACCTGAGCGGATACCTGCCTATGCGCATATCTACGTGCTTAAAGACCTGCCGACCTACCGACCTACCTGTCGACTTGCATGACCTAGCGACCTAGCGACCTACCTACCGACCGACACAGCTTGTTGCTCAAAGACTGCTGAGAAGAAACACCAGGTCGCTCGTTGAAGATCCCTACCCGATCGGGCTTTCGATGAATCTTTCAAGCAACAAGTTAACGTTTCAGGGCTTGTTGCTTCGGCTTCGGTCATTGGAGTCTTCTGCATTGGGGTTGGGGTTATCCCAAACCAAGCGGCCGGATCCCCAGAGACGGTCACGATCTCGATTTGCGTCGTGCCTCTTTCAAGGTTTTGGGTTTAGGGTGTCACGGAGCATACAGAAAATGGGAGGGGGGGTCAAATCGCACAGAATTCACGGGGCCCACCTTGTGCTGTGCTGATGCTGTAGCTCGTCACGTTTTCAATCTGCGCACCCATGATGATGACTTTCCGGAAGGGGTGAGAGTACCTGGCAGGTCTCGCTGGTTTGTCCGGGCTGGCCGTGGAAGGTTGAGTTCAAAGAAAGAGAACCGGAATGTAAAGGAACGATCTCAGCATCGAGCCTGCGATCTGGTGCCCGTCGACTTGCAACACCTACAGAAGCCTGATATAATCCTGCAGAAACCCACAGTCCGCCTGAGAGAGTCGAGGAAGGTGCTGAACTCAGAGTCCATAGCTATGACCTTGGCGTAGAACTGGAGGTTGCATGGGGGCTGCTGGGTGTGAATTTCGATACCATCGTAACGAAAGCATGTCAAGAATGATAACTATCAACTTCGCTCGTTGGAGTGCTCGGGGCCAAAAGGCTTTAGAGTTTGAACATTGGGGGCGAACATATTAACTGCCTACGCCTCGGCGGACAAAAGACCGATTTCAACACATGGCTCAGACTCATGACCAAGCCACACCAAGCGTGACTTGTGAGTCATCGATGTTCTCGAAGACATTTCCCCTGGAGCCATGGCGAATGTACTCGGCGGATTCGAAACCTCAGTGAAAGGCGAGACGGCGCTGATGAGAGCTGCTCCCCAATCCCGAAGCACAGCACTGGCAAGGCCAAGTGAAGTTCCAGAACACCTTGTTTGGTTGCCATGCTTCTTCGATGTGCAGGGTATCGGAAAGCTCCTTTCCTGCACCGTCATGCCGTATACAGAAAAACCTCTACATTCGCAGTGAAACCAAAACACGCACGTCCCAGCTTTAGGAGGACTCCGCACAAATTCGCAGGCAAGCCGGGCACCCTAGACGATCCGCATTTGGGCAGGGAGGCTGAGGTGGGCATGACCGTCACTCACTCCTCCGGAACACAAATCGAATCCCAAGCATTCCCTTCGGGCCCTGACTCGTTTCAACGAAGCCTGAAACGAAACTGCGAGAAATACAAAATGGAAGTCACAGCCGTGCAGCTGGAATTCAGCAACCTTCGCTTCTGAGGCGGAAGGGTCAGAAGGGAGAGGTAAGTCTCGTGCACGTCACTTCGAACCAAGACCAAAGATCTCAACACTCGCGATTCCCTGCCCCTGGAGGGAACCAAAAACCTTCCAGACTGAAGAAGAAGCCGCTATGCCAGTTTCAGATCCAAGCCCCCAAAACTTTGGTTTCTTAAATGACTGCATTCTGGCAATCTCCTGAGACCTGAAGCATAATTCGGACTGTGTAGTAGTCGCAGTTTGCAGATGTTTAGTGGTTGCCTGCGTTCAGCTACACCGGCTGGAGGTGATCCTTTCTCTTGACTCTTTCTGAAACTGAGCGCCAGGATTCGGTCACAGTTCCCCGAAAAAACAAGCCTCACGGAACACTGCGATGCGAGAGCAAACCCGAATCACTAAAGCTCACACCCGCGCAAGACTGTTGCAGAAGGGAGTTTCAGAAAGTATGGGACCCCCAAATAAGCCAATAAGGCCTTAATCATACCTTCAGGCCTGCAAGGGAGTATCAAATTATTACTATCACTACTGATCATGCAAAAACCACCGTCTTTGTTGCTCCTCTTTATTGCAACTCTCAGGACCTTTGACAATTTGGCCAGAACCCTAAACCCAAAACCTTAAACACTAAAACCCTGAAAGCCTAAACCCTAAAACCCTAAACCCCTAAACCCCTAAACCCTGAAACCCTGAACCCTAAAACCCACAAGCCTAGACCCAGCCCGAGGGGCATCTGGGCGTAGTTTCCAATAAGCAAGGAATCGGCCTTGTAGGGGGAGTCCTGTGAGTGGACGGGTCGGGTTTGGGGTTCTAGGGTTTAGGGTGTTTTATGGGTTTAGGCTTCTCTTTGGGGTTTCAGGGGCTTGGAGGGTCCGATGGGTTTGAGGCTTAGAATTAGGATGTAAGGGTTTAGGCATTTAGGGTTTTGGGGTTTAGGAAGGGAAGGGCTTGTGTTTAGGGCTTCGGGTCGAGAGGTTCAGGTTTCACGGTCCAGGGTGTTGGACAGGGGCTCCGGGCTTGGGTTCGAGGCTTGCTGTGTTGTGCACCATAAATGTCGAGCGCAGGCGCAACTCCTATCTTCCCTGTGATCAATGTGAAGTTGTCTTGGCGGGTGCTGGCTCGGCAGCGGTTTGGGGCTTTGGAGCTGGGTGACAGGCCGGCAAACCTGCACACATTCCATGTGACACACGAATCACCTCCCGATTCAACTCCAACCCTATCCAGCATCACTCACCTGCACGAAAAATGCCCGCCGAAGGCTCCAGGCTCTCAGAGTCCCAACAAGGCCAGATGACTCTAGCCCCCCTTGATCGTACGTACCCGCATCTGAACTGACGTGTTTCGGAAAAAGAGCCCAGAGAGACGGTCCGGTGCATTGCCAAACTCTTCGAAGCTGAGATTGGCCATCTTGATGTCGAAGGCAATGCCTCATGGGGCTCAATGAGTGTAGGCGGGTTTGGGGCTTCTAGGCCTTCTTGTGGGGCTTGGACTTGGAGGCTTGGAGTTCAGGGTCTCTTTGGTGTCGCGCCACCGCAACCGCAAGGTTTCGGGGGGATCCCGGGGCTGAACACGCGCAAAGCCTCTTAGACTTTGAGAAGTCGCAGAGGACTGGGACTTCCATGGGTTGCCGATTTCAAGGACGAACGCTTCCAGGTGGCAGGTGCGTTAAGACCCTGCGACTGGAAGTTGACGCGCTGCAAAAGATGTGTCACGGTATCACCAGTGGCTACGAGCCCGCGGTAACGATCCCACGCCACGTCACGAAAAGTGCCATGCCTCTGAAAGCGTTGACTACTTTGCCGTTGCAAGGTGCTGTCAACCTCGAAGGATGGGTCCTCCAGGTAGGTCAACAACTGCACCGTCCAGGGATGTGCCACGTTGTAGACGGCATTGCCATTGATGTGCACTAACCTCAGCCAGGGAACTGGAAACACGGAAACAACTCATGTCCGTGAGAGTGACCCGTTGAGAGCTCACTCTTCAATTTCGCCAGGGCTGTGGGTATCTGACGCACTGCTGAAGTTGCCCAAACCTCAATGTCACCTGTCAAGAAACAACTCGATCGGTAGATCCTTGAGAAAGCCGTCCCAGGTGTCGCCTCCGGCATGGTGGCGCGGAGGCAGGGAGGCAGCGAGTCGAGAAAGCTTCAGCACAGGAGGACAAACCCGATGTATTTCGTGCCTCTGTAGCGGCTTCCTCGTATGGCCGCCGTCGGATAATAGAGGGCCTGCGGGCAACGAACGCTGGGCTGAGAACACCATATGAACCCCAGAGCGTCTCTACAGTAGTCGGTGGCAAGGTTTTGGATGGTGCGTAGTATTTAGCGCTTACGGAATGCGTGCTCTCGGCTCGTAGGCACCTTCTTGCAGATACTCCTTGTCTTGAGAAGTGTCGCGCTGCACTAGGACACGACCTATCTGCAGCTCCCAGCAATTTGCTGTCCAAAGACAGACAAGGAGAAGACCTCAGAATACGTTCATGATGCATAGCTCTCGGCTCCCAAATACCAGCAGCTTTTGTCAGCTTTTGGTGGAAAAATGGGATGCCGTGCAGAGTAGTCGTATAGGGATCTGAGACTCGTAAACCCTTGAAACAGGGGTCCCCACCTCAGCCACATACTGCTGGAGCCAATCCGCACGGACCGGCACCTGCAGTGGGGTGCGAGGCTTGAGGCTTAGGGCGGAAAGTTTAGGGTAGGCGTTGGGGTTAGGGGCTTTGGGTTTCAACGCGGAGGATAAAGGGCTGAGGGACTGGAAAATCTTTTGCGATCTTGGAAACTTGGCATCGTGCCAGGGAGGGAGAGTCACCCAGGGAGCCCAATGCTGCCAGGCTTTGCGAAACTCTGCAGACCCAAGACGCGCCCAAGGCACCCCAACTTTCAGAGAGTCTGCTTCATGTATGAGTCTCCTTCATGTTTAGTAGCACAACGGAGATGTGCTTGTTTTCGGGGAAGTCGAAGTCTGAGACTTGATGGAACTAAGCCTTGAACTTAGGAATATGCCATGTTGGGCTTCGCACTCTGATAACCTAGAGAGCTCTAGAAAGTGCCTAAGGCCCTATGAACCCGTAGTAAACTTAGTAAACCTCGTGAAGTCCCTGCAGTTCTGCTGCAAGTCTGCAAGTAAGCATGCACGGCCCTCTGGAGGTAATTTGCAGTCGAGAAGGAAGCTGGGGGTTCAGGGTTGAGGGCTGGGGATACAGGCTCAGGCCTAGGGAGGTGTCTTCGAGCTTTACGCTCCTGATCATTGGCTCGGGGTTTACGGGTTTTCCGGTGGTTTGGGATTTCGGGTTGAGGATTGTGTGCGCGTGGTGTCTTTGCATGGAACAATCAAGAACAGCCCACGCTCGAATCCCAGGGGCCGAGTCAAGTTCCATGTAGAAGAAGTGGCTGTACTCGCCGACCGTTTTGTCCTGGCTTGAGTAAGACTGTGCTTCCTGACATCTCTTCCTAGCATGAACCACACACTTTCAAGCCCAGCTTCAACAACGAGAATGGCCCAAAAATTTAACCAATGCACAAGAAGACTTTACCTCTCTTTACATTACCCACAAGTTTAGCTCTAACAGCATCCTGACGAAGATTCAACCTCAGCCCTGCCCCAAGTCGCGCTTCCTTCTTCAGTGTTTCGCAACCCGACTAGACAGCATGCAACATACTGGCAAGCAATGCTGTCCACGAACATGATCAACTAGATGGAGAAAAGGAAGCGTAGGTTGAGAGCCGCATAAAGGCCCACCCCCCCTACTTCCCGAAGCTTCTCATAAAAAGCGATGGAAATCTCAACTCAGCCCCACTTTGACTCTAGAATCGCAGCAAGCAACTCAGAGCCCTCCAACCGCATAACCATCGCAAAGTCTGCCCAAATAAGCGCCAGGGGGGCAACAGCAGCTCGAAGAACGGATCTGAAGACCTCCGAGTTTGGGGCGGCAACAGACGTCTCAGGGCCAACGAACCTCAAGCCGCAGATCACGGTGTGCGCATAGTATTGAACACTATAACTCCCGACCCGTAAACCTAAACAACCCTAAACCCTGAAGCGCAACAACCTCGCACAAAGACAACCCTCAGAAAACAACGCCATGTTCAACCGAAGTACCCGAAGCCCGCCAAACCCAAACAAGACGAAACCACAAAAGAATGTTCGGCCTTGTTCGGGCCGGTCACCCAAGCCTTCCGGATGCTGTAACCACGGGAGTCCTCGGTTTGCGCAAGTTTAGTATTGGGCTTAAGATACTGCTCAGGGTTCTAGGACTTAGGATGGCAGCTAGCGCCTTATATGCGGGGTTGTCACGATATGGGCTCATCTGATGGGCAAGACCACTCCCGAATCACCATGAAAGCGAAGCTGCATAGACATCTTCCACCGCGGTGAGGTTGGCCTCTGGCACACAGATTCAGAGCTTAGGCACCTTAGGGTTCGCCCGAAGATCCCAAAAGCCTGCTGGACGGTGAGGCTTCGGAAGCACTGCGCCCAGGTGAAAGTTCCGTTCCTCAGCGACACGAATTGCTGGACCTACCTTTGCAGGGGCTCTTCGTGCCCGGATTGCGAAATTGAGGTTCTTCGCTGAACAGGGGGAAGACGTGAACGTCCAGCCAAGTCTCTCAAATTGCATCTTGATAGCGTCAGCCGCAGTCTGCGCATGCGGGGAGGCCTGGCACAGCAGCAAAAAGACACGACAGCTTGTCCCTAAACCCGCGATGGCGTGCTGGTCGGCGGCTTCGGAGCAACGACGACCCTCTGCCTGCCTCAAAGGTCTTGCTGAAAACGAGAATCACATCCACAGCGACTTCCGGGACTTCTGTGCAAGGCGGGACCTCTTCAAACGCATCTGTCCGTCTCATAAGGCTTGTGGAGTTTAAGAGTTCAGAAGGCTTATAGGCGTTCGGAGTGTTTCGCGATGTAGAGCTTCAGGGTCTTAAGAAGGCTTGGGGGCTGGGGCTTAGGGCTTTAGCGCTTGCACCCCGTCGTCACTCCGTGCCTCCGACCAGTGGTCGAAAACGCTCTGCAATGATTGAACCTCCAAGGGAGGGCTTTTCTGCTCTTACACTTTGGAACCGGATTGCTATATTGACAAACACATACGGGACCTGTACTGTTCCGAACATCTGTCCCTACGTCTCCCTCAACCCCACAACACGGGCCTCGGCATCTGACGCGTAAGGGCGCACGATGGCAAGATCGGCGAGAGTTTGATGGAAAATCGCCCATAGACACCAAGGCCTCCAAAACATGTTCATTGCGGAACCCAATTCTCAGCTCTTTGAGTGCATCCAGCCTGAACCACTTCGTGGTCATACTTGTGCCTCACATCAGAACGGGGTGCCGGGCACGATTCTTGTAGTACGTGATTCGGCGGCTCGGGGAGGAGTGGTGCCCAGGCTTCGATGCAGTTTTGGATTTGTATATCTATATACCACAGGCCAACCTTACTCAGAACTTGCGCACTGTACTTCCGCAGAAGCTATGTACGACTCCGGCCAAAGAACGCAACCGCCCAGCAACGGTTCCGGACAAGGTGCCGTTAAAGAATGCCGGAGGCGCCGGGAGATACTCGGTCCACTACACACTGGTCCGGAGCTGTGAGCCCGAACACTGAACATGCCGCAAAAGAATGGAGGTTTGTGGCTACGCAATTCAAAGAACAACTGCAGCGTCCGCAGATGGAACCCACGGTTCAGTTCAGTGACCATATTGCCATTCGTTTGTTGCGTGTCAGAACTTTACACAAATCTCAAAGGACCAGGAAATGGGGACTTCGATGGACGAGGCACTAACACTACGAATGGTTGCCGGCACAAAAAATGCACAAAAGATGCATGACTGAGCACCAACTGCTCTGAACTAGACGATGGCTCTTCATGCAATGATGCAAAACTCGCACCGATTGATTTCAACCTCGACACGAACTGCGCATCATCCGAAAGCAAAGCCGCTTCGGCGTTGCTTCATACACACACCCACACAGAGAGACATGCCATGAAATACATGTAGGCAAAGCACGGGTAGTCAGACACTAGGCTGCGTTTTCTCGTTCCGCGATTCTCACTCTGCAATGGTAAATGAAACCTTCAGCACGACTGCTCCCGACAATTCACTATGCATTTCGATCCCATGGAACAAGCTTCCAATGAACCGGGAGCGGATGGCGACGTTCTTCACGTTGTGGCTAACATCTGACATCGTAATTCCGTTAGTTACTCTGTTCAGAACCAGCCGTCCAACGACAAACGATTGCTGTTCTACGTCGTTGATTGACACCTTGAAAAGCAATGTGCGGACTACACCATGACGATGCTATCGCATTCCGAAAGAGCTGATGCCGGTCAACGCGAGGGACTACCTCAGCAAAAGTTGTGACCACTGCAGCTAGCTCGCGAAGAAACTCTATGCGTGTGAGAACATGGGGAGGTTCGAGCGCAACGAATATGATTTACTCGAAACGGTGCTTCCTGGAACTGTGAAGTTGGGGATGTCCCGATAAACCCTCGTAATCTCGTATCTGTTACCTGGAACCTTTGCGGACGAATGCGAACAGCAGTAAAGGATCCATGTGAGAGGATATCCCACGGCTTGACGGCTCGACTTCTGTTCGACGGGAAATTCAAATGAATGCCTGGTGCATTGCGAACAAAAAACCGAGTTGGAGCTTTTACACGAGTTTGGCCACTGAATTTTTGTTCATGCGGATATGGCATACGAACCCAGTTGGAATGTTTGTGCCTGCAAAACAGATATGAAGCTATGTTCATTGTTCATAGTCGCTTTGCAACCATCACTTCGAAAATTTGACACAATTGAACACAACTAATCGTTGTCACTCGCTCCTGAACACTGGCACCTGCGATCAAACTCAAGAAACTTCTTTAAAAGCCATTGGCAATGGCTGCAGCAACCACTAGCGCTGTCAAAGTGAACAAGCTCGACAACTTGTGTTCTGCGCTTTCAATTTTTTGCAGCAGTGGAGAATGCAGAAGGTCGAACCTTGTTGAATCTATAAATAATTCATGCCATGGATCCGAAACAAGTCGGTCAAAAGTGCACACAAGAAATTGAAGCAAAGAATGCTGCGGGAACAACCAGCAGTGGAAAGGTCTGCAAGGTTCCCTCCAAGAGAGTGTGTCAACGTCGGATTACCTGCGCCCCCGTTCACTGATCCACGAACTTCAACTGACAAGCTGTAAAAGACAAGAATTGTTTTTTTCAATTTGGCAGCTTCTTTTCTATTTTTGTTGGCGCCTAAAGGCAAAACAATGGCTTTGACGGCGGCTGCGCGCAGGCTTTGTGGGCAGAAAGTGTTCAGCTCCAGTTCGCAGAATAAAATTTGGTGAATCTCGTCGGACTTATCAGCTCAACTCGAATTTTTCGCTTCCTCAAGCTTGGGAGGGCAGCTATCAGCAGGATAGGTTGGCGTGGATCATAACCACGTCCCGTTCACGCATGCTGCCGAAAGGGCAGTGGTCTCTAATGGCCAAATGCGGTGTTCGGGGAGGAACGTTGTGCAAACTTTTCTTAAATGTGCGCAGATTCTGTCATTGACGAGACAGAAGCTGCATCTTCTCTGTCCAGAGGATGCACATTCTCTGTTGGGCTTTTTTCGAGACCGCCACAATGCCGCCGTCCTTGAACTTGGTGCCTCGCCGGGCCTCACGGCTTACTGTTTGCGACTTTTTGCATCCGCGGGCCTCGTTGGCTACGATAGAAGTACTCGGTCCCAGAAAACCACAATTAAACAAACACTAACACAAGAAAACAGCGCTGACACGGGCCTATGATCGTGGCAACGTGTCAGCTGCAGCGTGCGGACTTCGTCAAAAGTCCAAGGCCGAAGTCCAAGACTGGTGAAGGTGAGGCACCAATGAAATGCGAAAGCCAGCGCAGCGCAAGTGTGTGCACTTTTTCAGGATGCCTGTCAAAGATGAGCCACGCATCGCATCAGCAACAGTGTGTCATCACTCGGCGGCCATCCAAGTCAACGACCAGAGCCGAAGGCCAATGCTCAGGACGCAGGACAGTTCCGTCAGCCAACGGATGTCCCTCGTGCCTGGTTCAATTGTATTTTTGGCGTGGGCGGGCCTCGTAGACAGCGGCTGCTGCCTGCTGCGCTTGGTCCCAGTAAGAACGTCAATAAGCTACATACAGTAAACGAAGAAGAGTAAACAAATACCTGTACAAAGTGAAACAACAAGCTGCGACATACAGACTTAGCCGGCAAAGTCGTTCAGCACGAATTAAGTGCACATGCTGCCCGTAAACTTGGGCAGCGCAATGGCCCTCATAGAAGCATTGTTTGCGGCCCAGGATGCCGGCCAACGTGTCAACGGCAAGCTTGAGCGGCCAACCTAGCCGAGCCATGCATTCCGAGCGCTGATGCAAATACGGTTGGCCAAACGAATCCAACAGGAAGTCAGATCTCAGAATCATTCTCACACTGTCCATCCAATGGCACAGAAGCCTCATGGCCGAATGGCCAGCACACCCATTCCCAGAAAAAGAGGCGCAAACACATGGGAGTGGAGTATGTCGGCTCGCTCTCTGCCAAGGCTGCACAGTGGCTGCCCTCCAATGTAGCGGTGCACTACAGCCGCATGGTCGAATGACCAGGGCCCGCCACCAAAGAAAAGGGGCCCAACGCTACGGGAGTAAGCGTGTATCTGGCATGCTCCAGGGTTTCATTAAGAAGGCGCCGCCAATAGGCTGCATCCTCCATATGTTCATCATTGAGAGCATACAAAAAGGCCCATTCTCGGCGGTCGTAGCGCCCAGAGAGCTGTGGCCTGGTGAAATAAAGTCGGGGCGAAGGCCCATGGTAACTGGGGACCAGCCTGTAGCCCAAAATGGATAACGAAGGCCATCAGCCAGCCCTCCTTGCTCTCGGAAGCGTCGGGCTGCCTCTACCCAGTCCTCAAAGGAAAGGCCTTCCCCAGTGTGTACGGATCATATTGAGCACGCTCCACCGACACGTGCGCGAAGTCTCGTCGCACAATCTCGGCGCTGCACCCTTCAATCATATGACTTCCAAGCAAATAGAAACGTTCTGGATACCAGAGGCTGATCTGCTTAGGGCCCGGTAGCCAGACAGCAAGTGCAAGCTCTGGATTCCTAACAGGCTTCCATCCCTGGCCTGGATGCCTGGCAGGCTTCTATCCTGGCACCTCGAAGCACGACGGCTCCCCTTCTAGCAGCTCGCCGGCCTTCTACGCGCCTCCAAACAGCTCCGAACCACTGTGGTGCACTTCCAAACAGCTAACAAGCCCTTTACGCGCGCCAAAAAAGCTTCCAAGCACCGGCGCCGCACTTCCAAGCTCGCAAGCCCTCCGTGCACCTTCAAAGTGCCTCCGAAGCGGTGCGCGCCCATTGGCAAGCACAAAAGAGCCCAAAAATAGGTTTTTGGGGGGTGTTCGAATCCAAGGTTTGGAACTGAGAGTTCCGAACCCAGGGTTCTGGAACTCCGAACCAAGAGTTCGGAGCCTCGAACCCAGGGTTCGAACATCGAGTTCCCTCCGAACCCTGGGTTCGAACTTTGAGTTGAACTCCAAGTTGAACTCAACTCCGAACTTCTTGAAATGGAGTTGAACCAGGAGTTGAACTCTGAAAGGCGAAGTTTGAACCCAGGGTTTGAACATAGAGTTTCCGAACCCAGAGTTCGAACTCTGGCGGTCCTAAAGAGTTGAAACCCAGGTTTCGAACATTGAGTTTCCGAACCCGAACATGGAGTTTCCGAACCCAGAGTTCGAACTCTTGTCTCATTGCTTCTTGTTCTCTCATTTTATTTTTTCGCAAAAACCCCATTAGCGATTTCGTGTGTCTTGCGGTTGAGTTTGTGTCTGTCATTGTACTGTGCTCTCAGTAATTTTGTTTGCAAAACCACCCACAAAGCGATTCTGTGTGGCTTCTTCTCCTTTTGTTTGGTGATTGTTGGTGTTCTGTTGGAACCCCGTTCGAACTCTGGGGGGAGTCCAGAACCCGGGGTTGGGCGGTTCATTTATTCGCGCCTTTAGCATTCTCGTAGGAGACTTCATGTCCTTCTGAAGCCCCCTTGAGAAGAAAGACTCTTCGTCATTGACAATCTTTTTCTTTGTTTTGTCTTTCTTTGATTTCTCAAAAACCACCATAAAGCGGTTTCGTGTGGCTTCTTCTTCTTTTGTGGCAGGGACTGGTCATTGATAGTCTTTTTCTTTGTTTTCGGCAAGCTTGTAAAAACAGCGGGTGGGTCGGGGGGGGCGCAGCCCCCCCCCAAACGTGGAGTCAGGGCTCTAAGAAAGGGGGAGCGAACCCGGGGTTCGAACGTGGAGTTCTCCAAACCCCGGGTTCGAACATAGAGTTCCCGAACCCAGGGTTCGAACATGGAGTTCCCGAACATAGACTTCTCGAACCCAGGGTTTGAACATAGAGTTCAAACTCCTGGTTCAACCCAGGGTTCCACCCTGAGTTCCGGAGTTATATGTTCTTCCCCCCCCCCGGGCCCCCTGGGAGTTCGAACCCTGGGTTCCGGAACACTCCAAAAACCTATGCTCAAAGAGCCTCTCACTGCACGGCAGCCAGCCCTCAAAATCGACAAGCCTCGGAAGACCGATTTTCAGCCAATGTCCAGAAAGAGCCTTGCAGTTTTCGGCTTCCAAAGACAACTACAAACCTGACCTAACTTCTTTTTTTTCCGCTGAAGTTTTTTTTCCGTTTCAACCGTCATCGCCGTCTTCTGTCTGTCTTACCCTTCTCCACTCTGGTGGGCACGTCGAGTCGCGCCTCCAAGCAGCAAGAAAGCTAACAAAACTAACAACCCATTTTCCGGCTGTCCAGAAAAATGTCGCTTGCCTCCATTCCAGGCAGGTTCTAGAGCTTTGAGTTTTGTCAGTTTTTGTCAGATCGCATTGCATGTTTTTGATGCGTTTTTGCAGACAAACTGCGCCAAAAAGGGCGCAAAGCGACATTTTTCTTGGCAGCAGGAAAATAGATTGTCAGTTTTGTTTGCTTTGTCAGTTGGCTTCTTGGAGTCTTTTTGGTGCAGTTTCTAAAAAACGGATCACAGAACTACCTGAAAAACCTAACATCTGCTTGTTCAACTCCCACACCGCAACAAGAGTCTTTTAAGAGGGGCAGAACAAGGGCTTGTTCGGTTTGTCAGATCTGTCAGACTTGGGATTTAGGTCTTTGCAAAATCAAAACTGGCCAACATGCGATTCAAGGGCTGCCAATGAGTGCAGACCTGCAGCCTTTTGCACAGCTACCGCGAGCCTCGAACCACACTCCAAAGGTACTGGTCAACAAAAGTGGTTGTTCAATGCCTTCGAGGAAGACGAACACACGCGCAATACCCTACCGCACATTAAACCCTGTCTGTGGATAGGTCACGGTGAACGTCACGCCTGTGTCTTTTTCCCGGTCCCACCGCACTTTTCGAGGAGCCGACCTGCAGGATCTGTGCGTGGACCACGACTCCACATGTCTCCATCGATCCAGGAAGAGTGTCGGTGTTATCTTTGTCACGAAGCCTTCTACCGACATCCAAGGGAGTTTTTCCGTTTTTACCAAGGAGGAGCACAGCTGTCGTCAAACTGACGTAAGTCTGTTGTTGTGAAAGTTCATGTTTAAGACATGTTACTTTGGTTGTCCTGCATGCCTGCTCAGGTGTGAGTCGTTTTAGCTGAAAGTTTTGCCTTGGAGGCTTGACTGACGAGCTTGCTTTCAGTGGAAAGCCTTTTGAAGTGCTTGAGAGTGTAGGGAAGTGTTTTTCCTTGGTGTAACTACGTTTGGAGTGACTGTGTAGCTGTAGTTCTGCTTGCACTAGTTTTGAGTAGGTCCCGAGAACTCCCACTGACGTTTGAGTTTGTTTTGCAGTTGTGGAGAACACGTGGCTGAGCAGTGTTTCACTTGCAGTGCTATGGCACATGGAATATCTGTGGCCAGTTGCACAGACAAAGCCTCCGGCTGCTGACTTTGGCTCAAGCCGTGAGAAAAAGAGGGTTCAGCGCGCTGCTGCTGTGTTTTCACATGGTAGCGGAGCGTGTGTAGCACGCTCGTAGCTGTAGAGAAGCCATGGCTGACCCTGCCCAAAGTGCCGCGACCCCAGTGCCTGAGGAGGACGACTTTGAACTGTTTGGTCCGAGTCCTGGAGAGGCGAGTCAGCCGTCGAACCCAGGACCTCAGCCTGTCCCGACTGTTGGACCGCAGCAGGCACCGCAGCCAGTGCCACAGCAAGCACCGGTTCCACCTGCAGTGACGACGACAGTTGGTTTGGACCCACAGCTGCAGCAGTTGATGCTGAATATGATGCAGATGCAACAGCAGACGCTCCAGGTCATGATGGCTAGGATGGACGCAGATGAGAGAAGAAGGCGAGAAGCTGAGGCTGCCTCTGCAGCTGTAGCTGACCCCTTTGGTTCGACGGCTGCGGCTGGAAGTCCGTCAGCTAAAGCTACTGCTCCTCCACCTCCAGCGTCTGCTGGTCCGTCGGTGCACGTAGGAAGCAACAGAGCTGAGAAGTACCTCCCTGCTTTGCCCACCATCGACGCTCCATCGATGGGGAAACGGCGTGTGAAAGAGCTGGAAGAGTACCACCGTTGGTGTGAAGTCTTGGCGTCATGGTTGGCGCTCATAGACGACAACTACGTCAACGAGCTGCGCCAAGCAATGGTGCACAACAGGGAGATCAAGCAGTCAGAGATGTCTGCTCCTGTGGCTTCGAGGTCTGCTCGGTTGTTTTACTACCTTCAACAGAGTTTGAGAGAGGCATGGAGCTTGTGAGAAGCACGTCCATGCGGCAAGCTCAAGCTGCTTGTGGGTACGAAGTCATGCGGCAAATGCATGCGACTTTCAGCATTGTCTCAAGAATGGAGGCAATTGCAGTGAGAGATGAGGCCCTGAAGTTGCCTGCCAGAGCCCGAACCTACAAGAGGCCACTTGATGTGGTCCGGTTCTTGGAGGATGAGCTGGGCAAAGTGGATCAGAAGCTCCATCGTTTTCCGGAGCTGAAGCCCGGCGGCTCGGATCGCCTAACCATTTTGCTTCAATCTGTCAACCCTGAGTGCCGGCATTACGTTGTTTTGCACGGCAAGTCTGGAACTTGGGAAGAGCTTGTGACGAGCATCCGGTTCTTTGAGGAACAGACCAGGCTTTGCGACGCTGGAGCCCTTCACGCTGTTGGTGACAAGGGTTTGTGTTGGAACTGCGGCAAGGCTGGTCACTACAGTTGGCAGTGTCCTGAACCACCGAAGGGTGGCAAAGGAAAAGGCAAAGACAAAGACAAAGGCAAGGGTGGAAAGCCCTCTGGTGGTGGCGGTCGAGGAGGCGAGCCCAAAGGAAAGGGCAAAGGCGACAAGAAGGGCGAGAAGGGCAAGGACAAAGGAAAGTGGGGAAAGCCAAAGGCGAAGCCGAAAGCGAAGTCCAAGGGACGCGCTGTTGAAGACGAGCCGTCGGAGCAAGTGATGGCCTTGAGATTTCATCGTCTCAGGGGCATGCGCCCAGGGAAAGCAGTGAAGAATGAGCCCAATGATGCTGAGCCCCCACGTCTCACCATGACGGATAAGGAAGTAGAGAAGCTGAACCAGTCCTCTTCGAGGAACAGTCACTTTGCGTGGCTTGTTGATAGTGGAGCCACGTGCCACGTGTTGTCTGTTGCTTCTTTGTCGTTTTACGAAGTCGTGAAGGAGCATTCGGGACCGCTGCCTGTCTTGATGAGTGCTAGCGACACCGAGATGGAATGCCTCGGGTTGGTCGATATCCGTGTGAAGTTTGGGAGGCTAGGGCCTGTAGTGCTTCAAAAGGTCCTGGTTTGTCAGATTGGTTTCAATGTGATCAGTTCTTGGCAGGCGTCACTTTCGGGTTGGTGTTCTTGGTTCACTGCCACACCCGGAGAGAGTTGCTTGATGAAGCAGAATGGGAAGGGTTCCTGGGTTTGGGTTCCCTTAGAGACGGAAGCCAGGAGCTGGTGGGCAATGGCCCAGGAGATCGGCCCCGCGAGAGCTAAGGCGAAAGCGAAGTCCAAAGCAGGAGTGCCCAAAGGTACCCCACCGAAGTTTGGGAAAGAAGACGACGACACGGGAGATGCAATGGAAGTGGACCGCGCCAAGGAGAAGGCGCATCCGAACAAGCATCCGCAGAGAGCTTTGGAAGTGACTCCTTTCAAGTTCTTGTTGCGAGCCTTTTGCAGTGAGTTTTCGTGCGAGTGTGTTTCTGCAGCAGAAGTAGCAGCTGAGACTGAGGTAGTGCCTGCAGTTTGTTCTGAAGAGCTGTGTGCGGGTTGTGTGGTAGGTTCTGAAGTCTGTGTTTCGTCCGCAGCCGTTTCGCTTAAGCAAGCAAGCACCACACACACCGAAGCATGCCGTAGGAGCGGTAGGAGTGCGAGTGCATGTGTGAGTGTAGAGCCTTTGCCGCCAACGCCTCAGAGTACTGTGAGAGCCTGTGGTTCGGAAGCTGCTTCAGTGAAGGTTTGCGCAGGGTTTTCGGAAACTGCCGGTAGGAGTGAGTGCGCAGGGTTTTCGGAAACTGCCTGTAGGAGTGAGTGCGCAGGGTTTTCGGAGACTGCCTGTAGGAGTGAGTGTGCAGGGTTTTCGGAAGCTGCCTGTCGTCCGGAGTGTGCAAGTGCAGGTGCATTAGGGACACGTAAAAGCAAGCAGAAACGTATCTCTTCTGCCGCGGTTCTGTCTCGAGCCTTGCGGTGGGTGATTTTTCTCTATGGAGTCATCTCCGTTACCCAATAGACCCGGTTAGCCCGATTCCTGCCTAATAGACAGATACTTGTCTCAGGCAAATATTTGTCTAATAGACAGATCAACATGTTTACCGGATAAGTCAGATTCGTGCGTAACCTAAAACGACGCAGGTCTACCCGATGCGGCAGATGTTTTGTAGAAATGACCCGAGGCGTTCGGCGCAGCACAGAGGAAGTTTGGAGGAAGTTTCCTCTAAACTTCCTCTGACCACCCCCCGGCCCTGAGGAAGTTTGAAGGGCAGTTTGGTGGAAGTTTGGAGCCTGCACAGAAGCACTTTGGTGGAAGTTTGGGGTCTGGTCATGTATAACAGGAAAAGGTAATTCTTCAGATCTTTCTGTGTTTTGTTTTGGAAAGGAAAGAGTCATTCTTCAGATCTTTCTGTGCCTTGTTCTGAACAGGAAAAGGTAATTCTTCAGATCTTTCTGTGCCTTGTTCTGGACAGGAAAAGGTAATTCTTCAGATCTTTCTGTGTTTTGTTCTCGACAGGGAAAGGTAATTCTTCAGATCTTTCTGTGCATTGTTCTGGACAGGAAAAGGTAATTCTTCAGATCTTTCTGTGTTTTGTTCTCGACAGGGAAAGGTAATTCTTCAGATCTTTCTGTGCCTTGTTCTGGACAGGATAAGGTAATTATTCAAACATTTTTTGTGTTGTTCTCGACAAGAAAGGGTAATTCTTCAAATCTTTCTGTGTATATTGTTTTTTGGAAAGAAAAGGTACTCCTTCAGATCTTTCTGTGCCTTGTTCTGGACAGGACCAGGTATAATTCTTTAGATCTCTCTGTGCTTTGTTCACTTGCAAAAATGTGCTCCGTCAGATCTTTCAGAAGTTTTGGACAAGATAAAATCATATTCGTCAGATCTTTCAGTTGTAGCAGTCAAGTATAAGACTTCACTTCTTTCTGTGTGGTCAAAGCTCGATCTTAAAAAAATTGTGTGTATATATATATATATAAGTATATATACATATATATATATATACAAATACATATGTATACATGGCTTTTGGCTTCACAGAAACATCCGTGTGCCAAACAGAACACGACACCCTTGTGTTTCCCTGAGATGGAACTTTACAAAGAGAGTCCATATCAACTGGCCTGTGAAAAACTCCTTGACAAACAAACAGATACACGGACACTCCCAAAACTGTATACATGAAAGACCCCCACCCCACACAAACCAAAACACACACACACACACACACACACACACTGACTGAACCATCCAAGGCGATTCTCTCTCTCTCTCTCTCTCTCTCTCTATTCCGGTATGTCTTTGTTTATTGGTTTGCCCTCAGAGGTTTCTCTCTTTCACTACTGGTCTGCTCTCAGTGGTCGATAATCTCTCTATTGATCTGCCCTCAGTGGTCGATAAGTTCTCTCTCGACTGGTCTGCCCTCAGTGGTCCAGTCGATGCCTTGACGGTGTGTGCCTGGCACAAGTTTGAAGCATTATTGGGTTCAGGCTTTGGCTTGAGCTTTCAAGGTTTTGAGGGACCCTGTGGGAAGCTTCTGGCTGTCGGGGCTTATTATAAAGGGATTTGTTGATGTGAGTCTTTTGGAGACTACAGTTGAGGAACTTGGTCGCCAAAAGGGCTTCGGCTATGTGCATAAAGGATTTTAAAAGTTTTGCCTGGCACAAGTTTGAAGCATTATTGGGTTCAGGCTTTGGCTTGAAGGTTTTAGGACGTGGGCTTCAAGGTTTTGAGGGACCCTGTGGGAAGCTTCTGGCTGTCGGGGCTTATTATAAAGGGATTTGTTGATGTGAGTCTTTTGGAGACTACAGTTGAGGAACTTGGTCGCCAAAAGGGCTTCGGCTATGTGCATAAAGGATTTTAAAAGTTTTGCCTGGCACAAGTTTGAAGCATTACTGGGTTCAGGCTTTGGCTTGAAGGTTTTAGGACGTGGGCTTCAAGGTTTTGAGGGACCCTGTGGGAAGCTTCTGGCTGTCGGGGCTTACTATAAAGGGATTTGTTGATGTGAGTCTTTTGGAGACTACAGTTGAGGAACTTGGTCGCCAAAAGGGCTTCGGCTATGTGCATAAAGGGTTTTAAAAGTTTAGGGTGCTTGTAGTGCCTTTGTATACTCGGCGCTTTGTTTGCTTGTTAAGGATTGCGGCATTGCGAGTATACTTTAGGGTATGGGAACTTTTCGAATGGTTGGAGCCTTGGTATATTTGGGCTTTGGTTTGAGGGATGAGGGTGTCGTTTTTTGGAATTTAATTGAGAGTAGGGTGGTGGAACCTTGCAGTGCCTGGAATTCTGGACCTCGAGAATGGTTGGAGCCTTGGTATATTTGGGCTTTGGTTTGAGGGATGAAAGTGTCGTTTTTTGGAATTTAACTTAGAGTAGGGTGGTGGGGCCTTGCAGTGCCTGGAATTCTGGACCTCGAAAACTCAAAACCCTACATAGCCGAAATCCGTATATGATTATATAAAGACCCAAAACAATTGTGAAACTATAAAGGCCCTGAACAATTAAACCGTATCTCCCATCGTTTCACGTCTCGCATCGACCAGCCACACACATCACAGCCTATGCCGCTCGAACTGCATGTGTAGAGCGACCCGGTAACGTGTGGCCATCTTTACCGATGCCTGACCAGGACCCTGTCCTCTTGTGCAAGACTCCATAAGGGTTTGGACTCTTCGCTGAAAGTCCTCTCCAGAAAAACACCATGATAGACGGGGGTTCAAGTATTGTGCCTCCATTGCCAGGTGCTGCAAGTAGTGTGATTTCTCCGTGCTTCTGAATAATGGCGGCTCGTTGTCTTCGAAATGTTCACAGAGCTGGGCCTGTAAAAGCAGCATGCCGTTCAAGGAATCTCGAAAGTTCGCTGCCGCATCTGGCGGAAATCTATAAACAAACTTGTGCTGCTCCAAAAGCTCTTCAATCCTCCAGTTGAGCTTCAAGAGGACATGGATCTTCTTGTGCACTGAGATCGTCTCCGACATGTACCGAGCCCACACGGCTAGCAACGGTCGAGCCAGCGACCTGATCTCTGCAGCCTTGCCCCTCAGGACCAACAGGTTCTTAGCAGGTCGCCAGAACATTGATACCCTGTTTAGGTACCTAAATCCCGGCTCAACACCCCAGGCCTTGCACAGCTCCTTTATCTCGGCCCACAAAACTCCAAGATTGGTGTGCTCGTCTGGGCCAGGCATCAAATGGAATACCAAAAGCCAAAGGATGGCAGCATAAAGGGTTTTGTCACTCCCCAAAAACTTGCAGTGCATGAAGTCGTATGCCAGATTGCATATCGAAGTTGCAGCCATTGAAAACAAAGGGCACGTCGACTTTTCACCCGCTGGCAGTGCTCTCCATGAAGCAGGCGAGAACACTGTCGAAGTCCAACCAGCATTGGGCCGGAAGTCCTGCCAGCTCAGTGGCCCCCACTTCGAGCATCTGCAGCGGGAACACGGGTGAATGGCTGTGCTGCGAGGGACATCCATGATCGAAGCAAAGTAGTCCAAGTCGCCAACAACAGCCCACAGGGTGGCAAAGTACCCTCCTGCCAGCGGCTTCCCAGCACGTCTCCCAGAGACAGATGCAGCATCGTACGGCTGGCCCAGATAATCTCTCTCAGGCCAGCAGCCGCTGAACAATGCTTCAAACGACCATTGCAAAATCGTCAGGAAGTGGTGAGCCGTAGCACTTAAATCCTTGCCTTGCTTGCGAAGCTTGTCATAGATCGCACAGACGAAGAACAAGGAATCGGCCGTCGCTGCATGTGTCGTAAGAAGTGAGTACCACGACCAATTCGTAACGGTCTGCACCCATCCTTTGCCAATCCCGCTGACTGGCACTCCGTCGCCATGGAGGCACAAAGGAATGCAATGAGATCTGAAGTTTGTTCTCATCTTCAGCTCTGGGGTCAAGTTGGGATTGCCAGATGCCACCATCTCTTGCCAAAAGGCTTTCACAGCTGCAGTGCTTGGGCAGATGACCTTCTGCCACGTGGCCTTGTAGCTCCTGTAGATGCTTGCAAACAACATGTGGGGCAAAATCATAGCTTGGAGGATTAACCCAAAAGGATTCTTGTGAGGCAACTTGACAGTAAACGGACTCGGTATGTGGACCTCAGGGGCAGCAACTTTGAGCACAGCAGCATACACTTTGTTCGAATATTTCCCATCCGAGCCAGCTGCTGCCAAGGCCTCCAGCTTTCGGAGATCTCGCTTCTCCGAAACGTCTTGCAAAACCAGTTTGGAGATGCACTGAACTTCTTGGGCACTGATCTCTCCCCAAGCCCACTTGTAGAGCAAATGTTCAGCCAGACAGCTGTCCTTCTGCTCTTCCTCAAGAGCCTCTTCAGCCCGAATCTGTTCGAGCCTTTGTCTCTGGCCTCCACTTCGCTTTCGTTTTCTGGAGCCGCCGTCCATTGTGTGAAAAGGAGTTCAACAAGCTATATAAGGTATATAGTATAGTATTGCTCCACTTTGTAGACATATCATCGAAACCGTCTGCATAAAGCCATAGAGGGGTAGAGACAGATATAGATAGACACATAGATAAATAGGTAGATAGACAAAGCAAGACATGTATCGTTGCCCATGTTTGCAAAGCACCTCTGATTAACTCCTTGCGACAATACAAGTGCAGAGTTACAAGAGCTGCTAGAAATAGAGCAGTGGAGCATTTGATGTTTTGTGTTTCTTGTTCTTTAGATGGTGCACATCATGTACATCAAAGGTGCTCGTAAATGAGTGTCGCACGTATATGTTGTTTTTCAGAGGGTCTTCTCTTGACCTTGTCCCTTGAGGACCGAAGCAGCTGTATTCGCACACGAGTTTCTTGTTTATGTTATATGCGATGGCCCCACACTCACAGATGTCATCTATAATGACTTTATACACATCACACCACAAGCCGGAAATACTTGAACCTATATATATGAACACAAGACCAACAGCTCCTGAACAAGCTTGCGAATTCACTCTATAACAGCTCCAGTGCGACTCGCTGCAACCGTTTGCACATTTTGTGCATTATTGCACCTGTGAGAGCCTAACACAAAACACATCCAACCTTCGGAGAGCTTCGCCGTTGAGAGTTGACAGCACCTGTGAGGGCACAACACGACACATGCGACCTTTGGAGAGCCTGACCTTGGAGAAAAAACCCAACCTTTGACACCACATGTCGACCTGTGTGAGAGTTAAGAAACGACAAACCCCGACCTTTAGAGAGAGAGCCTGACACATAGACCTACATATCCGACCTTATATGAGAGCTTTAACACAACACATGCGACCTTTGGAGAGCCTCACCTTTGAGAGAAATCCTAGGCTTTCAGACCTTGAGAGCACCTGTGAGAGCCCAACACAAAACACATCCAACCTTCGGAGAGCCTCACCTTTGAGAGAAACCCCAGCCTTTCACACCTTGAGAGCACCTGTGTGAGGGCACAACACAGCACATGCGACCTTTGGAGAGCCTCACCTTGGAGAGAAACCCCAACCTTTACCTGTGTGAGAGCCCACAAGAAACGACAACCCCCGACCTTTGGAGAGAAAGTCTCACCTTGAAGCACACATATACCTATATATCCGACCTTATGAGAGCTTGAAGTATAGAGCCTTTTGAGAGCGTTTAAGAAACAGGAGCCGGCCTGTGATCATCACATCTTCTTTCGCTTTCCTCGCGGGGAATGAGACACTATATACAATGCCAACTGTGTGTTTCCTGTTCGGCTTTGGGGGCTCGTGCTAAAGTCAGGTTTGTAGCTATATAGTTCAAGGTTCGTGGTGAAGCACCTAACCCAAACCCTACAGTAACAAGGCTCTATACATACACCCCGATCAGCATTTAATTGCCTATACTCTGGTTTAGGGTGTATGGCTTGGGGCACAACAATGTTCATGGTGATGTATTCTTTCTGTAGCTGGGGCTTCCGCCAAATTGTGCATAAGCTTTCCCAGACTGGTGTCACATATAATCGAGATTTTATGGGACACCGGCCTCTGACCCGACAGTCGCGATGATCTTTTTGTCATGGGACTTTTGCAGCCTCCGAGCAAACGGGGTCCAAGGAATGCGGAGGGTATGCAGGAGTCAAGACCAAACTGCAGCATAAGAGATAGCACTACAGCAAATACTATACAAAAGGGAGGCGATTTCGCCTAATGCCAATCACACCTTTGCACCACCACAGGGTTCGGACTATACTACACCAGAGTAGGATAGATACCTAGTACACCATATAGTATGCTATACGAATGCGAGTCTAGGGGCTACGGCTATACAGCTATATACAAAAGCCTACGGTTTTGTACGGCTTCGGCTATACACGAGTACAAACATACATAGGGCTACAAACGTTTTTTGGCGATACGGCTACAGCTGCAGACGACCGTGTGTGGCTACATGTCTAGCCAAACTGTAGAAACCTACACATGGCTACGATTCGGTCTGAAGCTATGCGACTTTTTGGTGCTCCGGCTACGGCTACAGACGATTGTGTGTGGCTATGGACAGAAGTATACAAACATACACAGGGCTACGATTCGGGCTGAAGCTATGCGACTTTTGGGGGCTAGGACTACGGCTACAGACGATTGTGTGTGGCTAGACAGGAGTATAGAAACATACACAGGGCTACGATTCGGGCTGAAGGTGTGCGACTTTTGGGGGCTACGGCTATACGGCTAGACTGATATACAACCCCAGAAGAATACTTCCGAACACATAAAAGTGAAAGGCCCCCAAACCCAATAAACCCGAGAATAAATCGGAAAGCTAAAGTAGTCTGAAAAGACACCCAACCTTGCCCCACAAGCCAACAATCTCGAATAACAAGCCTGAGACCCACTCGTTTAAGGTTCCACTCGCACTCGAAGGTTCGCTTCTGTGAGTCGCTGCTCCGGCGGTTTGCACTGTGAGCACACGGAGAGCTCGATGATGTCCCAGCACACGGGGTCCAGGGATTATAACTATATGCAGCACTGCAGGGGATGAAACATGTAAGACTCTGTGTGTGTATGATGATTTCTCTGGGCACTTTGACAGCACCTCGTGGTTTGTACCATCCTCTCTCTTTCGGGTGAAAGAACGATTGTCAGCGAAGCACCTGTGCAGCCGGAAGTCTAATCATAGTCTTGAAGGACTTCTATAGACACAGCCAAATTTATTGGGTGCATGTTGTGAGTTGTGGGGCAAACGAGAGATCTAAGGGCTTGCACACAAAATCGGCTTCAGACACATGGCCGGTCGAAGGAAAACATGAATGCCGGCAGCTCCTTCATCTCACTTCAAAAACTTGATCTCTGCACGAGCCTTTTGGATGCAAATGTTCAAGGCATCCGTCTTCGTGGCGACCATCTTCATCCAATCAATGAAGGCGTCCTTGCTGATGTCCGTGCCATCCGAGAACTTGTTCAAGTCGCGAATGTGTGCGATCTCTGCGGCGAAGTTGATGGTGGGGCCGTACTTGCCTTTGAGCTCAGCGAGTGTGTCCCCGCTTCCCTTCCACCCTGCCATGAGCTGCTTCGCCTCCCGACTCGTCTTCTCGAGGGTGGCTGCGGCTTGCTTGAGGAGGGTCTCCACACTGCCCGATAGCTGGCCTTGGTCATCAACGATCGCCTCCTTCTTGGTGAACTCGAAGCTCCACTTGAGGTTCTTGAACACCGATCGCAACAATTGGTGCTCCTCGGCAGTCAGCTTCTTGGAGGCCTTTGTCGACTGTGATTCTTCCTTCCCGTCTTCGGTTCCGATGACAAAGCGCCTGAAGCCGTAGAAGATGACTCCGTTCTCACGACGTGCTTCCACGATCTCGCCCTTGTCGATGGCTCTCTGCATGTGCTGCTCGGAATTGTGAAAATACAATCCGCACATTACAGAGGCGGGAATAGCCTCGGCCTCGTCCCGGGCATACTTCTTGCGGTAGGCCTGGGATGCAGAGTGGCAAGCCCAAAACCTTTATTCAAACATGGGAAACGTGTGCAACCCTATACCTCCCCTTCGAAAAAATCCTTTCCTTGCCACTTGCCTCTAGACAGAATCGATCGCACACCTTTATAATTATAATGTGCTGTTAGCTGGGGCTTGGGTCGATGTTGGTTTGGGCGGATCTCGGTCCGATGGGTCAATGTGTTGCACACAGGGGGTATAGAGAGAGAGAGAGTACTCTAATTAGCCAATGGATTGAAATCCCTCTATGCATCTGTCTATCGAAAGTAGCTTGTGGCATCGGTACTTGTAGATGCCTGGGTGGTGCATATAGCAAAACTCGTGCAAATCTACATATATACACATATACATATACTTACATATTTACATAAGACATGATTACATATAAACATAGACACGTATGTATGCATGTCCGTGTAGACACACTTGTCGTTGTTGTGGTGGTTGTGGTTGTGGTTGTGGTTGTGGTTGTGGTTGTTGTTGTTGCAGTTGTGATTGTAGTTGTGGTGTTGTGGTGTCGTTCTGTTGTGGTGTTGTGGTGTTGCTCTGTTGTGGTGTTCTGGGGTTGTAGTGGTGTGGTTGTGTTGTTGTGGTGTTGTGGTTTTGGTGTTGTGGTGTTATGGTGATGTATTGCTGTGGTTGTGGTGTTATGGTATTGTGGTTGTGCTGTTGTGGTATTGTGGTTGTGGTGTTCTGGTTGCTGTTGTTTGCTGTTGTTGTCCTTGGTGGTGGTGGTGGTGGTGGTGGTGGTGGTGGTGGTGGTGGTGGTGGTGGTGCTGCTGGTGGTGGTGGTGGCGGTGGTGGTGGTGGTGGTGGTGGTGGTGGTGGTGGTGGTGGTGGTGGTGGTGGTGTGTTTGTCCTCAATAAGCCAAGCCACTTTCTCCGCATGGATGAAGACGGGTTGGTCGAGGGCCAACTCCAACGAGCCGTCCGGGAGTCTCTTGAACAGCTTGTTGATCAAAAGCGTCTTCTGGCTTCGGGGCGCCGAGGACGACTTCGACTGCTCCTCGATTAAGTCGATCACGAAAGCGGGTAGGCTGTTGGAATTTTTCATCTTCGTGAACTTCACAGCCTTACCTTTGTCCCGAGCAGCAATCGACTGCTCGGGCTCTTCCTCCGGCTCCTCCTGCATCGCATTCATACGGCGAAGGAGGCTGGCACTGGCCACTGGCTTCTTCATGGCGGACTTCATCACAGCCTTGGGTGCCACCTTCATCACCGATGCTTTGCCTGCTTTGCCCTTGGGAACCGCCGGCGATGCCTTGCCCTTTCCCATTGCAAAGCAACACGAGGAAGGACCGAGAACACTAGAATGACTCGAACAAAGATCTGTGTGCACAGGAAGCATAGTGGAAGTTTGGTCGAAGTTTCCACTAAACTTCCACACCCTATTCTCATACACTGTGGAAGTTTGGTCGAAGTTTCCACTAAACTTCCACACCCTCTTCTCATACACTGTGGAAGTTTTGGTTGAAGTTTGATGTGCTTATTTTGCGATACATTCCTTGGAAACAGCAAAACTTCCACTGAACTTCTACCAAACTTCCACCAAAATTCTATTAAACTTCGACCAAAGTTCCACTAAACTTCCATCAAACTTCGATGGAAGTTTGGTTGAAACTTCCACCAAACTTCCACACCTCTAGTACACGATTGCACAAAACATGATGGACCACACCCCGTCGCCTAACATGTCCAAACCGTCACCACCGAAACCTTTACTGCAAACACAGACAAGCACACCACTCGCTTCATGTCTACTTTCACACGGATTGATAGCCCTGCCACAACATTGAACTGGCTGCTTGTGGAGCTTCTGGGTTTAGCTTGGGGCTTCTTGGTTTGGCTTGGGGCTGGCTTATGTAGGCGATTGCGAGCCTTCTGGGTTTACCTTGGGGCTGCTTTCTTCTATTTTCCGCGATTATGGAGCTTCTGGGTTTAGGTTGGGGCTGCTGTCTTACATTTTCGGCGATTGTCTGGCTTCTGTGGTTTTGCTTAAGGCTGGCTTATGTGAGCGACTGTGGAGCTTCTGGGTTTACTTTGGGGCTGCTTTCTTATATTTTCGGCGATTTTGCTTAAGGCTAACTTATGTGAGCGACTGTGGAGCTTCTGGGTTTAGTTTCGGGCTGCTTTCTTATATTTTCGGCGATTGTGGTGCTTCTGGGTTTTGCTTCAGGCTGGCTTACATGTGTGAGCGATTGTGGAGCTTCTGGGTTAAGCTTGGGGCTGCTTCCTTATACATTTTCGGCGATTGTCTGGCTTCTGTGGTTTTTGCTTATATAAGGCTGGCTTATGTGAGCGATTGCGGAGCTTCTGGGTTTAGCTTGGGGCTGCTTTCTCATATTTTCGGCGGTTGTGGGGCTTCTGGGTTTTGCTTCAGGCTGGCTTATGTAAGCGATTGTGAGCTTCTGGGTTTTGGATTGTATAGGGTGGTTTAGGGTTTACAGCCCTAGATTTACCCGGAACACCCAACACGTGCACACTAAACCTTTTTAAACCCCAAACCCGGACTAAAACCCTGGACCCTAGAACCACAAGCCCTAAAGCCTCAATCATATAACCACACCCTTACACTAAACCCGAAGCCCTCTGAACCCCAAATCCGCAACCCTCAAACCCATCCTGAGCCCAAAAACAAACCCTAAACCCTCCCTCTACTAAACCCTTAAAGCCCTGGCCCTCGGAGCTTCCTTTATGCATCGCGATCGGGATGACCTCGCACTCTGCCACACATTCGCACTCTGCCACACATATACATATATGTAGGGCTCCACCGCCACAGAAAAAAGTCAGCCCATCGCTTTTCACCCGCACATATGCATCGGCCCGGCATCTTTGTTGCAGCCGCAGCCAGGCAACAGGCCAGACCAGCCATCATGTATATGTGAGCCGCAGCCAGACCAATATAAGCCAGGGCAGCATCGACATCAACACCCCACATCAGTCCTGTTGCAGGGAAGCTTTTGGAAACAGCAGAACCGCACAGGTATGTGGTTGGCTTCAAAAATTGGACTACATACGTACCTACACACATACCACCTACATATATACATACATAACATAAACAAGCAGTCTAATGTAATATGAGATGATGTAATTCTGCCTCGTAAAGAAAGTGAGTCTATGATAATGATATACATATATACATATATATACATACATACATATATTATTATATAATATTTCAAACGTAAACACTGTAACCCTGTCGGTCCTCTTTCTTCTGACTCTCACTGGATGACGAAGATCGCCTTCTAGATGATCTTGTCGAGGATCGCCGTCTTCTCGAGGATCGTCGCGATCGTGTCCTGGACCGTCGTGACGTCGAGGATCGCCGTGATGCCGAGGATCGTCGCGATCGTGTCCTGGACCGTCGCCTGGTCTCTGAGCTCGCCCCACTTCCAGTCGGTGCCTTGCTCGTAGGCGACAACACTTCGGCCTCGTCCTGTGGGAATCTAAAACAGCTCGTGTACCAGCGATGGAGCTCTAGGATCCCTGACTCTAGACCCCGCTTCTCGGATTGGCTTCGAGCTCTCTCATCATGTGGTCTAATCAAGGTTTGCTTAGTAAAGCAGACACCAACAGGGTTCGGGAGCATATTTCAGTGTAGCTTTGTAGTAACTATATATAGAAGGGGGTACCAATACAAGAAAAGAAATCCTTCTATATAGGAACTACGTGTATTTGGGCTTGGGGTGAACAGTTTGCGAATTGCTATTCGGATCCTTCGGCAGCTCCGGATTCTCAGGCGGCTCCTCTGTCTTTGGCTCGCCAGTCGCATCCTCGGGCTTGACATCACCCTTTATAAACTCGAAACAGAACCTTCCACCTACATAAAAGCTTAAAATGTCCTGGGGCTCCACATCGCCCGAGCCAGCAGCAGACGGGTGCTCCATCTTGGTGTCCTTCGCTTCGGTGTGGGTCTATGTAGGGTTCAGAAGCTCAAACTCCCAACTCCAAAACCCTGATAAACCTCTATAAACCCGAAAGCCCTCAACCTAAACCCCGGAAACCAGAAAGATCTGCAAGCTTAAACCGTCCTGGTCAGTGGCATCACCACTACCCAAGCCGGCGGTCTCCAGCTTCGCATCCTTCATTTCGGCTTGGAACTCCAAACTCTAAAACCCTTAAACCTCAGCAGGCCTCCACCTAAATCCCGAACCCTAAACATTATTAAACTCTAAACACATTAAAATCTAAAGCGGTCTCTGCCTCTTCCGGCAACGGATACTCGTCCGTCTCAGCCGCCTCGACCATCGCAGGCATTTCGCACATCCTCGGAACCGCCACCTCAGCCATCAAGGGCCTTGGAGACAGCTCCAGCATATATAGCCCATTCATCCGCCGAGCCAGCTGTACCGCCACATCTGCAGTCTGCACCGTGATAAAAGCCGATATGAAACGGTACTCTCCGTAGCGGCCTTTCCGGTTCATCTTCACAGCCACAGGTGTGCCAAACCCAAGTGCCGTGACAGCTGCATCAATATGCCTTTTCGTCACCCTGAAGTCCAGGTTGGCGACGAAAACCCGGCGAGCCATGTTTCACACGAAACGGCAACCTGCCCTATAGCGAATCTAGCAAATGTGTACAAGTGCATATTGTGTTTTCGGGTAGCCTCGAACTTCAAAACGAATGCAAGACCCTAGCTATATGTGCAGGCGGAGAGAAAGATGGCTTGTGCCTACATCACCACCGGTGCCCCAAACCGAATATTGTCAAGGGCTTTGGGATAGTCTATCGACTGACCCGTGAATGCACATCTTTTCCTGTGAAGCCAGAGAACGGAACAGCTTGCATAAGGACAGCACACAGGGAGAGTAAGGCAAGGCATCACCGTTTAGAGCAGCAGCAGCAGCAGCACAGCAGCAGTACTGTGGTGCAGTATGGGAGTATGTCAGGGCAGCTTATGAACAAGTATAATTTGTTGATTGTAGGATATGGTTGGGGCTTCGAGCTAGGATTTAGGTTTGCATGTTCAAGGTTGGGGTGTGAAGACTGTCCTTGGCAACTTTAACATACTTTGCACATAGACCTTATATACATCGAAACGACAAGTTACCGGGAAGCCTAGACATCTCGCCAAACAGTTCAAGTACTTCGGATCTTTAATATACATGGGTCAATCACTGATTATTTGAGCTGTGGCAAGCACAAAGGGCCCCAGGGGTTCAAGCTTTGGGTCTGTGGTTGGGGTGTGATAACGGTGCGAAAATGACATTTTAGGTTTGCTTCGGGCTCGGATTGGGGTCAAGCTTCGGGTGTGCTGTATTTATGTGTGTGTGTATACACATCCTCCGAATCCTTATTCTGACTGAACCGGAATGTAAGCCCCTTGCAAAACCCCTGGACAGGACTACGGTCACGGTTTATAACTTCGATATAAGGTTACCAAAAAGGGTAAAGGGCAGGCACGGGGCGAAACTCCGACACAGCCCAAACCCGGAAACAACGAGCCACTATATGTCAACACATTGAAACTCGACCGCCGTAAAACCCGTACCCTACCTTGTATATTAACAACCGACCCAGGTTTGTAACACCTCACAATTAAAACCCCAACTTGCCTGCCATGGCACACACACACACCACCACACTGCGACTGCATTGTGATTGCTTCGAAACCCGAGACATCAAGCCTGGCTCTAACTTTTATAACCAAAACACACACACACACATCAAGCCCGAAAGCCTCAAGGACAATGCAGCTGAGCCCCACGAAACGAACAACAAATCCTTGATGTACGAATGGAGCCCCCAACCCTTTTGCAAAACCTGAATGTTTCAGCCCGGCAGCACTTGTGCATTTTCAATCAGATCCGGTTCCCAGACGATTGCAAGTAACTATTGCCGAATGTGAAGTGATTCCCTGATTCGGCTACATTTCGCGACTGAGTAAAACCCAACTTCACAAACGACCTTGTGTGGCTGGTACATCGAGCTCCATGAATGGTCTTTGGCATCCAGAAAGTCTTAGACCTCACAACACGGTCAAAGAATGCAACTTGTCCCTCCTTCCAGCCCTCCCTGTACCTTCCTCCCATATACTTCCCTGCCTTCCCTTTGGGTGTACTCTCAGGGTCATCCTCTCAAAGGTGGTTTCGCACTCAAGGTCGACTTCCCTCTGGGTGCACTCTCAGGGTCATCCTCTCAAAGGTGGTGTCGCACTCAAGGTCAACAATCTCATACTCTCAGAAGGTCGAGCTCACTCCAAAGGTCCAGACTGACTGTGTTAGGGTTCAGGGGTTTTAGAAGCTTTTTGGGGCTTTTGGGTTCAGGGCCCATGGTTATATTAACGGTTATATAGTATTTCAGTATATAGAAGTATATACGGGGCTCAGAGTCCAGTGTCGAAGGCTTTTGGATCTGGGTTGTTTTGGTGCCTTATGAATATACAGGAATCACAATGGACTTCGGGTTTCAAACATATGCAGTAGAGTGCTGTCTCGCTTCGAAAGGATATGCTGCATAGGCTTCGGCGGTTTTTGGGCTCGGGGTGCTCATATATATATATATACATATGTATACATATATATATATGTATATATACATGTATATATATATATATATATACATGTATATATACATATATATATATATATATATATATATATGCTTAAGGCTTACATAAGATGGTGTTGTGGGGGCTAAGCGCTGATGGACGATGATTGAAGCTGGACACATCAGACCCTTCATTCAAACCAAAACCTCGACGATATTCCAGCATGATGCTCACAGATGCGACTGTTGCACATCTTACACATAGACAGATGCATCGCATGCACACATGTTTCAGGGCCCCGAGAGCTCGCATTGAGAAGCTTCATACATGCATAGCAAAGATCTAGACCCAAACCCAAACACACATACACACACTTATGATATTATAAGAACATAGAATACACCATGCCGAATCCTCCAAACAACCCTTTCGTGCACCTGTGTAAACTCCCAACACTGAAACCCCAAAACCACATAGCAATCTCACACAGTCGGTGGTTTAATTTACTGCATATGATTGTGGATTACGGTTCCAACCTAAGAACAAAGAATGTCACAAAGTGTATATGTGTTTATGGCCCCTTCATAACAAGCTCGCAAAATTGTGCACGTGTGCAACCGTCCATGTGTTGTCGCGAACTGCCACTTGTAAGGCTGCTTCACTTCTTTCCGATCTTCTTCTTCGGAATCTTCTTCTTCTTAGGCGGAATCTTGCCCTCGGCCGCAATCGTGTCATCGGAATCCTTAATCGTGCTATCGGGGTTCGCAGTCGGGCCATCAGCAATCGGAATCGTGCCATCGGCAACTGGATTCGTGCTATCGGCATCCGGATTCGTGCCCTCGGCAACTGGATTTGTGCCATCGGCATCCGGAATCGTGCCCTCGGCAACTGGATTCGTGCTATCGGCATCCGGAATCGTGCCATCGCCGTTCGGAACCGTGCTATCGGACTTCGGAATCGTGCCCTCGGACTTCGGATTCGTGCCCTCGGAGATCTTCGGAATCGTGCTCTCGCCATGCTTCGGCTTCTTCTTGCTCTTAGCCGGGCCGTCAGCCTTCTTCCCCTCGCCAGATGATAGTATATACATACACACATATGTGTATATATATATATACATACATACATACATTAATGTATCTGTGTACATGTGTGTGCAAACCTCCCACAGTGGCTCTCTCTCTCTCTCTCTCTCTCTCTCTCTCTCTCTCTCTCTCTCTCTCTCTCTCTCTCTCTCTCTCTCTCTTTCTGTCTCGGTTTTCTCTCGGACCGGATCCCACACGTGAGCCAAAGCCCCAACTTTAACCACATGCAATCCCAAACTGAACCTCAGGCCCCCAAATCCTATAACCCCTCGAACCTGAGCAAACCGTCAATCCGAAGCCTTATTCAGTGACCTCAACCTTCAAACACCGTTACAACCCCAACACCGAAAGCTTCAACCCCAACCCAATGTGAGCGACACAGTCCGATGCACAAAAAACTGAGCGACCTATAGCCCGTTGCGAAAAACAATTATCAACATATAGCCCGATGCCAAAAAGCACTGAACGACATATAGCCCGATGCCCAAATCTGAAACCACCCAGGATACACCCGAGACACTTGTAGATATCACAGGAGATATAATTTGTACATAAGTCAAGCGAAAACGTGCAAAACCAAACCGAAAGGACGAACACGAAGCACACAACGTCCTATACACTGAGAAATACACTGTCATATAAGCCTTCGAACACCTGCAAAGCCCCAATTGCTGAAAATCGACAAAAGCGCCAAAAACCACACTAACCCTATACATAAAGCCTGCCTGGGACACTCCTGGCACTTTGAGCTTTGGATGTTGTAGGTGTTTGTTTTGTTCGGTGATTCCTACACATTGAGATGCTGTATGTAGTGGCTGTTTTGGTTTCTCTGGGGTTGGGTGGGTTATTGGTTTTTTAGGCTTGGTGTGCAAATGGCTTTACAGGATTAGATTATGCATTACATATATATATAGGGTTTGGGGTCTTAAACTTTTAAGGTTTTTTCCACTATAACGACACACAAGACAAACTTGGTCGCCTGAATCCTTGTCTTAGGAATCGTGCCATCGGAATCCGGGTGAACCGTGCCATCGGGCGAGCCATCGGGCGACTTCTTTTGCGGAATCTTGTCAGCCTGCGACTTCTTGGCCTTGCTCTCTCTGGGGTGCTCCTGATCAAACTTCTGTCCCGCCTTACCGGCCGCCTTCCGGGCCCTTTTCTTGGCATCCTCTTTGCTCTTGCCCATAGCAAGGGCATGGTCTGCGGTGCGATGGTAAGCTCGCGAAACAACCCTCTTGCGAAGGGTCGTGCGATCCAACTCCTCATCCGGAACATAAGCCCTCTTTCGCGACTTGGCCCCAGCATCAACAGCGGGAGGCTCCACTGCAGCCGCCGCTGCCTTTTTCCCCGCCACGGTGCTGCCACCCTTCTTGCCCGACTTGGCCCCAGCATCAACAGCGGGAGGCTCCACTGCAGCCGCCGCTGCCTTTTTCCCCGCCACGGTGCTGCCACCCTTCTTGCCATTCTTGGCCTTCGGCTTCGGCTTCGAGGGGGGCTGCTGCTTCTTGCAGCCATCCAAGATCTCTAAGTCGCCCGCAGACAGCTCACTGTCCAGGCCTGCATCTTTCAGCAACCCCGGAAGGAAACCTTTCTCAGGAGAAGGGGTAGCGGCGATGCGAGCTGCTGGAGCAGCGACAGACCCGAACGACTTCTGGGACTCATTCGAATCCTTCTGGTTTAGGATTCTTTCGAAGATCTTAGCTGGATCCACACTGTCACTGGCGGAGCCCAAAGAGCCCAAGGAGCAGAAAGACGAAGTCGAAGCTCTCCTTTCAGGCAAGGACCGGTCCTCCGTCGCATTCGCTGGGACCAAAGCATGGGAGCTCCCACTTGCTCCCACTTCCGCATGCCCCTCTTCGGGACCATCACCCTCGCTGGGGGAGAGCAGATCCAAGAGGCCCTGAATCGTCTCTTGCTGCATGCGATCCATCCGGCGGAAAGCCCGAGCTTTCGCCTCCGAAACCATAAGGCCTCTCAAGTGAGAAAGAGCACACCTGATCGAGTCATCGATCAAGTCGACGAAGTCCGCTAAGACCTTTCTACCTGTGTTCAATGATCTCGCAGCGGTAACCGATTCAATGGCCTGTTTGTGCTTCTTCGTCGGTATGACGCCGTTTCTCGCCACACCCAGGTACAATTTTAGCAGAGGCGACAATCTCACCAGCCACGGCGGTGAGCAAGCCGACTTCCAATTGATGCCACTGGGGCGGAGGACGAAATCCATCATGTCGATCTTACCCTGCTTCACGACCTCGTCGAGGAAGGTTGTCAACACTTTCTCGAGATCGGACACGCCCACCGACGGGTCGGCCACGAGCCTTGCCTTGAACGCTTTGGACTGCGACATCGGGCTCGGACAGATCTTTCAAACTGTGGCAGCCGAAACACACTGGACAAACCTGTACACATCGTTTGAAACTGCTTTTGTGTGTGCATGCACACACACACAAAGTCGCTAATCCGGCGGGCCTGGCTTCGCATTCTTCATATCTTTCACATCTGCGAAAGATCTTGCCGGTGTGTGTCGAGTCTGAGCCACAAAAGTCTGTCTGCTTTCTGTTCCATGCCCTCAAATGGTCACAACTCCGGTTGCTTTCGCTCTCTCAGATGGTCAAATCCCTCTTTCTGCGGTTGCCTAGACACTCTCAAAAGGTCATTGCTCCATGCTCTCAAAAGGTAAATTCCCTCGGTGGTTTCTCTTTCCCTCAAACGGTCAACTCCCTCGGTGTGGTTTCTCTTATATATACACTCAAAAGGTCAATTCCTCGGTGGTTTCTCTTTCTCTCACAAAGGGTCAAATCCCTCGGTGTGGTTTCTCTTATATATACACTCACAGCGGGTAAAATCCCTCGGTATGGTTTCTCTCATACACTCAGCAGGTCAACTCCCTCGGTGGTTTCTCTTTAAACTCTCGAAAGGTCAATTTCCTCGTTGGTTTCTCTTTCTCTCAAAAAGGGTCCTGCTCGGTGTGGTTTCTCTTATACACTCAAAAGGTCCATTCCTTCGGTGGTTTCCCCTTCTCCTCCCTTGGTGTGGTTTCTTTCCACACACACACACACACACACACTTGTACATATATACACAGAAACATCACACCACATCCACACTACATCGCAAAACCAACGAAACACACATGCATGGGTTTTTGGCTGTGTCCAAAACAAAGTATGGAGAGGAAGTTTGATGGAAGTTTTGGGGGCTGGGGTGTGGAAGTTTGGGCGGCTGTTTGGTGGAAGTTTGATGGTTCGTCGGGTTGCCGAAATCGTCAGAATCTGACCATTCCGGCAAACCACGATCTGTCGAAATCGACGGTATATAGGCTCACCCGATTGCACAGACAGATTTGCCGGATCCGGCCAACCAACAACCTAAGGAATTTGTCTAAACGAGTTAACTAAATCATAGGAATAGATCTATTTCTATAGAACAGAGATGTGTAAGGAATTTGTCTAACCGGGTCTATTGGGTACGACGGGGACTGTGTGTCAAGAAGAGGGCCCTTTTGCTCCAGATGCCGCCGGAAGGGGTCGCTCAGGAGAAGGAGCCGGCCCAGATGATGGTTATGTCCGAGAGATGGCAAGATCTCAGAGCGATGCAGACAGCGGCATCCAGCAGGCGACAGTCTTTGGTGCAGAAGCTGCAGCTGAGTCGCAGCGTGGAGCAGAGGCGAGAGGCCGAAGAACTAGTGGCAATGAACCGATGCGATTCGAAGGAATTGCTCCACCGGGGATTTCACTCCCTAACTTCTCCGGCCTTGCCTTCTGGAGAACCTCCCGCTCCCACTCAGGAGGGCAACGAGGCCGACGATTGGGGGAAATGGAAGGCGGTGCCAGGCCCTCCTGCGAGCCCGCCTCCACCGGGGACGCCTGTGGTGCCGCCTGGACCCCCGACGCCGCCCGAGACACCACCGGAGACTCCTCGGGAGAAGAAGAAGAAGGACAAGAAGAAGGAGAAGAAGAAAGGCTCCAAGGAGCGCCGTGCACGAGAAAAGGACCAGGTCGCCGAGGACAAGAAGGACCACAACGAGGGCGAGAGAGACAAGGCCGCCGAAGGAGTGGCTTTGCTGAGGGAGCAAGAGCTCAAGATGGTTGCCGCCAGCAAGAACTTGGCGGAGAAGGAGCGAGCGTCGGCAGCGGCGAAGGCAGCCGCCAATGTGGCTGTCGAGAAGTGGACGCCCCAACAGAGGGCACGCAAGGAGGCAGAGCTCCAAGCAGCCCTGCTTGCTCAGGAGCAAGCCGCTGCTACAGTTCGTTTGCTTACGTTGGAGTTACAACTTGGGGATGCCCTTGGTGCCCCCGAGAGTTCAGCGGCCCCCGAGGGAGCCGTAGAGTCTGGGACTCCTCCGGAGTTACCAGCCAGCAGGCGGATCAGCCTGTCGTCTTCGAGTGTGGAAGCTATCACTCCTCCAGGAACGCCTCCGACAACGCCGGTGTCGCCCGGATCTGTGGTTCCAAAGACACCACAACGATCACCTTTGGTGAAAGCGATGCCCAAGGTTCCGGAGAGCCCTGCTTCTCAAGCTGCTGTGAGCCTTGTTGCTCCAGCTGCTGCGGGGCCTGTTGCTCAAGCTGCTGCGAGGCCTGCGGTTCGAGTTGCTTTGAGACCGGCGGTCCGAGCTGTTCAAGTGAAGGCGATGCCCAAGGTGGGGCAAGTGCCGGATGTTGGGCACATGGGACCTCCAGCGCCGCCGATGGTTGGGCCAATGGGCCCTGTACCACAAGCACCGCAGGTTGTTGGGAAGATGCACATGTTCCCGCCGGCGCCGCCCTTCTTGGGGTACATGGGACCAGTGCCTCCAGCACCACCGCCAGGATACCGAGGCATTTTCAATCCGTGGTCCACCGGGCCGTTGCGCCAGGTGTTTGGAGCTGTGGGCCAGCATGTGACGCCCATCACTCCGAGTGTGTCGGTTGTGCCTCAAACTCCACCGCCCCGCCCTACAGTGAGACCTTCAGCCAGGCCGTCAAAAGCACCACGGCCAACAGCAAGGGCAACTCTAGCCCCTACGCCAAAGAAGAGAGATCGATCACCTTCGATCTGAGGCGGTGTGTTTCTTCTGAGGTTTTGGCCTCAACCTTAGGTTCGAGGCCCGTCGTCCTCAAAGTGAGCTCTTCGGTGTCTTCCCCGAAAAAGGTGCAAGAGTGCGGTGCCAAAGTGGTAGGCAGTCTAGAGTGCAGTGCCGAAGCTGTAGAACGTCTAGAGTGCAGTGCCGAAGCTGTAGAACGTCTAGAGTGCAGTGCCGAAGCGGTAGGTTGTCGTGAGTGCAGTGCTTTAGGAGAAGGTAACCTCGAGTGTGGTGCGGTAGGTGCGTGTTGCTTGAGTGTTCCCGAAGCTACGCCCTACCCGAATGGATCCACAAAGTGTCTCGCTCTGCCCAGGTGTTCCTTAGAAAGATCGTGTGCCGCAGCCTTGTTCAGGGTTATTTCAAAGGTTGCGGGGTTTCGCTTTTGCGTGCTGCTGGCAGTCTGTGCTGTAGCTGTGGTAGTGCGTCGAAGCGGGGGTCGTAGGAAGCTGCGGTTCGGAAGCCGTAGGAGACACAAGTGGGTGCGAGTAACCTTGAAAGGTCGGAATCCCCGTCGGTGTTTCCCTTGGAGAGTCCAACGGCCGATGATGAGAAGGTTGTTGTGCTTGGTCCGCAAAGTGCGTAAGAAAGTTGCTGCCTTGCGTGGGCAGCACAATGAAGAAGCACCGCGGATTCCTGAGGCCCCACATGTTGTGCTTGAGGATGTTGTGTCCGAGCGTGTTGTGCATAGGGCGCGTATGCTTGCAGGCCTGCCGGTTGAGATCACTGTTGATTCTGAAGAAGAGTTGTTGCCAGACCCCGACCCGAAGCCTCAACCTCCCGGCCCTCCTGACCCCGAACCTCGTCCCGAGCCGTCTGGTTCAGGTTTGTCTCCTCCTGAAGACCTTGAGGTTCCAGTATACATTACTTCAGAGCGTTTGCGAGCGCACCGGAACAAAGGGCATCAGCCCTATCTGAGTTTCTGTGATGTGTGCCAGTCGGCACGTGGTCGTGTGCCAGCACGACGCAAGAACATGAAGAGCCACTATGCGCCGGGAGAGCTTCAAGTAGATTTTGGCTTCTTCGGTCGAAATGTTCGGTTTCTGTTGATCGTTCACGTCCTGTCGGGATACTTGAGTACTGTTGTTTTGGGTCCTGAGGACCCGGTGCCTGTACCAGCCGTTTGCAAGGCTCTTTCTGAGATGGGCCTCAACGGGCTGGACATTGTGGTCCACGGTGACCAAGAAAACCTCCTGGAGAGTGTGTTCCGGGATTCTGCGAAGCATAGGACGTTTGTAGGACGGTCCATGCATTGGGTTCCGTTTGCAGTGAACAGGCCCCAGGCAAAAGGCATTGTTGAGCGTAACGTTTGCCTCGTGAAAGAAGCGTTTTGGTCTGTTTGGCTAGGACTGGAAGAGCGTGTAGGAGGGCAGCTGCCGTTAGGGAGCTACTTGTTTATTGAAGCCATGCGGTATGCTGTTAGGATGCATAACTTGTTTCATGTGTCCAAGGAGCAAAGCACGCCTCTGGAACGCCTCAGGGGCTCTACAGTCCAAGCTGTGAAGAGTTGTGAGTTTGGGGTGGTAGGCTTTGGAAAGCCACAAAAGGACTATCCGGAGCATCGAGGAAAGCGCCTAGTGAGGGCGATTTACGTTGGGCCCCATGGCGCCAACGGCTCTGGGATACGTGTCTTTGTTCCCTTAGGAGATGGGAAGCCGCCTCGTTTGGAGATTTTCAGCTCGTTTCGTGCCCGGGACCCGGTAGAGTTTGACAAAGCAGTGCTAGACCAACTGAAAGGAAACCGGGAGGACCCCGAGCGACCCATCAAGTTTGATGTGCCTCTGGATGCACCTCAGCCTCCTCCTCTGACCCTCCGGCGTTGCCTGATGGTAGTCTAGAGTTCCCTGTGGGACAAGCAGAAGAGCCTGGAGCTCCTGATGCGATGGAGGATGAGGATCTAGCAGATTATTCCCCCTCTCTTCCTGCTGATGGTGAAGGGATGGATGTCGAACCTCCTCCTGGTGGTGTCCTTGATGAGGATGATGTTGAGATGGGTGATGGTGAAGATAATATCATGGATGATGGCCTGACCTGGCTGTACGAGTATGGTCTTCGCCAGCTCTATGAAGGACCTGACCTTCGTGTGACGCAGAAGCTTAGGAGGGGAGATAATCCCGCTGAGTGGTTCAGTATGAAGTTTGGAGGTAGAAAAATCTGGGTACATGTCCCAGATAACGCGGTGTGTGAAGTTTCAGGGAAGGTTCTCGCTAGGAAGCATCTTGAAGAAGGGATGAAGCTTGAGCTGTCGGAGTTAGATGCCTTTGGTGTGGCAACCGTGATTGGAGAAGCTGAGGCCCGGAAGAAGGCCGTGCGAAGAATCCACACCACTCGTTGGGTTCTAACTTCCAAACCCTCTGTGACAAACCCTGACCGTGTGAGAGCGCGTTTGGTTGTGCGTGACTACGCGCTTGGCTCCAGCCCTCTGGCTGACGGGATCTATTCCCCTACGACCTCCTTGGAAGCTTTGCGAGGTGTCCTTGCTGTGCACGCGGTTCGTGGAGGAACGCTGTTGTCTGCCGATGTTTCGGTAGCCTTCATGCAGGCGCCTGTCCAAGGTGTTGAGTGCATCCGTTTTCCGAACGGGATGTATGACGATCAGGGCAATCCGCTTTTTGCTCAGTTACACAAAGCCATGAATGGCTTGCGGGTTGGGCCGTTGAGTTGGTACTTGGAGTTCACCAACACGTTGCGTGGGCAGTTTGGGTTTGGAGAAACTGCGGACCCTACTGTGCACCACCGTCTCGAGAAGGACGGTTCTTTGACTTTGGTGCTGGTGTATGTTGATGACTTGATCATCTTCTCCCAGAACTCAAAGATTGCAAAGGAGCTGTATGCTCAGTTGGCCAAGATTTACAAAATGAAGCAGACTGGGATCTTGGAGCCTGGAAAGAAAGGGCAACTTGAGTTTCTAGGAAGAATTATCGTCCGTGTGACGGACGCTGGACCTGTGTTGTTCGGCTTGAAACCGGGCTACTTGAAGTCGCTTGGTGAAGAGTTTGGGATCAGTGGAAAAGGTGTGAAGCCTGTTTTGGGAAACCTTGAGAGGGAGTACCGGAAGAAGGAACCTGGAGGTTCCATAAGCACCGAGTCGTACGAGAGGTATAGACGTGTGCTTGGGAAGCTGATGTGGGCCAGTCTCACGCTTCCTCACCTAGCTTATCCTGTAGGGTTTCTAGGTCGTTTTCAGAGTGATCCTGACAGCCAAGCCGAAGCCTGTTTAAGAAGAGTTGTGCGTTGGGTGATGGCGTTGCCTGAGTACCTTCAGCGCTTCTCTGCGTTTGGCTGGGTCGACCAGAGTTTTGAGTCGGAGACCTTGCTTTCGGGGTATGTGGATGCCTCGTGGAACGTGTGTTCAGTGTCTGGTGCCATTGTCCTTTGGCATGGCATGATGATCAAGTGCTTCTCAAGGAAGCAGTCAGTGACTGCCTTAAGCTCAGCTGAAGCAGAGCTGGCCGCGCTTACTGAAGCTGCCAAGGAAGCTGTGTACCTGTCCCTGCTGTTGGAAACGCTCCTTCAAGGCCTGCCTGCCGGTGACACGGGATCGTATCCCATTTACCTGTCGTCTGACAGTGAAGCGGCATTGTCTATTTCGAAGATGAAAGGCCTGCTGCGTCGAGTGCGGCATTTGGAGCTGAGGCATCGGTACTTGCAAGAGCTTGTTCAAAGTGAGAGACTGCGTCTCACATTCATCCAAGGATGCCTGAATCCGAGCGACGGACTCACAAAGAGTCCTGAAGAAGCTATGCTCCAGCATCTGCTGGAGGCTTGTGGACTTGAGCGGATCTGTGAGGAAGACTTGCAGACACTGTGTGTCCCTGAACCACTTCGAGAGAGAGTGGAGGAACTTGAGAACCTCCACGAGAAGCTTGAAGAGCTTCCGGAGAACTTACTGAAGTATCGTCCAGTAGCCGTTGATTTGGCTATGGGGGTTGTTCCTTTGCTGGTGGTTGAGCTGTTCTGTGCCCGTGATAGTGCGTTGTGTGCAGCGTGCAAGCGTGAGAGCGTTGCTTACATTGGCATCACTCAGGAAGAAGACTTCTTGAGTAAGAACACACAGTTGTTTTTAGGAGAAGTTCTGCTCTGTCTGTTGAAACGAAATCCGCCCAAGATCTATATCCATGTAGCGTCGCCGTGTACTGCAGGTTGTAGTTTTCGGTTTAAGAACTGGCACAAACCGAAGTTTCGCCATCGCTGGCGTGAGCAGATGAAGAAGCATGTTGCTTCGTGGAAAACGCTAGGAAAGCTGTTGCAGAACCACTGCCAGGACGTCCTGCTGACTCAGGAGTGGCCAAAGACCTGTGGACTTTGGAAGGAAGAAACGTACCAAAGAGTGAAGAAGTCCCTTGGCCTATCCTTTGGACGAGAAGTAGACCGATGTGCTTTTGATTTGGTCTATAAGAGATGGTGGTTTGCCTGCAACTGTTCGGAGTGGTGTGAAATCTTCTCCGGGAAATCTTGTGACAAGAATCATGTGCATGTTGCTCCTGAAAGTCTTGAGGCAACCGGTTACTACCCCACCAAGCTAGGTAGGGCTCTTTTGCGTGCTGCTAAGCGAGTCTTGAAAGTAGCCGTAGAAGGGACTGCCGTGCGGACGTGTGCCGAGGATGACGAACAGAGCACTTAGCCTAAAGAGCTGTGCTTACACTGTTGCGCTGAGGCATTACAGTCCAAGCGGGGGTGTGAAAGTTCATGTTTAAGACATGTTACTTTGGTTGTCCTGCATGCCTGCTCAGGTGTGAGTCGTTTTAGCTGAAAGTTTTGCCTTGGAGGCTTGACTGACGAGCTTGCTTTCAGTGGAAAGCCTTTTGAAGTGCTTGAGAGTGTAGGGAAGTGTTTTTCCTTGGTGTAACTACGTTTGGAGTGACTGTGTAGCTGTAGTTCTGCTTGCACTAGTTTTGAGTAGGTCCCGAGAACTCCCACTGACGTTTGAGTTTGTTTTGCAGTTGTGGAGAACACGTGGCTGAGCAGTGTTTCACTTGCAGTGCTATGGCACATGGAATATCTGTGGCCAGTTGCACAGACAAAGCCTCCGGCTGCTGACTTTGGCTCAAGCCGTGAGAAAAAGAGGGTTCAGCGCGCTGCTGCTGTGTTTTCACAGTTGTCGCTTGCGTGGTCTAGATGCCTGGCAGGCAACGCGAGCCCACCAGTTGTTGGCAGCTCTGCTCGTCGCCGCAAGAGTTGGAGAAGTGAGCAGCGGACGATCTCCTGTCGAAGCTTGCCCATTTTGTCACTTTGCCACGATGGCGACCCTTCAAGCGAAGAACTGCCGATCGATTGGCCGGTACTTCCCTTTTTGGAACGCAGCAAGGCACATTGGTGATGAAGTCACTGCTACTCGACGCTGTGCTACAGGCACCCTGGAACCTGAGGAAGGTGCCTTTGGTGCCAGTATGAAAAACACCGAACCCTGACAACGCCTTGCACCAGGTCCTGCACTCCCATGAAGAGGCTCTAGGCTGGGCCAGAAGCGCGCATAAGCAATCAAATGTGCTAACTCCACTTTGTTCGCGCTGAGCTCCAACACCGAAGCATGGAGTGTGCATGGTTTGCGGCAGCAGTGGCAAGACTCCGCTTGTTCAGCTTGATCGGCTTTGTTTCCACTCTGACGGAAGCACTAAGGGATGGCAAGGCATCATGGTGAGCGGTCTCCAGCTCTGGATTGATGGGCGCCTCTGGTTCTTGCCTTGTGGCTCTGGAGCCTTTTCCAGAACCTGGTGCGAGACGGATTCTGACTTTTTCACCATGTCCGACCCAGCCTGATCACCACATGCGCACTTGGACACTGGCGAATTTGGGCCCTTCTGCCTGCGGAGGGCAAAAATTCTTCCCCTGCGGGGAAGGATCTGCTTGCCTGCAGAATGGTCCGCTTCTATCGAGCTGTCAAAAGGTTTGACTTGGCCAATGCCGATGGCGATGAAAGCTCCCTGTCTGGCGCCTCCGCCACGGGCGAGGTGGGTATCGAGTGTTCCGGGGCTGGTTCTTTCTCGGTGCTGCCTCGCAGTGACGCATGGCAACTCGTCTGCTCCAACCGATGCTACGGCCCGACGGGGTCGTCACGGAGTCTGTCAGCAAGTTGGAGGTCACTGTCGGTACACCAGCATCTTGCTTTCTCCGCGGCCGGTGATCCTGTTGGCTCACAATATGCTAGGCGTCAGGTACGGTGTCTCGAGTCCAGAGGCAAAGTCTATTGCCGCGCAACTCCAACGGTCGCGGCGCAGTTTTCACTTGCAGGAGCCGCATTCTGCATGTCTCGCAGCTCTCTGCATTGCGATGGTGAGTGTTCCACCGGCGTGTCCGGTTGTTCGCGGATTTTCGGCTGGTAGCTACACAGCGGCACTTGCCGGACTGCTCCTTCACAAATTGTGGGGTCCAGGCTGCTTTTTCGGGGTGACGCGGGCCAGCGTCCCGGCAGAGACCGTGGGGCGGGCACAGCCGATCGCGCGGATCGAGCTCGGAGCCGTTGGCATGCCAGATTGGCTCTTTGGCGCTCTGTTGCGGCTTCCATGTCGGCTACGTATATGCTGCATGCACACGAGGACTTTCTGTGCCCATGGCAGCCGTCTGATGCAGTTCGGGCGACCATTTGCTCTGCCCCCTGCGTGCGTGATGACGGGGGCTTGCATTGGCTGTCCAATGTGCCTGACGAACTATTCGGCCCCCAGTGCCATAGCTACTCGCACCTGCTTGTACGGACGGAGCCAAGGTTGCCGCCGCATGTGGACGTCACCGCCGCGCGTGCCTACTTGCCCCTGCGCAGCTTGGAGGACGAGCTCGCGTGGGCCTTCCAATCCCTCCACTTTTACCGCAGCCGTGGGCTTGAAGAGGGTGCCGTTGGACGGGTCATGGCAGCTCTTTATCCGCGCCAGGTCACGCCGTCTGTGCTGCATGACCTCGGCGCCCTCAGCTGCCCTCCGCCGCACCTCATCGATGCTCTCCGCTCGGCTACGGCTGGCTCATTGACGCAGTGCACGGGAGCAGTTCGCGACCGGATACGCCTTCGGTGCTACGATGATGATCAGCCTGTCAGTCTTCCTCTGCCGGCACCAGTCCAACGTGCCCTTGGAGAGCTGTCTCTCGAGCGTGTCGTGGACTTTTTACACTTCCACGTGTACAGCCAAGGAGCTGCTCTGGAGGACAACGGGCAGGAGAGCCGGCGAATGTCGCACCAGGACACAACGCGGACTTTCCAGACGCCCCTCCGGGTCAGTCTGCGCGTAGAGGACCGCCTCAGCTTTGGCACATACGTGCTTGGCTTATCCTGCCCTAATCCGCCCTCGTTGGCGCCAAACACCGGTTGGTTCTCCCACCGCCAAAGCGGCAATAGGCCTCCCTCGGAGGGCTGTTTTTTTCGGTTGGATTTTCGCCAAGCACAGCTCCTGGCTGTCTTTGTGGAATCGGTGGTCCCAAAAAAGGTCAACGGGAAAACGCAAGCGGCGCGTAAGGGACAGAGACGCCATAATCGCCTTAACCCTACAGCTGCCCTCATTCTAGTGAGTAAATGGCCCGCTTTCTTGGGGGCAGAGCCCCTGGCCGGTGGAGTGCATCATTGGGAGTACCCCCTGCGCAGCCTGTCGTGTATAAAAAGGTGGGCGGGGCACTCGATGTTTTCTTGCAGGTCCTGAAAATGCCAGCAGCTCGTGTGCCACTTGCTATCGGTATGCCAGTCCGGACTCACACGCTGCCCGCGCCGCGGCCAGAGTGTCACTTTGCGGCCGAAATACATCTTGTGCTCCTTTCTTGCAGGCTGTGGAGGTTGCAGCGATGGCGCCGCGTTTCCCGCCGACCCCGGATATGACACCGGCGCAATATGTTGTCTTCCGCAAGCGGATTCTTGATTTCCGCTCCCTGGCGGAACGGGTCAACCTTATTGGACACATCACGGCAATTTTGGCGGCGCGAGCCACCAAGCGCAGCTCTTTAGGTATCCTTGGGTGTGCTGGATCCTCCAAAACGTTCTCCTTGTGGTGTGCGCTGGTCTGCCTTGATGCCGTGTTAGAGCAAAACGTGTGTTGGACCGCTCAGCAACACTCTGCTCTCATTGCGGTCGTGTGCATCGCTACCAATCTTTTAGCGGATGCGCCTCAATGGCTCCGTCCACTGCTTGTGGTTCGGCGTGTCTCCGGCGATGCTGAAATGATTGAGCCGGACTTGGATCATGTGCCGTTCACGGAGGCGGCGGAGCACATGGCGGCAAGCTTGGGCGAAATTGCTACAACCCGGCCGGATACCAGGGGCCGGGACACACGTCGCGCCTCTCCGTCCATCGCAAGCACGCATATGCTTCTGCTCACACAAGGCTCTGGCGCCCTACAGTTGAGGTATTCGTCCTACAACGAGGTGAAGGAGTTTCTCAAAAACGCACATGTCATTGTCATTGACGAGGGACAGCAGGAGGGCCTCCCGGCGTCGGCCGCCATACTGCTGCCAGCTCGTCATCCGCACTGCCAACCCACGCCAACCCACAGGCGGGGGTAAAGGAGGTGCAGCTCCATACTCTGGCCCGCCTCACGGCAAAGCCGGTCGGCATTCGTGGACTCTAGCTCCTCCCCCCTACCCTCCCGGGCGCATGCCTCACGCGCCGGGGCCTGGTGCAGTCCACCTCGCCCGGGGGGCCGCTCCGTACTGTCCATTGGTCTAGCCTTCCATCGCTATGATGGCCATCATGGGGCTGAGCCCCCGCCGGATTCTGCTCTGCAAGCGGAAGGGCTCGAGCCCATCAATGGCGTATGCTTGAACCTCGCCTTGGTCGCTTCTACGCGGCTGCTAGCGGATCTTTACCTGTTAATAACTGCCATCCGATATCCGCAGTCCAATCTCCTGCTTCCGGCAACTGCCTCCTCACCATGCCCAGTCGCCATTGGGGAGTTGGCGGCCGACACGCCTGCGCGACAGGCGCAGCGAATTGCGGCCGATGGCACCCATCAATCGGGCGTCTACTTCGTCAGGCTCCCCAGGCAAGCATCCGATATTGTGCAGAGAGGCCTGGTGGTTGAATGGTTTTGCGTTCTCCTGGTCCTGGCTTACAATGTGTGCGGTCACCGCATTGCGGTGCAGGCCGGACGGAAAATTACCGTTGTCACGCCAACCACCAGGGTCTTTGAACTCCTGAAGCATGGTTTGGGACTGAGCAACCCACGCCCCGCCAGTGCAGATACCGGCGCCGCGCACCGGGTGGTGGATGAGGGTACGTCGTTCTCGGATTTCATTTCGCAGCGGTTGCCCGATCTCCCTTCTCCAGGATTGTTGACAACTGAGGCACAAGCTAAATCCCTTTTCGAGTTCTTCTATGATCACAGAAATGAATTAGGAGCGTTCATTGACCTCTTTACCACTACAGTGTGTGCCGGCACCACGGGGGCGGTGGATATCTGCCTGGTTGACAAAGCCGGCAGGTTCACCATGAAGGGGAGGATGCACACCAACGGCTCACTGCCGGTAGCACGCGGCCTACGGGCCCACTGATCATTGCGGCTCTCCCATTGGTGGGGCATTGTTGCGGCCTTGAAGCTCCACGCATCGCTCCACCAAACCTCCATCAGTTGGGAGGCTCTCTACCAGACCTACGGTCTTGCACGTTTGGAGGTGCAACGCCCGCCACGAGAGGACGAGGATACGGCCACTGAA